ACATAACATTATTAATTCTTAAAATTCAACAAACATTTATAATATGAATTCCAAACGAAACGATGTTCCAAGTATCATTTCATTCATATTATAATAAATAAAAATTATTGCAGTAAATGTGACAAAACATTAAGTAGAAAAAAATTCCACACGTAACATCCAAGTTCATGTAGACTGTTAAAATCTGTAACTTCTTTAAGAAAGTAACCAAATGTCTGTCTATATGTGTACTTAGTTCTAACCCTTGTGACATTATTTCGATGTTAAACAATGTTATTAACAATAAGATTTATCGTATCATTCGTTCATTTGGAGTCGGTCCTTTTTATGTCAAAAGATCAATACAGTTCTGACCGTACAATTGAATAAAACCGAGTAATAACTTTGAAGTTGAGGGATCATGGTAGCCTTGCCATTTCCCACGTCCTCTGCCAATAGCGTAGTAAGATGTGGGCGTTTTAGTAGGTAAGAATATCACATACCGCGATCTTGTCCCTCACGCGGCCGAAAAATTTACGTAGATTTTCCGTCGTCAAAAAAGTACTTTGGATTTAATATTAAAAAATGTTAGAAATTTATCAAGATATCTTTCCGCCAGCATTTAAAATCCATTTACAGAGGAAATAGTAATGATCTTTCAATTAGGGTAATGATTTATTAATTGCGGTTGTAATAATTTTAATATTATTTTAATGACATATTTAACTCACCTAGTCTCCATAAAACTATATTTTACAAATTAACAAGCACAGTATAGAAATAATATTTTACAAAATCAAAAAAAAGAACTTTATCGTAAGTATTGTATCTCTTCCATAATTTTGTTGTACTTTTTTGCATATTTTTGTGTTGTACGGAGGCTATTTTACTGTTTTTTACGGTTGATAGTCCTTACCACTTTCTGTCACCTCTATAGTTGACTGTACGCTATTACAGTTTCCTTTGATCATACTTTTTAATGTTTGCTGGATCATGTTATTTGAGTAGTTTGTTATCAATTTTTCTTTTTTTTACAATTCAGGATCAATTATACGGTCATTTAAGGGGTGCGCTATTTTCCTTAACTTATGTACAACGACGTTTACGAGTATGCCATCCGTCGATCTTACGATCAAACTCCCTAAAACAATGTATCTCATAAAAACGTGACCCTCATTGGGATTAGGGTATTTTTATAGAGACTTTCTACCCCTTACCACTGACTTGAATTCAATACCCCCAATTTCATTAATTACTTAACGGATTTACTGATAGTGAATAGTAAAGGTCATTTACTATTGTTAACAAGACTGTCCTGTTAGCTAGATTGAGTTATGCAACAACAAAAAAGACGTTACAGCGTTACTGCTCGGGCCTTGCTGCTGAGTGGACCAAGGAATCGGTAGTAAATTTTACTGACGCTAAACTTCACTCCAAAAATATAATTTAAACTTTAAATTATAATTCAAGGTATAGCAAGTGGAAGTTAAAAGTTTAAGTAACTTAATTAATGAGATGTAAGATTTTCGCGAGTACTCATTTAAATAAAACTAATATTTTACGGCTACTTTACACCTCGTCGTTAACATCTCGTCTGCGAGTGATCACGGTTGCTGTAAAGTAGCCGAAACGTCAGGAGTATGTATTTTATAGTCAAAAATAAAAAAAACGCGTAGCAAAACCGAAAATATTAGGTAGTTTCATTTAAATTTAATAATAGCACCAATGGTGGTGGAAATGATTCAACTCTGGATTAATAAGTCGGATATGATATGACTTCTGTTCCATAATGATAGAATATGGTGATTCTTTAGATAAAGAATCTTTATATGGCATAATAAACAACTTAATAAGATGGGGAGTTATGCAAAGAAAATTAAATATTTATATGTATTATTGCAGTGGAGTATCGTCTGCACATTACAATACAATAACATACTGTTTGAAAAATTTATGTAATAGTTTAAATGAGAAAACGTAGTTAAACAACATACTTTTTAGGGTATTTTTCTCTGAATGAAAAACAAACAGAAGTGTTAACTAAACACAATTATATTTAATAAAGAAATAATGCAGTACCTTTCTAATATCTAGAATACAGTTATCAATGTTTAATGTAGTATTATTACTTTTCGTTATTAATACACTGAATTACAACTGTTCGTAAAAATATTATGCATCCATTGGGGGAATAAAAATTAAATAGAGTTATAGTGTGAGTTTAACATGGAATAATTTAACTCTGTATACTAAAACTAAAAAAAAACGTCCGATAAAAAACAATAATTGGAATAGTTAAAGTGGAGTTATAATTTAGCATTATTATTCTGCGATTTCTCTTAAATGATGCCCCAAACCTACACCTAGGTCGCAAGTCCCAGGCACTGTTGAAGCTCTCCTCCCTGCAACGATGGACCCGACACCCGCACGGTGAATTCCTTGAATGCTGAGAGATTTCGTCTTGTCATTAAAAACTACTAAACGGGAAAATCGGATACAAATATCTAAAGATATTCCTTTACGTAATCATTTATTTGACAACCTATATATTTTTAATTAAACATTGCTTATATTCGTGCACATGGGTGCATAGATGTGGAATTATCGAATTTTGTTTGTTGCTTCTGTTTCTATACGTTTCCTTATAATGCAATTAAGCTGAATGTTATTTCAATTTGAGGCAATTTAAAAGTCTTATGACCAATAATAGATAATTATTATTGTATGTTTTGTAAGTCTACTTTTGTCTGTAATTTATAATAGATTAAGCCATATTTTGTCCATACAAAAACATTGTCTGGGGTCATGCTTGTCTTTTTATGAAGCATCTCGCGTACTTATCTTGTTTATGATAAATGATCTTAATTAGTCATTATACAAGCTTTGAATATTCAAACTCATTTACACCTAGAAAACTTGTAATCGTGACCACATTTTCGCAAAATAATTGTAATTAATTTAAATTAATTAACTTATTAATATATATTAGTGATTTATAGATAAATAAAATAGTATCTAAATAAATTGAATTATAATGTCACTGGTTAATAATTTTATTTAATTTAGTGTGAATTATATAATAACTTTTTAGTCACAAACAAAAAATCACATGGCATCACATCTCGTCTGCCCGTGATCACGGATACTGCAAAATAAGCAAAACGTCGGAGGTATGTAGTTTTAAAAATAAGTAGTAACCTGAAAATATCAGATTCATTTTAATGAATACTCGGGAAAGTCTTAGATCTCGTTATAAAAATCATTATATTGATTTTAAATCAATTGAGGGAAATACTGCCATACTTCTAAACTTATTTACAAAGTCTAAGTAAGCTCAGCCTAATAAAAACAAGGTTACAAACAGTAAACTTCTTATTAAAGAAAATGCTAAAGCTATCAAAAGTGATAATTTTTCATCGATCACACAGCATTTTCCATTCGTACCGTAATGCTGTGAATGTGCGTAATATTCTTAAGTCTATAGCTTTCCATAATAAATCCTATCTAACATAGAAATATTTCTATAAGTCATCAATCGGACAAACTCTTCAGCACTATTAAATTGGAATAAACAAAGTTTATGACCATTTACATAATTAATTGCTAGTTACATGGTGTTTGGAATTGAAGAACATGATGTTTAATAATGACGGTGTTGATGTTTTGGAAGTTTCAAAATATTAGAAAACTAAATAATATATTTAAAATATTTGAAGTATGAAAGTAAGATAACACACTAGTGTAGATTTTTGTCCCAGGATTAAGACAATTTCCAATGTCAAGCCTCAAGAGTTTCAACATTGCAAATAAAATTTACTACGCCTTCCTAATAGGTGGATGAGATTTTTAGATCTGTGAGTTGCCTGAGGAACCTGGACTTGTGCCGTGTGATAGCCGAGCTGCTAACTAGTATATAAGGAAGTTTTAGCAGCCATAGCTGTGTGAAAATGGGTATTGAACTTCAAGTCAATACAAAAAATGTACCAAAAATTATTATTATTTAAACAATTCTGGCGAAATGTAAAAAAAAACAACAATATTTTGTTAAAAACACATTTAATATGTTAAAACATAACATATAATTTTTAAAATTTCCCTTTACCCTTGATTAAAACATAGATTACATTTCATATTATTATTTACATAAGTACAATTGTATGAATTCATGTAAATATATATTTAATTGCAAGGCATGTCGGGACACAACAATTGTATATATTATTGCAAAAATCTGTAATTAAAAACCTCGATATCAAATTAGTGCAAAAATTCCGTTACCAACTATGCTAACATCAACATATATTTTTTTCAAACAAAACGTGATAATACTTAAAATCTTTAATAACAGTTTTATAAATACATTACATGCAAATCATAATGAAGATTCTGTATTTTTTCTGAAAATATTTTACAGTACCTATTAATTAATAAATAAACATAACATTTCAAAAATTTATATCCGTAATTCATATTTTTGTGCCACTGGACATATAATATTTATATGTTTAGGATTTGCAGCAAAATTAAAAAAATCACATCTATATCTTAAAACAATGGTATATTCATTTCAATACTGAAAAAATCTAATCCTAAGAAATTATTTTTGGTTAAAAGAAAAGTAAAGCGAGGACCTTTTTCAATATGTTGTATAGACGTTCTTCAATTAAGCATCACATAAATACACCTGACAGCCAACACGTGTTATGTAACTGAGTTTGTTGGTCGACAAAATATCTACTATTTTGCGTAAACATAAATGGCTTATTAACTCATAATTTGTCTTCCTCTAGTATAAAGTTTTATTTCATTTGTGCATATTAAAATTTTTTAACAATAGAAAATATTTAACTCATCAGATCACCGTTATCCGGAGACCTTTTGACATAACATAGTTTTAATAAACTTCTGCATTAATAAAAAATATACATAACAATTAGAGATAAAAATACCGTACCGGGAAAAATGCACTACTATACTTATAACAGGATTAATATATATACAAATATATAATTTTCGTTTCATTATATAACCCCCCATCTCACTAAGTCGTCTACGATGCCTCTAAACCTCTGCTTGTACAATAAACCCGGTTCAACAATCAAAGTAGAGAAGTCAGCTTCATCAGAATCCCACTTCGGAGCAGATTCATAATCGACTACTACCATCGGCAGAGCTGTCACCGCTGTCAACATTACGTACGGGAGTAACTGGAAATAATAACGGAGCGTTTAGTTTAACGGCTGGTTATTACTAAACGAGGAACCTTTTTTTTGTATGAAGATGTGTGTTATTTAACGTAACTATTAATTAAATATGACACTTTAACCTTGAATACATTCTGCATCAAAGAAAACATAGCGTGTTTGTTGTAAATTACCATCATTTTTAAACAATTGATCTAATAACTCCATTATTACCTCTTTCATATCACTTTCAAAACTCTCTCTCGGATACACTTCTACAGGATCTACAGCCAGCCTCTTGAGAGCTTCTTCTAGACTCGTATAGTAGTGATTTATTAGTTTGTCATAATACAGACGGCGGAACTCTTCATCCGAGCCCATAAATATGATGTAGAAGAGATCTCCTACAGGACATCCGGTATGGACAGTCTGGTAATCAACTATTACTGCACTCAGACCATGACCCTGGGAAAGATTCAATCATCAAATATAATATTCAATGACACCCTATTTCATTTCTAAAATTTATATTTTTTAAAACATTGACATCGGTCACTACATTGAATTCCAATAGGCAAACATAAGCTTTTTTTATATTTTATTTCTTAACCATTCATTTTATTATGTTTGATAAAATTGTATTAAAAATAGATCTCGTAGACTTGTATAATAATGTGATGTTAGGTAAATTTATTCGCTGGAATGTAAATATAATGAATATTGGAAAAAGAATTTACATAACATTTCCTTAAGAAGACGATAGATGATACATAACAACAGAGAATATAACCAAATGAAGTAAACGTTGAGAAACATGTACATTATATTTATTGATAAATTTATACAAAATATTATTTAGGTTTAAATGTCCAATAATGAGATTTCGTCTGCTCGTGATCAAGATTGTTGTAAAATAACCGAAACATCGGGAGTATGTAGTTTATAATCAAAAGTAAAGATCGCGTAGTAAATCCGAAAATATTAGTTTCATTTAAATTAAATAATAATAATAATCTAGTCTACGAATGATTTTAAATAAAAATGTTAAATTTACAAAATGTTGTAGATTTTTTGTTTATATTCATAAACACAAAAAATGTTATGATTAAATTTTAAAAATAATTATTAATGAATTGTCGACAATAAATGCTGCTAATATTTTTCCTACTTTGAGGATTCGAGTAATTTGTTTTAAACTAATTTTTGCATTTCCATGAATCATTAAATGTCATTAAAATTATTATTACATTTACCATCATTAATGGTAAGATCTTTTATAAGATACTTGATTTTAATTTTAGTAAAAGGGAACACGAAATATTTTTAACTACTACCTATTTAACAATAATATTAATGTACCTACTAGTTTTATCAACATATAAATTCTAGACTAATATTCAATAGGAATGATGACTTTTGTAAATACCCATATCTCAGGTAAAATAAAAAAACATAAGAACCAACACACGCGGGTACTTTGCTTATCAAGTTATTCAGACATTATTTATAGACTTAATTTTCATTTAAAATTATGTAAACGATAATGAGGTTTTTTTTGTACGTATTATTTTGTCACAGTAACCGTAAAAAATATTTATTGTAGTTAAAATTTTATGCTTCATTAATTTAATTTATATTAACGAGAATCGTAACATTACCATAACTTGTGGTTTAGGTTTAAGAAATTATATATAATATTAAAGTTTTTTCTATATTCCAATATATACTTTTTCAGCCATAATCTTACCTTTTCCTTAAATAACACGTTGCTTAATCTGTAATCACCGTGGGCCAACACCGGTGTGCTCAGAGGCTTGTTGTATTTTTCCAACAAGTTAGTGTTAAATAAAAACTTTCTGATTTTATCACGATACTCCTCCTCCTTTAAAACACTCAACGCTTTCTCCACCATATCCTTAAATTGATCTATGGTTGTTTGATCGAATGCATCTTTATCAAAAGTGTACTTCCTGTCTTCAGCTATTTTTTGGAAACCTTCTGGATCACTCTTCTTCAATGCAAACGACAGAGCGTGGAACCGTGCTAAAGCTTCCACACTAACTCTGCCATGATCCCAATCCATGGATTTAAAACGACTGTAAGACTTATAACCACTTTCAACTAGATTTTCTAATATGACTGTTTCTTTACCGTACACATTATTAAAGCCGTAGAATTCAGGGAATATGAACTTGTGTTCTTCATCTAAATCCTTCTGGAGGTTATTATAAAGAGGTATAAGTTGGTTGTAAACAAATTCCTCTGTTATAAACAACTTTTCAGCGTTCGCTACTATCCTCATCTCCTTGCTCATGATAGCAACCTTTGCAAAAAGTTTTAATTCTTTATTAAGAGTTTTTACATGTATCGAAAACAGAACCGAAGTATAATTAGCACCCCCCGTTGTTATTTCTTGTATGTTAACATCTCTCGTCTTGTATCCGCGGCTATCAAGAACTGTGAATAAAAAATTGCTTAATATTTCTTTAGCGTCGGCCATGTTAACAATGTAACCACTGCAACTGCACTGAACTAGTAACAACACTATTATGAATGGTGCGAGCTAATTTCATTTGACATTAGTCGTTGACGACGATATACTATCTGACACGTTATGTATTGAACCTGACATTTTATTTAATTAATAAGGTAGAAGCTCCTATTACAGACACTAGCATTTCATAAAAGCACCAAAAAAAAATTATAAGTGTATTCATTATCACAAATCTTTAGTTTCAATAAATTTGTAATTCAATTGTATATAATTCAACTGTAAGTGTTTAACCATATTTCTTTCTTTGATGTCTTAAACCGAAGTATTAATTTTTTAACAAGTATTAATTTAAAATTAAAAAATATCACAGGTTCACTTCTTCTACCTGGCAATTCCCCCGCTTTAGCCAGGGTTTGCCTGACATGTTGTGAATAGTTTTGGATAATTGTTTTTACGATCGGCCGCCTGCCCGACATCAACCCTCTTTGGGAATGCATTAATCAGTGATGTTAACATATGACTCGGAAAAATCACATTGGTACTTGCCAGGGCCAGGATCGAACCAGCCCCACTAGGACACCATTGACTTAAAGATTAAATTATAATATTAAATTTAACTTACGAAATACAGGTTCACAATGTAGGTTTTATTCGAGTATAACAAATTTAATATTGAATACTCTCTTTGATAAAGTAAATAATCATACTACTCATAGGATAATAATTAAGTTCAGTAGCTGTACACGCACTATATGTACTAGGACTCCAGACATCGTAAGAGAATAAAAAATATCCGAATAGATACCAGGTTTTATTTTTGGAAGTTTAGGTTCCATTTTAAATACATTATCATTTTATTTCACTATAAGGTTGCCTTGAATTTACATCAGGCGCTTTTTGTCATCGCTCAGTGAACATCTTCCCAAACTGCAAACATCTTCTCAATTTTTGTATAGTTATAAAATAAAATCAGTATAATACTTTATTTTTACCTTAATATTTGTATCAAATTACATACAATAACTTATTCAGCTTCAAATTTTAAGTGAATCGGAACATAAAGACCTCTCTAAAAACATTTAAGTAATTATAATTCAGTTACTAAATCTCACAAAAGATCCCTAAAACCAGAAAGTTCAGGGTCTTCTTGTAAAAATAAGTTTAAGAGGGAGAAAAACTTAAAATTATATCTGGAGCTCGCAAACTAGCAGATTTCAAAAAGCCGTACCAACTAACACCACGGAGAAGTGTATTTACACTTTAAAATCGTTGGATACAAGTATATAAGTTGAATACAAGTATACAAGTATATCCTGGTTGGATACAAGTGTATCCAACCAGGAGTGTCGCAAAACACGACGTCCACTGGCAGCATCAGCATCAGCCAGCATCACTTTTACGACACAGCCGGTCTAGCCAATCTCATCATTCTCTTAGGTCACAGTGTAGGGAGCTTAAGTTGGTTATACCTTTGATACGAGAACAGATCTGTTGCCTCAATTCAACTTCATGTTACTTTGCGAATATATGTTATAATAAAGTTCAGATTTAACTTATATTTATAAGGTTAAAGGTCTTTCGTCGTTTTGTTTTTACTGTGGCTTCAAAAGGTCATCCTTCTTCAGCATATTTATGAATATCTCCAACCAGGAAACAACTCTTTAAGACAATTAATAGATAGATAACCAACCAACTTTCAGCGTCACTTCAAACAAAATACAGGGCTCATGTCTTGTTCGAGGAGTTATACAATAAATTGTAATCTTTATTTTATTCCGTTGTCTTAGTTATATTAAAGCAAATTTATCTTAAACTTAATCATTAATTAATTATTATTGGATGAGACAGTAACAAACACGCATACAGAACGATCTAACGAATTCATTAACGAGTTAAGAAATATTCAAAATTTTGCGAGCACATACATTAATAAAACTACATATATTTTTTGGAAATAGACGACTGCTTTATTTAATTTTTACCATAAATTTCGACTATTTTGTAGAAAGTGTGATCAAAAGCAGAGCTTATAAAATGTAAGTTAGTCTTGAGATCTGGTAGGTTTTAATGTTATTGGTGAGGGAAAACTAGAGGCTTTTCAAAATTTAAAATACTAAATTTATCCGCAGCAAAGAATACTTTTAATAGAACTTATTAATACACCAGAGACAGCATTTATTTCTGTTGTGTTCTCAGATAGCTTCTTGTAATTTGAAATTTAAAATTGTTGCCTTCATTACATTGTACTACTGATATTAGAAATAAAACATATTTGTTTCAGATCCTCATGGTTGATATATATGACAATTTGTTTGTAAAACAAACGGGATAATTCTAAAATTACCTTTAGATAAGAAAAAAGAAATATATATGGGTATCATATGTTTTTTAATAGTTCTATTGTAATGTAGTTTTATTGTAGCTGACTTAATGACTTCCTTTTGTCTACATGTCTAGCTGTAAATTGTAAATGATTATACACTACCAATATTTAACTTAAAAACATATTTAACCACAAGACGCACAGATTATAGTGTACTTATAACAACTTCTTTAAGTTAACAGATTCTTAGTTTAATTTTAAATTAATTCTTGACAAAGAAGAAATAGATAATACATGTTTAAGAATTTGAATTAAAATGAAATTATTTGAGTTTATAAATTATTACGTACCTACCTGAAGTTCAGGTTAGCCTAAATTAAACTAATCAATGTATCTTATATACAAGGACTTAGAAAAACAAGCCATCTTCTTGTTCGTATAAAGTTACTTAGTAAGATATAATTAAAATCTACCAGAGTAAACTTTATGGACTTTATTTTTGTTTTCCAGACATTGCACTCATGCTTCCTTGTTGTTGCTATTCGAATATGGCTCTAAACAACAAAGATAAAAGGATTCTTCTTCTACACTGTCTTCGTTTCTTCTTTGTTTCTTTACACTCTTAACCTTTTTAATTTCAGTGTCCGATTTTAATCTTTCATTTTTGTCTGAACTAAATCTGTTTGATTTTATTCGTAGCAACACTAGCTGCTTCAACGGCTGCTGTTTTTTTCAGAAATTTTGAAACCGAAATAAAATCCGATTAAAATCAGTACAAAACAAATTTAAATAAAGCAACAAGGAGACATTGAGTAATTGATAATGTAAGATTTATTTACAATTGTATTTGGCAGAAAATGTGTTATAAAATAAAATCTTTTCAATGTAATGGAAATGATTTTTCAACAATCTCGAAAAATATGGTCAGGTTTTAAAGTCAACTCCAAGAAAATTCCAAGAAAAAAATGGTAAAAAATGCTTATACAGTACATATTAAATACCTTGAGCATTAGAGGCGAAGACAAAATACGAATTATAGTAATTTGAAAAAGGTAATAAATTTTATGAAGATAGTTTTAAAAAAGATAACAAAACACACCTAATGACTGCGCTTATTTTAGAAGACCATATTAACTACAAATTACGAGTATCTTGATCATATTAAACAGTGTGTTTATAACTTTAACCTGTTACTTTTTACAACAACATCTGGTACTCTTTTAACTAATTTAATTCAGATTTAATAAGGATTATACGCTTTGTTGAAAATACAATAGGTACAAGAAAAAGGTGTTTCTTTCTGTACACGTTTAATATCACCTCACCACACCGACTTGTTGTCTATTTTAATCCATAAATATTTTCTTGGAAAGACTTTTGTAATTTTCTCTTATATACTGTTACCCCAAAAGCGTTTAAAACAGCTCATTTTTAGTACTCAAATCATTTAAGTCATCTTCTTGATATTTACAATTAGATTAAAAAGAAATCATTCTCCAAACACATGCAGGTCATTTCATGCTCCGTCTTACTATTTCAGTGATTTATCGGTCAAAGTAAAATAAACAAGTTTCATTAGCACAAAAATGTAAGATTGTCTGACTTTTACTAATAGTTAATTCTCTGATAATAATTAAGTACTTATAATTAGTGAATTTCGGAAGACTTTGCAAACTCTTAGAACCAGGTTCCCAGTCAAAGGGAATCAACTTTTTCTTCAAATTATATATATTCCCTTAGCTAATTACTATGGGAAATCGTAATATTTGGATTACATTTCAGTATATTTCATTTATTCAAAATAACGCCCTCTTTTGGTCACAACTTCATAACTTAAAAAGGTTCCAGGAGATTGCCGAGTAGAAAGAATTAAGTACTTTTGATATTCACCCAACAACGTGGCTGTAAAGTAATCGAAATATAAAATAAAATAGGGCGAGCTTTATTTGGAAATTATATTTGGTCAAAGATAAATAAAAATACCTAGTCTATCTTTAGTCCCATTTTACTGGGATTTGAACTATTTTGCACTTTAAACTCTGTTCATCATTGTTATAATTTACTAAAAAATTATTAAGTTTGCTCGAGAGAAGGAAAAAATTTCATCGATTATTAAATGATAAAGGTGGTTCAAAAGAACGTTTATATACTCCTATCAAAATCAATTTTGTTTTCTACGAACTCCTCGTAGAAGCATCTAGCGTTGACATACATTTATTCATCTGCTCACTTTATATTAATTTACTAGTGGCAGAGTTCTTGTTTTAATTACATCACTATATAAAAAACCAACTTACTAGTTAATGATAATTTATTGGTCAAAGTAACAAACTAATTTTAGAAAAACTATGTTGCATCGAAATAATATATTAATTTCTCAAAATCATCAACGGACATCAATTTGAAACGCTTTTAACAAATCAAATAATACCATAATAAGCACAATTTTACTAATATAATGTGTTAATAGGATGAAGTGAAAAACAGTAATAGATTTGAATGTCAGAAAATTTATTAATCTATCACATTTATATAAGAACACAATAAATAATTCATTCTTAATAATTGTATCATAAAACATAGCATTAAAAGTTTCATCATTTTAAACCATGCACATCAGAAATTGTTTCATTAAATAATATTTAATAATAATAAGTTCAGTCTTAGCCTTCAATTCATTATACATAAGGGATCATTATATAATGTCAAAGAATTATTTAAATTTAAAATATCATTACAAATAAGATAAACATGATCTAATCACTGATAATTGTACTAGCAGGATAATACTTTAGTTATAATTAATTCATACTATAAGTCAGGTTATAAAACAATTGATGATCATTAATTTGGCTAGACATCCACAGTTATATGTAATATTCAAATGATTCCCATCTTGATGTAGTCTTCGACGATATCGTTGATCCGTTCAATGTAAAGGTCATTGGGATCGATGGCGAAGTCATCAAACACCAGTTCCTCGCTGACCTTAGGAACGTTCTCTTTATCAGCTGTGATGACCAGCAGACAGAATATGCTCGAAAGCAACCCTACTGGCTTAATCTGGAAATTGAAAAACCCTTTAATAAGCCCGATATTAAAACTAAGACTAAAGTAATGACCCTTAAAGATACCTAGCCTTTTGACCTGTACAATCCAATAATAAATAAACCTTAACTTAGACAGACCCTGGCTAAAGTTAGGAAAATTGCCAGGTAGAAGAAGAACAATACAATAATATATAAACATATTAAAATATAAAATGTGTTTGCTCCATAAAGTATATTCTTCAATAAACGTTATTAGAAATACGTTATCTATGTTGAAGAAATATGTTTAATAATTTGGGTTTCTAGTACATTAGTTGACTAATAAACGTAAATAAGCAGAAGCAGTGTTATAATTGCAAATTTTGAAAACTAAAGATGGAAATAAAATTCCAATATCCTGTAGTCAGTATTGATAAAATAGGATGGAACTTATTTTATTCCTTAAACATATTTCTTATCCCCATGTGTAGTTTTTGGTCAGTTGAATGAAATGCAACACAAAACATTAGATATAACGTTAGTCTCTAAACCAAATGTACAATTTCTTAAATTATATTTGAGTTTTCTCAAATTTTAAAATGTTATCGTTATATATTAATAAACTAATGATCAAAACTTACTTTTTTCAGTTCATAGTCAAAGTCCTCTCTAGAGTAAACTTGTTCTGGGTTCAGTCCAAATCTCTTGAAAGCCTTACACAGTTCCTCGTAATAATGTTCTATGGATTTATTGAAGTATTGTTCCCGAAACTTTTTATCTGAACCGGTGAAGATAAAATACATTACATCAGCTACTGGGTTTCCAGTTTGCACTGTTTGATAGTCTATGGCGACCACGTCCGTTTTTCCATCCTGGAACAACAATACAAACATTTTTATTGTATATTTTTTAGCCAGAAGTTTTCAAAACTGAACCATAAAGCTCCTTATAGTCAGGACAAATCAGACTTGTTATAACTATTATAATATTACACTTCCCCTTTTATTCTCATAAAAGAACATTTGAACTGTAATGTTCTAATTAAATTAGGTTATAAATACCTTAAGCATTAGAGGCTAACTTTAATTTAAATACCTTATTATATGTATAAATGCACTCCTAAAATAAGTATGAAGAAGAAGAAAGTAATTAAGTTGTTTATGATACATATAAAAATAATATACAAGTACTCACAACCACCCTATACATCTGGTTGCTCTGTCTGTAGTCTCTGTGGGTGATAAATGTCCGCTTGTGCTTTTGGAAGTAGCTTTCAAAAACCTCCTTATTTAATATTTCCGTGGTGAATTTAGCTAATCGTTCACGATTCTCCTCTTTGACCACCCTGAGAGCAGTCGCCGATACGTTTTGTATATAATTCTTCAGTGAATCAAAACTTTCACCCTGTTTTAATTTTGAAACCACGTTTCTGAATTCTTCAGGATCGTCTTCTGCAAATGCAATGGAAAGGGCGTGGAATTTCGCAAGATTTTCTAAACTTTTAGCAGCAAAGTCCCAAGTTATGGACTGTAATCTGTCATATGTTGCGAAGCCCTTAACTGATAAATCTTCCAAGACCATGACTTCCTTCGTGTATTCGAGTGAGCTCTCATAAAACTTGGGTGTTACATACCTATGCTCTTCGGGAACATTATGTTTTACCTCCAACTGTTTATAAATGTTAATTAATTTTTTGTAAAACAGGTCCTCAGTATCAAAAATCTTGAATGGATCTGCAGCTCTCATTTTTTGTCCAACGAGGGCAACTTTTGCGAATAAATTAATGTTTCCCTTCTCAGGATTTTTGAGAACAGCATTATAGAGAACACTAGTGTAATTGGCTCCGGTACTTGGCGCTGGATGTACTTCTATTTGAGAGTCTTCGTGGCCCAGTCTCACAGCAACCCTGTTCAGCGCGTCGTTTAAAGTTTGTTCAGTCTTGGACATCGTCATTTTGTTAATGTATCTGTTACAAGCCACCCTGAATGACGCTGTGAATAAGAAAGAGCGATCACTTCATGTAAAGGAGAAATTTTATTATTATTAATTATTGAACTGGAAATATAAATTGACTAATTACACTATTATAAAAATAAAAAAATTAAAAGACGTAAATAGTAAATAAATTCAACCTATTCAAGAAAATCAAAATTTGTTATTTCTTAAGCTTATGATATTTTTTTTAAATTTAAATTTAAGGGTAGACCAGTATGGAAGAAATACTAAAAGCTTTCCTCATAAGCGTATTAGTTACAATACTATTTTCTATAGTGCTAACGCGGCTCACCCATGGTATATTCAAAATAATATTTAGGTGAAGACAAAAATTATGACAAATAAAAGGTTCTAATTAATAAAAACGAAAAAAAATATTATAAAACATCGAACTACTAAAACGAAGAAAATGGAGCGTAAAATTTAATATTAAATAATTTGTTTTCACAAGCGAGTCTTTCTTCAAATTATATTAACAAAGGATTAAATTATAATCAATGAAAATAAATCTTACTTTGGTATAAAGACATATTCTTCAAGATGGGTTTAATACGAGGTACAGTTATCATGTTGACGAGACAAATGAAGAGAGTTCATCTGGAACAGACTTCTTACCCTGATATGTTTTTACATTCTTATAACTTGTATCAAGGATTAAAAAATAATAGTTTACTTTCACTGCAACATATTTTCCTTTTGTCACAATAACTCACTAAAGTAATAATATTGAACGTAAGTGCGTGAATTATTTCAATAGGTCTGCAAACCGTCTTAATTGAGTCGTTATCTTTGATATCTATCACATTTATTTACACGCAATAATTAGTTTATTTAAATAGACGCGATGCGTAGATGCTAGATACTAACACTTGTTACACTAAAATAAATAATAGAAAAACCAATTGCATACTAACGTAAGAAATTTAAAATATGACTGAATAAAGGTGTCGAAGTCCCTGAAATGTAGTGCTACGGAATTTAAATATAACTCGTTTAAAATATTTACTTTTTGAAATATAATAATAAGTCAACTAAAAATCCGTTACAATTTGAATAAACGAACCGATGCTTCACGATTCACAACATTATCAATTTTAAAATTAAAAAAGTACCACGTTGTCATTTTGTTATTCCGTTTTTTATGTATTATAATATACATATATGATAAATTTATATTTCAAATTTTACAAACAATGCAGTCGTGTAAAAAGATAAACCGGAAATTACAATGTCTTCAACGTTATCTTTAAACCAAAGATTGTTCTAAAACGTCACGCCATCAGATGTAAATAAAGCCTTAATAATAATATAATTCGATTTTTCCATAGAACTTACCTACCTATACAATTTTAATCCGTATCCTTTAGTTACAACTAAATCGAAAATAAATATTCGAAATAAAGTTTAATTTAAATTAATAATAAGCTATATATGATATTAAAAGAATCATTTATGAATCCATCAACTGAAAGACTAATAAACAGATTGAAAATAAAAGTAATGAATTTAAAACTAACGTTCACTTTTTAGAATATCAGTTGAGGGTAGTTTAAAACGAGTTAGAAATTAAACGATTTATGTTTAAATGGTTATAAAATGGTTGTATACAGCTTATTCACAACTAAAATAGAAAATATTAAAATTAAATTAACTCACCGAACTCTCAATTAGTTAATTCCTTGAACGAACCAACGTCTGTCGATCTTGAGCGGGGTTGAGCTACTAGCTTGCTTCTCCAAAATGCTGGAATTTAAGTACCTTGAAGTGAACAACGTTCAGAAATTGACATTTTTATAAAAAAAATATTTTTATAAATTTAATTATAAATTTACTAATTACAAATATTAAGACTTGGAGTGTAGAAATATCAATGAATTCAAACATAAGATGTTATAAAATGTTTGCAATTCAGATTCCTGTCGCCATTTATACAAAATTAATAATTTAAAAATCACTTTCATAACTCGAGTCTCGAAACGATGTTTTTAATTTCTGAACTGTTTTCAACTTTTCGAAGTGATTAAATTTAAAACGCTACAATAACGGTTATTGATCGACATAGATTTTTATTGATCGACATTTAATACAAATTAATATCAATAATTGTATGTATATGATATTACTTCAGTAAGATGGCAATGATGGGTTTTCGTCAAGATTCCTTTAAGAGCAAATCTACTACTTATAGTGTATGAACATTTGCAAGAACGAAGGTGTAAAGGTTTTAATGAATCTCTTTGATGATTTATATCAAAGTTATTTAATAATAAAACACTTTAAAAAACGCATTCTTTTGCCTTACGTATTCAAAATACTTTAAGTATATCAAATGTAGTTACATATAGACATGTTTCTAATTAATTGTATCACTGAAAATATATAACATAACCTTTTATATCACACCCAAGTACAGATTTCCAAGCTGGTTGCTGAAACTGAAAGCCTAATCTTCTAATATAACATTTCATAACTTTCAATAGTATATAATTTCAATTTAAATATTAGTAATGGAAGCTCAATAATGAAAATCTATGTAAGTAATTTCTTACATATATTTGTAATTATTAAATGATATAAGCTTTATAATGTTAAGTAGGAATATGAAATTATGTTACTTCATAAATATTTGAAAGAGGTAATAATATCATTAAAACTATCTTTAACTCTCCACTTATTAGTTTTATGAACTTTTGTTCCACATTGCATATTATACTAGGAATGGTTCTTTTCTTGTATTATTCTATTAAAGTGTGTAAGGTGTATGTAAAGTTAATTATGTATTTATTGTGTGTTTATAAGTCCACGTGATAGTGGGTAACCTTTATTATAAAAAAAACATAATTTGTACATATTTCTTTTTGTTTGAAAAGTAAATAACCATTTTTGAGTGATTATAAGTAAAGGAATATATAAGTATTTTGTATTTTAGGTAATATAAAACAAAATGTTAAGTATCCTTATTGTAACGAATTAATATTTTAATGCTTATTGCATAATTATCATTAAGAGACAAAGTCGGAGCCTATGACTAAAATATTAATTGTTACAATGTGTTATTATAACGTAGCATTAAAAGCAACGCTGAAAACAAAGAATCATAGGATACAAACATAAATAAGACTTAGGATTTTAAATCTACTCATTTATAGAATGGATTAAACAGTAATTTCTTCTGAATTCGGCATTAATAGCATTATAAATACGACAAAAAATTTATAAGATTTTATTATCTTAATGTGGGTATATAGAAAAAATATACACTAGCTTATAACAAAGGAACAAGGGGCTTAAAACCGGAGAATGAAATGTAAAAATAGATATTACCAAAACAATAATATAGTATTGATTTGGTTAATAAGAAATGTTTAAATATTTGTTTTCATAGTTATAAAATCGGGATAAAATAAGACTGTTAGATTATATAAAGTTATTATAGGAGTATATCATGAATGTTTTAACAAATTAATCAAAGATTAAGTATTTCATTATGAACAGCAGATCAGAGATTCATCATCATACATCTGTTACCACTTGTTATTCTGGTCCCGGGACCTGATCTCCAGACTCCGTTAATTTCTTTTTTTATATAACATATTCTGTATATTATTTCATTCCAATAATCTGTACTAATTTCAATACAAGCAACCGTTTTCGTAATTCATAGTGTATCAACCAAGATTTAGTTATATGTGGGTAAATACATAGTAATAATGGATATTTGTTATACAACAAGTTGCATATATGTTCTTTATATTCTTTGTTCCCTAAATAATTACTTTGTTAGACTTCTATATGTACTTCGATAGGTAGGTACATAAAACATATATACGGCTGTATTTCCGTATTCATATATTTTTCAAATAGTGTTTAGTGTGTAATTGATTCAATATATTTAATAGCGAACTTTTTACTTTTGAACATTGTAGTAAGTTCTGGTGTTAACCTAAAATAATTATTAAGGTGATAACTTCGCTTATAATTTTGAATTCACTTATAATTAAATAAAAAACAAAAAGTCCGTTTCAGGTCGATAACCACTTTATTATTTTATATTGTCGGTAGATATAAAAAGTATGATTCACAAATAATCACGGCTTGTTCGGTCGGAAAGCATTTAAAAATCGATCGAATAGCGAGCGATTTGGATAAAATTATGTATGAACATATTTTAAAAGGCCAGTAGTGGTATACAATAAAATAATACTTTTTAAATAAAATAATAATAACAAAATAGTTTTTATTCCGAAAATCACAAAGGAATGAGAATCTCGAGAAAATTTATTGCATAAAAAGATGGATTTTAAGACTTAGAAATTACATCAGTACGAATTTTAAAAAAATCCTCTACTTTTTCCTACAATGCCATTATCTATTACGTGGATTATCCTTTCCAACTACTAAAGTCTATAAAATCTATTCAAAGTAACGGAATCATCTCCTAACAAACATTCAGGATATAAAAACAAAATAAAAATACTTAATTAAGAGATCAAAAATTATAGTCTTTAAGTCGATTAACAATTTTTCGATTTCAAGTGTAGGCATTATGAGTAATTTTATTAAAATCTAAACAACATTGAATAAACAGATACAGACGGGCAGGTAATGTATGTATGTATGTATAGTGATGTTATGAAAAACAACAAAAAAATAGATTTGAATAAGAAGTTAAAGAAAGTTAATTTGTAATATAATTTTATTTAGAAAATCTATATTTTAAAAATAAAGTTTTTTGATTCTTATTTAAAGGAAAGAAAATAGTTATCTGTACAATAAACTAGAATATCAAGTTGGTTGGGCACTATTACAAGAGAAATTAATATTTAAAGTTAATAATAATAATATATTTATAGGTTTATATTTTACTCAATAATCGATACTTAAGTTAATTAGAGAGGACAATATGTCTGTTTTTTATTACCTATAACAAGATTACGTACAATAGTTATGCAAATATTCAAAGTATTCTGCAAAAATAGGGTAGAATTTTACTATCTACATAAGCATTAGAGAGTTAATAACGTCGGCATCAGGATTCGTGTTGATTAGAGAAATAAATACCCTCACTACTAAAATGTAAAGAAATGAGTTGACATCTTATAATAACATAGAACACGGTGATTATAAACACATTAGGTTGGTTGGTTGTTTAAAATATTTCCTTCATCTGTGCAAAGACGTGCATAGTACATATATTCTGACAGAGTCTTGTATAATGGACACACGATCCGGGATTAACTTTTAAATAAAATAAAATTTAACAGCCTCGACTGAAGTCACAATTAGGAACTTTGTTAGTAGACCTAATACAACACAAATTAAATTAGATGCAAAAATTGGAGATGTTTACTGTATAAAATATGTGAAACTAAGACTAATGTATATATTATGTATAAACACATTAGACGATTAAAATCACGATCATTGTTATCAGCGGGTAAATGAATATTCTCAGTACGTACTACATATTATATAATTGCATAAAAATATTGATTTAATTTCATACTGTAATAGTAACTTATAATAATGTACATATAGGAAATAAGACATTGTGTGTATTAAAAGTAAAACATTATATCCTTTTAATTTATAAAAAACTAAAATATAAATAGTTATTTTTTATTTTAAAACTCATTTCAAACTCAAATGTTCAAACACAAGTCTTGTAATGAATTTCAAGTGATTTTCGATCAGCGATCTTTTTGATGACTTCGAAGTGCAGACAATATGGACTGTATTATATGTTTATGTTCTGATGAAAGACGAAATTTGGTGAAAACTCTCCTCTTGATGTTACAAATGCGCTGTAATTTATTTGATTAGAAATATTCATTTTTTTAGCTTATTTTGAATAAGTACCGAAAAATCAGCCTCATTTTCAATCGAAAAATCATCCGTCAAAATATCAGCTATTTTCAAAAATTTGGTATGTTTTCAATTTGTTGAAATCTCTATTTTTCGATGGTGAAGAAAAAAATATAAGTTTCTTACTTACAGTACCATTTTTGGATAAAATAATCATGTCCCTTTTAATGAAATGACACTCGACATCGTTTGGAAAATGCTCTTTCAATTTATTTTTAATACCCCCATACCCTTCCCGACCTCAGATCACCTGTAAATTATTTTTCCTATAATTGTTATAATATTCCCCTCCTTTTCTAATGGTTTTCATTCTACTATAATTTATTTTCACTTTTCATTAATTTTAAAGGCTTCTGCACTGGTCTATTAGTTCATACATCATTTATTTAAACTACAAGCTTAATAAATTATATAGAACTTTCATAAGAAGACATTTTTTGGATACTCATTATATACACTGAATAAATAACACTGAAATATAAATTAGTACGTCCATTAAATATTTTTCATACATTCATGACCTTTTGTTTATTAATATTTAAATAAACTTAAATGAAATTAATATTTTTCGGATTATACTACACGACTTTATTTATGTATAAGCGTACATACTCCCGTGAACACGGTTGCTGAAAAGTAGCGGAAAGGTCGAGAGTATGTAGTTTTTAGAGAATCCGAAAATATTAGTTTCATTTAAATGAATAAAACTCGCAAAAATCCGAGATCTCATTATTTAAATAACTCCCATATTAACATAGTCGTCTATCACGTCATTGAGTCGCTCGGCGTACATCACGTTAGGGTCGATAGAAAAGTCATCAATGACGAGGTCCTCCTTGATCACAGGAACGTCTTCCTTCTGGACGGTCACTATCAGCAAACAGAACACGCTCAGCAACAGACCCATGGGCAAAACCTGGAAGCAGAAGCTAGTTTTAAAAGATAATAAACATTATACATGTGTGACTGAACTCATACAAGAAGTTATACCTCTTTGAAGTCGATGTCGAAATCCTCCCTGGAGTATACTTCATCAGGGTTAAGCCTAAATCTCTTTAGAGCTTTGGACAATTCGTCATAGTAATGATTTAAGGCTTGGTGGAAATGTTTTTCCCGGAACTTCTTATCAGATCCAACGAATATAAAGAATAAGATGTCAATAATTGGATTCGCCATTTCCAGGGTCTGGTAATCCACGGCCACTATCTGGATACCGTTGTCCTGCAACATGTTCGTTTATATTATTTAATGTGTTCTGACATTTTCGAACTCTGGTTCGAACAAGTCATTAGAAAAGTTACTATATAATTATTACATTACAGTATTGAAAAACATTAGAGATTGATAAATAAGACACATTAAAGTAAATATTACGATTCTACAAAACTTTCAAAGGTTGTCGTAGAATAGAGAAAAAAATTGTGTCATGTTGAAACTAATTTTATCACACATATTCATTGATAACGAAATCTAAGACTTTCGCGTGTATGCATTTCAATGAAAATAATATTTTTCGGATTACTACGCGTATTTTATAATTTTTTAATGTACTTACTAAAATCCTGTGCATTAAATTGCTTGGCCTGTAGTCACCATGAATTATAATAGGCCGCTTGCGATATCTATAAAATCTGTCAATGTCTTTACTATCAGCTAATTCGTTCATAAATTTGGAAAAACGTTCTCTGTTCGCTTCCTTGGTCACTTGAGTAGCATTTTTTATGACGTTCTTAAAGTAAACTATCGTTGCATCCACATCACGGTGTCCTTTCAGAACAGCCATCTCTTTGAAATCTGGGTCATATACAGAGAACGATATTGATAAAGCGTGAAATTTTGCAAGATTTTCTAAGCCTTTGGAAGCGTACTCCCAATCTATAGATTTAAATCTGTCATGTGTCGTGAAACCCTGAGCTGTTAAATCTTCTAACACCAAAGTTTCTTTCAGATATTCCTTTGATTCGCCGTAGAATTTCGGTGTTATAAATCTGTGTTCTGCGGGTATATCATATTTGTCTTCTAACTCTTTATATTTTTCATTCAACTTGTTGTAGAACACACTCTCTGTTTCAAATAACTTTAAAGGCGTGACCGCTCTCAGGTTTTCTCCAACGGAAGCGACTTTCGCGAATAATTTGAGTTCCTCTTTCTCTGGAGCTTTTATAGATGCTTGATATAATACAGTGGTGTAGTTGTCTCCCTCGGTTGAAATTGCTTTGTGAGTTATATGATAGTTTTCATAGCCATGTTCTTTCGCAACTTTTTCGAGTGTTTCTCTCAATGTTTGTTCTGTTTTGTCCATCTTTAATAAATAAAATTGAGAAAGAAATCTGTAACAGAAACGAAATATTAAAATTATATCGACAAAAAGTATTTATGATTAATAAACAAGTAGGTGTTTTATTCTGAAACAGTAACGGTTAAAACGTAATAATTCGCTATAATTTAGTTAGCCGAAAATTTATCTCAAGAAAAGTTAAATGAGGGAGAAAAAGTATAACTTTGTCTATCTTGATCATCAATTTCATTCATTTCTCACACTTTAAAGAGCTCGGAACATCAACAAGGTGTGACATGTGACGGGGAGATGGGTAGAAAGATTTGTCGCGCCACATATTAAAAATACTTAACCGAAAGCTTACATGTACTTAAAAAGCTTTAAATATTTACAAACTCGATCTACATATACCTACCACTATTTTAATATCCTCATTATAAGAGTGTCTATCACGCAGCAACCTTTAATTTTGTATCCCCATCCATCGATATATGTATCTAGTGTAAAATATTTGAGCATCGTGCCTCATCTGATTACTATAAATTTTGTGAATAATGGAAGACGTAGCGTCAACAGTTCTGACTTTGGAGTTTTTAATAACCTTGATTGTTTCAAAATTTTTCGATGGGTCAGCTTTAAAAGAAACCATAACAACGCTCTTGGCTACACTAAACCACAGTTGATTATCTACATCTCTAAGCCAACACTAGTAACATTACAATATTCAATAATTTTAGTTAGTGTGTATCTCAAAACGTTTGCAAAATTATAAAAGATCTTTAAATTTGAAAATACATGAGTGGCTTAAAACTAAAGTTATTAATGCAATTTATGTAACCTAGGACGATGAACAGTTTCAGCGAGTGATAAAAAGGACTTGAAACTTTACCAAAACTGAAGCGATACGGTCTGAAGGAAAAATTAATTAATCTGAAAGCGGTACCAAGGGAAACAAACGGAAAAGCTTTAGTAATAGAACTAAACCTTTAGTAATAAGACTAAACTAAAGCTTTAGTAATAAGACTAAACTAAATCAGTATGTCCATCTATCACTGGAAGACGATAATCATGTTCTTATAATAAAAAGCCCTAAACAATGGACAATTTCAATTTATTGAAAAAAATGTGACACGCCCTTAAAGAAATTAATGGTACTTTAACATTGCTACCGTTTAAAAATATCTGATACTAGTTTTTGCCCGCGACTTCGTCCGCGTTAGTTTGGTCAAGAGTAATATATGTAGGTATAGCTGACCAGGCGAACTCTATTCCGTCTTAGAGGCCATAAATAATCAGGTTTTTCCTGTTTCAATCAAACAGAATGATTGACATATTAGTTAGTTGTCAAATCTAATGTCAAAAAAACGTTTGTATGGGAAATAGAAAAGGGCTGTTTTTAGACTTTTCCCGGAAATTATTCAAATTTTTCTTACCTTTTAAACTTTCCCTGGACGTCCAGGAGTATTTCAAGACTAAAATTAGCCAAATCGGTTCAGCCGTTTTCGAGTTTTAGCGAGACTAAGGAACAGCAATCCATTTTTATATATATACTAGAAGACCTTGCGAACTTCGTATCGCCCTATAATCACGAAATATCTATTACGTTTTTTTATTTATTTATGTTTTGAAGTGCGACAGAATGATTGACATATTAGTTAGTTGTCAAATCTAATGTCAAAAAAAACCTTTGTATGGGAAATAGAAAAGGGCTTTTTTATGGTTTTCCCAGTAATGAATCAATTTTTTTCAGCTTTTATACCTTCCCTGAACCTCCATAAACATTTCAAGACTAAGATAAGATAAATCCGTTCAGCTGTTCTCGAGTTTTAGCGAGACTAAGGAACAGCAATCCATTTTTATATATATAGAAGATATAAAAGATAAAAGATAAATGAAACTAATATTATTCGGATTATTATGCGTATTTTATTATTAATGGCACATCTTGGCTCCCCTTGATCACAGCTGCTGAAAAGTAACCGAAACGTCGGGAGTATGTATGTAGTTTTGAAATAATGTACTTAATACACGGAGAAATCCGAATAATATTATTTTCATTTAAATTAATACTCGTCAAAGTCGTAGATCTCATTATATCTGATATAAGATCATTAGCAGACCTCCTGGATTCAAAGCAGATCAGTGGATCAGCCACAATACTTCTGAGCTTATCAATTAGTACCTACTAGTGATGTAACGAATGTTGGATTTTTCACATTCGCGAATGCGAATGCGAATGCGAATATTCATCTTCAATATTCGCGAATGCGAATGCGAATGCGAATGTTAAATTTCAAATAAAGCGCGCGCAAAATGTTTGACATTTCGTGTCGGCCATGTTTAAATTGAACATAGCCGAGCCGATACAGGTTGAATGAACGAAGTTAGTCACAGAAAGTTCATTCGAAAAGTATTGTTTTGATTTGAGGTTAGTTTGGTGTTATTGCATTTCCCAAATTTAACTGATATTCAAGTGACAAAGTGGTATAAAAACATGAGTAAAGCACGTGTTAGCGAAGTTTGGACTTATTTCACAATATATGATGCTGAAAATGTAAATTGCAAGTTGTGTGATAAAAAGTACTCGCGCAAAGGCAGGACCACTAGTGCTATGCGAAATCACCTAGAAACTAAACACAAAAATGAATATGACGAATTGAAAAGAAGAGAGCATGAAAAGCGAGGTGCTGCTAAAATAAATTCTTTGGCGTCCTCTTCGCGACAATGTACCAAAACCGACCTTAAGCAAATATCTTTAGGTGATTGCATCGAAAAAAATAAAAAATGGGATAACAACAACACCAAGTCTTTGGAGCTAGATAATTTAATTGGCGAAATGATTGCACTGGAGGACTTACCATTTAGTTTTGTGGAATGCCTTGGATTTGTGAGATTGATTAACCAAGTGTGCCCCTCGTATAATTTAAAATCTCGGCAATATTTTACTTCGTTTATTTGCGAAAAATTATATGGCAAGGTAAAAGATAAAATTCTGGAATTAATCAAATCATTTGAAAAACTAGCGTTTACAACTGATATCTGGTCTGATTCTTGCTCTGGGGTATCGCTGATAAGTTTCACTTGTCACGGAATTACCAAAAGTTTTGAAAGAAAAATGATTGTTTTGAAATCTGAAGTATTTAATGATGGGCGACATACAGGAGAAAATATAGCCGTAAAGCTAGAAACTATGTTGTCATCATGGGGAATTCCCAAAGAAAAGGTATTATGTATTGTTAGGGACGGTGGCACTAACATGAAAAAAGGTATTTCTTTATTAAATATTAAAAACATTGATTGTTTATCGCACCAAATTCAACTTGTTGTTAAGGAAGGGCTTAAGTCACAAGAATCTATCATTGCAGTCATTAACAAATGTAAAAAGATAGCAACACATTTTCACCACTCTAATGTAGCTCAAGATGAACTTGCTAATCTACAAGAAAAACTTAATCAACCAAAGCTCAAGATAATCCAAGAGTGTGTTACGAGATGGAATAGCAACTTTTACATGTTAGAACGAATTTTAAAAAACAAAGATTCACTGTGCCTTTATGCTTCCACTAACAACAAAATTTCACAACTAAGTTCAGATGAATGGATAGTTGTGGAAAAATTAATTACATTGCTTAAACCTTTTGAAGAAATAACACGAGAACTAAGTGCAGCCAATGTTTCCATATCGTCTGTGATTCCGTTATTGGCCACCCTGGAAAAGGTGATTGATGAATATGAGGCATCTGAAGAATGCATTAGAAAAACTATACTCGTTTTAAAACAAGAAATGAATCACAGATTTTCTCACTTGGAAAACGACAAATTATTTGCTACAGCAACTTTTATTGATCCTAGGTACAAATCGAAATTTTTCAAAAATCCTTCAACCAAAGATCAGGTCGTGAAAAATATTTTGGATTTAATTGGAAATGAGGACTTCAGCTTTCCTTCATGTTCAAATTCAAAGCGTCCTAAAACGACTAATCAGGTTAAGGAAAACTTTGGCTCCAGTGCCAGTCTTTCAGAAAAATCTGTATCACTAAAAGAAACTATGAAAATGATGATGGACTCAAGTGAAAGCGAGGAAGAATTAGAAAATGAAATTCCAAATCCTGTAGAAGTTTTAATTAAAAAAAATATTAATGATTATGTATTGGATAAACGTATTGAAAATGAAGAAGACCCACTTCTTTGGTGGAAAGTTAATAGCAATAAATATGGTATTCTTTCTCCTGTAGCCAGAGAATATTTGGTAACTCCACCCACAAGTGTCCCCAGTGAAAGAGTTTTCAGTGGAGCTGGACTTCTCTACACACCTCACCGAAACAGGCTGCACGGAGAAAGAGCTTCAAAACTTTTATTTTTAAAATTTAACATTCCTTTACTTCAATTTAATTACTAAGAATTTAAAGTTACAGCGAGTTTAATTATTTTAATAGTCAACTGTGTCAACTTGTTATTAGCAAAACTATAATTGTGTAGTTTATATTTGATTATTTTTAATTCATAGAAAAAGAAAATTAGTGAAAAAATGTGCAATTGAAACCAAATGTTAACATTATGAATATTAGAACTTTACTTTTGTTTTAAATAGAAATAAATATTTTTTGTTTTTGTAAAAAGCTTATTTACAAATAGTCAAGTATTCATTATTTGATTTTTTAAGTTTATATTTCATTATCATATTTAATTCTTAGAAAATATATAGTGGGATGGAAAAATATATAATTAAAGCCAAAAAGGTTATAAATTAATATTATACTTAGATTTGATTGGATCTCTGAAGTTCTGTTTTCACAAAAGATACTTGAATTTAGAATTAGATTTTTTTCAAAATATATGTAAGGCATGGACATTCATTATTTTTTCTGTGGTGGAGTTAAGTTGTGATTTTGTTAATATTTTAATTAGACTAACAAGAACAAAAGAGAAAGTGTTTCTAATTTAGTTGCTTACCAAGACTGTTCCATAATATTTTTTTTTAATTCAAGTATGGTTAAATAAAAATATATAAATCTTATCAGTTGTGTTATCATTTCATATGCAACCATATAATAATTTCCTTTTTGTTTGTTAAATACATTCGCTAAATATTCGCATCGTTTTTTGCGAATAGGAATGCGAATGCGAATATCGAAAAATATGCGAATATTGGCGAATGCGAATGCGAATGCGAATATTCGTTACATCACGAGTACCTACCTATAACACCTGCAGAGAGGAGAAAATATATAACATCTTTCTAAACAGTTCTGTAGTTTTATAGTATACATTATTTCGTAATTTTTAAATAAAGTCATGTGGAATATTTCGATCACGTCTATTTTATTTATATTCCTACTAATATTATAAATGCGAAAGTAACTCTGCCTGTCTGTCTGTCTGTTACGCTTTCACGCCTAAACCACTGAACTGATTTTAATGAAATTTGGTACAGAGATAGAGTTGACCTTGAGAAAGAACATAGAATAGTTTTTATCCCAGACTTTTGAAAGGTTCTCTTGGTAACACGATATAACCGATCTAAACGCGGGCGAAGCTGTGGGCCGAAAGCTAGTCTATATCTTCTATATATATAAAAATGGATTGCTGTTCCTTAGTCTCGCTAAAACTCGAGAACAGCTGAACGGATTTATCTTATCTTAGTCTTGAAATGTTCGTGGAGGTTCAGGGAAGGTATAAAAGCTGAAAAAAATTGATTCATTACTGGGAAAACCATAAAAACAGAACTTTTCTATTTCCCATACAAACGTTTTTATTGACATTAGATTTGACAAATAACTAATATGTCAATCATTCTGTCGCACTTCAAAACACGGAGAAATATGGCTTACAGGTAAACTCCAAAAAAATAAATAAAAAACGTAATAGATATTTCTTGATTATAGGGCGATACGAAGTTCGCCAGGTCTTTTAGTATTTTATAAATGTTTAATTGCACAACTTGGCAAGAATAACAAAATTAACATTGTTCTGTATCTATACATAAACCTTGAAACAGTAGGTGCGATCTTTCCATATCTTAGAATAAAATTTAGAGACATTCATTAGGTTGTCATTATATTTGGGGCCACAAATTGCGTTTACCTTATTTAATGCTAGCAGAAGATTATTTTTTGAGGTTCCAAGTACAGGTTATCCGGAGTGGTCATTAACAGAGAGAACAAAAAAGTGGTTCATTCTGACCGTTCAATTGAATACACAATCTACCTTATGAATTGAATTAAAAAGTAATCTTAATTCATTTGAACGGCCTCTGGACATAAAAAACTAAAAAGATTTCATCGTGAGATCGCTTCGAGAACTATAACCTACTTTTTCATTCTTATACATATCATCAACAAATCAAATAATAAATTATATTAATTAAACGGATGAAAATATATTTATTATATAAAAAGTTACAAACTCAGTTGTATAAAGTTTTTTTGTCATTATGTGAATGGTCGATTGTCATTTTATTTTCTAAGAAAAAAGAAGATTATATCAAACAATAAACAATTAACTCCTTAATATTTCCATAACCTCTTAAATGTCATCGTTTTCGTATCGTAGAAAACGATTTAAATCGTTTCATTACTCGTATGTAGAAAAATGTATCTAACTTTTTACATTCATCTATTGTTAATATACCTTCGTATCCCTAATGTTTGATGATTAAGTTTTATCCTTTCTGAATAACTGTAACCTGCGCCTACATAAATTTGTAATTTTTTTTATGTAAACATGTAGTTTACGAACAAATCAAACTACAGTATATACAAACCATGACTCATTTACTTACATATTGTTATGCAATATGATAAATTATAGACGAAACGTCTAAGTATAAACATTTTTATTTGTTAGGGCTATAGAGCTTAATTGTAAAGGCTTTATTTCCGGTGTTCCCGATATAACAAGAATAAAACAATTCTATAACCGTTACAGAATTTTTTGAAATAAAACTATTGGTTAATCTCCATACCAGCAATGTAATTTTTAACTCAATACTAATAGGTTTAAAAATGAAAATTGTTAAATATCATTATAATCACTTATGATTTTTATTTTTATAACACAAAATGCAACATTTATTTTTACGATCACATAGTATTAAATATTTATTACTTACCCAGATATAAATAACACAACAGCAGCCAAACGACTGGCAATGTTTAAATAACCCCTGTAACTAAATAGCCGACGAGCCGAAGACTCCGGACAAAAAAAATGATAAAGATCATGGTGATAAAAAACAAATCGTTTTGTCTGAGGAACAGGTGTAACCTTAACAAAGATATGTGTATACTATAAACAATAATTGTGTATTGATAGTCTGTAATCTAGTGATTAAAGGTTTTCGTACTCTCGGAGAAAGAACCTCGACATAATAATAAAAAAGAGCGGCGACTCTGTTGTTTTTTTTCATATAGTTCTATAATATACCTAGGTACATTGGTTTGAACTGAATCACCTACTGATTACTGATAATCTCTACTGCAATTAATATAATCGATCAAGGAATGGTTAAAGGTTTTATTTATCACAACTATTTTTATAGATTTTTGTTTTAGTTAATAGAAAGCTGCAGGAGTGACTTTGCTTGTCTGAATTAACTGAATTCATTATAATGACAAAATACATTTCAGCTCATTACGTGACCTATTCAAAATATTTAGACTCGATATCCTCTTCTCTACAGTACATGGATATAAAAAATGTCTATCAAGAGGTGCTGTGGCGTCTCTCGGTCTTATATTTAATCTAGATTATATTAAAGCAATATTTAGAAATTTTTGTGTGATTCGAAATTCGATACTCGACTTATTGTCATATTTCAATGAAAAATTACTATTAATGTTTTTATCATTAATCATTATTTAGGCATATTTTCTGAACTCCGTACAGTCTAGGCTGGTCGCCATCCTTCTGTTGGAGATGTTTCTTGCATCAGGATGAAGTGATAGACTTCCTCTATCCACCCATCAAAAGATTGGAACACTGCCTGTGTCTGTTTCGTTTAAATTACAATTTGAGTGTCTAGATGAAATGGGCTAAAGTGAATGGGTTGTTATTAAGATAGTGCGTTTAAGGCTTGATTTGAATGACAGTCAAGTACTATCTAGTCAAAACTAAAAAAAGTGTACAGATTTTACTTTTCATATTGATATTTTTTTTGCCATAGTCATAGTTTTATCATAAGTTATGGTATCGTTACCATTACTTCATATACTTTTATTTAGTGGGGCGTATCAATAAAACAATAAATACAGTATGCTGTTTATTTTATTATCTCAGGAAATATCTTCATATTAATATATCATAATATAGTTTCATTACAATTGATGTTCGCAGCGGTCAATGACGTTCGACGGTACGCCGCGACTCACCTCCGCGGGTAGCGTAGCCACGAGACGAGAGTGTAACGTCCAACGAGACACGATAAACACATCACATCATTCACTCTCTGTCTCGGAGAGTCCGACGTAAACTATCATAAAACAACATCGCAACAGAAACACAACTGCCAGGAGAGACGCAGACACGTATGTAACATGAATAACATACTTACTACTATACCAAATCTACTATAGTTTATTTGGTCAAGGAGATAGCAACACGCCCACATTAGTCTCGACGGCGTGCACAATACTGAATACAGACACACACGTCTCAACGATCAGAGTTCCTTTAATACCTACAAGGACTAAACCTAGTGCTGGCAAAGATATAGGCACGACTCGCGACTCGCGATGGGTCCTTGTGACGTAGACAACATGATCGGAGCACAGCGCGCAGGGACGCTGGCTCCGATGAAAGGAAATACACGACCGACACATACTATAACATGTGATACAGATACACGAGCTCGCCACTACCATGACTAACAGGTGGCGCCACCGGTCACGCGACCTTCCTCCAAGAGTCAGTCAGTCAGTCAGTCAGCCGGCGCCGCGAGCTCCTCACCCTCTCTACGTGTCTAATCAATATGTAGATAGAACATTTAAATACAACGCTAAATCACAAGATCATATAATAGTCGAACGAACGCGTAACGTAACGTAACGGAGCGCATGATATGAGTTTTATTGTACTTTTACATGATACACATTCAGCTACAAACAATACACGACCGACTCCCGCCGGGATACAATGTGTTGGAATGATTCTACACCTTACCGACGATTCGTTGCATATCAGAAGCGACGAACGCTCGCCAGCACTCACATAAACTATCAACGAATAACAGACTTCAATAAATGCTTTATACATTACATCCGACAACAACCGGCCCGGCCCGCTACACGACACACTACTACCGCCTACCACAACGAACTGTAACTGCCAACATTATATTATTATTATTACTTTTTTTTGCAAGTGTCAAAATGACGTATATGAGCAAAAAAGCTATAAAAAACGGATCGAACGGAACAATATACAAACGTGTAACGTCACGCCGCCACGAGCCGCCGCCCGCCGGCCGCCGACACGTACAAAACAAGCGCTGTCCAAAAGCTACGGTTATATAGAGTCGTGATGCAGTCAGCGGCGGGGACGGCGGGGTAGCAAGTGTTATTGATAGCTTTAAATACACATCGAGGTCCGACCGGAGGGTCGCGCGAGCCGAGCGGACCCGGGGGGGCCGCGCGGACCGGCGAGCCTCAACAACAGCGACTAACAAAGAGATAACAACTTTAGGATAACAGATATACATGTTGACGATCGACGAGCAGACCGACCGACACCACACGCGCCCGACCTCCGACACGCACACACACACACACACACACATATACAGAGTACGAAACAATTCAACATGAAACGTTTATTAGAAATCCGCATTTGTACTATAAGAAAAATAACAATCCCCACACGGGACCCTACCGCGTGTACACACACACACTCACACACACACACACACACATCTGTAACATTCGACGATAGAATTTAAATTATATAATTTATACAAAAGTATTAATATTCAATATATACATAATAAAATAATAACAAATAAAATGGAGAGTAAATACAATCGAGTATAACAATAAGTTAACGGACCCGCCCCCGCCGGGCGCGAGCTGGATGCTGGCGGTGACGTCACGCGTGGCGCGTCCCCGCGTCATATAAGCTACAGTTTAGGCCGATGTGAGTAGGGAGGCTGGTGACGTCACTGGTCGGTGCGGGACAGCGCCAGGGCCAGCTGCAGCTCGCGCTCCTCCCGCCGGCGCCGCTCGTCCGCCTCCCGCTGCAGGCGCCGCGACTCGGCCTCGGCCCAGGCCCACTGCTGCTCCTCCGACAGCTCCGCGTCCCGGGCCTGGCGGGCCTCCTTGGCCTCCTTGGCCTCCTTCCCCTTCTTGTCCTTGTGGCGCGCCCGGCCGATGCCGCCGATGGTGTGCACCAGCGACCTCGCGTACTTGACCGGCTTGGGCGACTTCTCCTTCTTGGCGGGCAGCGTGGTCGCGGGCCAGGTGTCGTTGAGCCCGTGCGTGGCCGGAGGGTTCGCGTTGTGGTCCCAGTCGGCCGCCCAGTCGTCCTTGACCTGCGAGTCCTTGGCGCGCGGGCTCCAGTCGTCCTCGGGCCACACGGCCCACGAGTCCGTCCTGTCCCGGGACGTGAACGGGTCGTCGGCCAGCGGCGGCGCGGACACCCGGCCGTTGAGTGCGGCGGGGAAGGCGGCGGGGAAGGCTGCGGCCGAGGCGGGCCGCGCGCGGGGCTCCTTCTTGGGCTCCGCGAGGTCCGCGAACGGGTCGTCGATGTTAAAGGGATCTTCGTATCTGTAGTCTTTGAAGGGGTCCTCCGTGAAGTCGAGGGCGGGTTTGCGGTCGTTCTGAGCGAACACAAACTGTGAGTGTGGGGGCGAGGGGTTGGGGTCTGTGGGGGTGTGTGGAGGTGTGTGGGGGTGTCGGGAGGAGGTCGGGGAGGTCTGGGGAGAGGACGCACTAGAGCCCAGTCCGCCGCGTCCGTTTAGCGCTGCAATGTGGGGACAAGCACGAGCGTGTTAGCATGTTAGTGGATCACCGTGATGGCACATGAACAGATCAGAGAACAAACTGTTTGACGCCAGACGTCACGCTCGACACTAAAGTTTAATATTATTAAGTTCATCACTGCTGACTGTGGACTGTGTTTAAAATCTCCGAGTGTAGTCTGGCGTCAACATTAAAAATATTCAATCATATTAGTTTACATTACATTTAATTATATGAAAATATTCAATAAAAAATTATAAACAAATGAAAGAAAGGAGGAGAACGTGCGTTAAACTCAAGCTATCGGACACTACTGAGCACTAGACTACTAACTGATCTGGAACTACTGTACTCATCATTCTTATTACCGCTCTTCTAATACTACTTAACTGTCAAAACGAAACTTCTGTCAATTTAAAACTACCCTCTGTCGGGGTCATTCTAAATAACTAAGCATCAACAACAAAAATTTATGTTTTTCTATCTGAACGCAAAAATAATGGACTAAGTCTAGCAATAACACTCTTCATTCGTATTTAAAATGTACATAGATACAAGATCAAAATGATATAATGGTTTTATCTGTTAGGTAACTATATTTTTTGCTAAGCTTCCGTTTCGATCTATAGATTACTTTCATTTAGTACGGCACGCGTTATCGCTTGATAATTATTTCAATTATAACGATGAGTAACACTCACACGTGCGACTATCTCAGAACACTCTGGATAAGTAGATAGACATCTAATTTTGTTTTGATTGAAATTCTACATTACATTTCCATTACTCTTTAGTGATCGTAAGTAATACACGCTAAGTAAATCCTAAAAGGAGAATTTGACAGAATGTGTGCTCGCGAAAGTATTAGTTATGGTTAAATTAATTATTATTATATATATTAGTGTAGGGTTAAAGAAATCCATTAAATTTTAGGTAGACAGATGACAGATTCATACTTCGTAATGAATCGAACTAATGACTTCTGTTTATGGTCCTTGGCGACGTGACATCTTAAAGGACAATAAATATTGGTTTAATATGGAGTCGCTAAATAAAAACAGAAAAATTTAATAAAGAGCTGGAATGCAAGAGTCAGGCGACTGTAATACACTATTACTGAACTAATAACATGCACTTTTACTTAAAAATTTATAATTTACAAGTTTGTATAGCGACTCCAAAACAGCGAAATATGAACGAGTCAAAGACATCTCTTGCCGAAAAATAAAAAAAAATGTTAGGAGTAGATTCTTTTCCAGTTTTTTAGTACAAAAGAAACAAAAATACTATGTTATGTATTACAAAAGTAACTTCATGTGGCTACAAGTTAACTCAAAAATTATGTATTTACTTTAAATGGAGAGATTTGAAGTTCCTATAAAATTAATGGATTTCTTTTCTAATTCTACTATAATTTTTTTTTAAATATAAATTATAAGTATTGAAACTCACCGCACGTTTACAAAATTACTATGAGTTAATGCCATGCTATCCATAGATGTTTAATAACTACCACACTGGCTCCACTTAAAAATAACTATAATACAGATTAATAAATTAAAAATATTACTCCACTACTTATTGTTAGATACATATCCAGGCAGAAAATGTTTAGAAGCAAAATAAATGAAAAAAAACACATGCTCGTCCCAAAAAAGCAGCGCCAAGCAAACAAGACGAATAACAAAATAATAAAAAAAACTATTTTAGTGACGACAGCCGTGTGAATACAATAACACACACGAAGCGGTTATAAGAGGGCGGCGCATGCGCACACGAGCGGAGTGACGTCACTTGCCTGGCGCGCTCTGCATGACACCGACCTCTCACTATGAATGTAAGTACGTACTATTCATTTTCTCTGCAGCGTTAAATAAAAATACACATTTAGCTAGATCCGGCTCAACATGCCGCGACTACTGGAGGGACGGGGAGGGGGGGACTTGTACACACTACGAGAGGGGCGCAAACAATAAGGGATCAAATAAAACATAATATATCAAAAAATTTAAAAGAAAACTCATAAAACATTATAAATAATCAAAAAATTTGAATTAATCTGATTTGATTAAAATTAAAGCTTTCAATTATGTATAACTGATGAATTAGTTCAGAGTCGATAGTAATCCGTTCAGTATATATATACAGGTCCTGAGCTCGTCCTCATCTTGCCGGTGGTACCTTGTGTGGCGGCATGGGCCGCGGGGGCGCGGGCCGGGGGGGCGGGGTCTTGTGGCTCTTGGCCAGGCTGGGCGTGGTCCCGGCGCTGGTGGGTTGGGCCGTGTTGACCGTCGCTCGGGTCGGCGCGTGGAGCACTGCGAACGGATCCGACTCCCAGGCACTCTGTGGATAGAACAATGAGTGGGTTATATGAGACGGTAAGGGTGAGTTGTCTCATCGTGTGGCTATACCTCTGATGTGTAATAAATATAGTGTGTATGCTATATTATAGAATTAAGTCTAGTGTAAAGTCTCCTTTATAAAACATCTCATGTGTACATCCAAATATGGTGGACCACCCATTGGCCCAAGCTTTCATTATGCTATGTTAAAATCTTCTAATATTATTAAATACGACTTGAAGCTACAAAGACGTTTCTTTTCAAACCCAGTAATTAACCACGTTAGACCTCGAACATTTGAGAGACTTGGGTGAGTTCGGCCTCTCCTTTCCATCACTTCCAGCTGTAATCTTTAATTACGTTCCTAGATTTTATGTCACGTCGAACCGAATTCATACATGAAAAGCATCTAACTAGTTCGTGTATTAAAATTATAACAAAAATATAATATTGTTTGACTCACATCATTTGCAGCCGGTGCTTCGGACTGGACGAACGAGTCGCCGGAGAACGGATCCGCGCCCGGAGAAAACGACGAAAACGACTGGGGAGATACGACCAGTAGTGAGAACAGACATGGGTCAAGGAAAGATGAGTATCACATAGTGAAAACTTTATTTATTTACTTATTTATTTATATAAGGACAACTTACAAAACATACACCATTTATAGGTTTTAAAATAAAGGTAATTACATTTTTAGCTAAGTGTTGTTTCAATTAAAAGTTATCACGGCATGGAAAAGGACAGTATTTTCTATTAACCTAACACAACTTTTTTTGACCTTGCAATGACCAGAAACACATGATACATACTGGCATTACTTTATTATGAATATAATTTAAATAATGTCAGAGTTTAACAATGATTTAATACAAAATATACTAAATAAATAATATAATGACAAGATCTGGGAACCTGCTGGAATTGTGTATACACAATCAATATATTAGTTATTCGAGTGTAAGGATTTATATGTAAAGCGTAAAAAATATAAAGGCCGTGAGACGATAAATATACCAAATCGGCCCCAGACAGGGATCGGGCTCAAAATGTCAGGGAATGTTTGTATTCATAAGATACTTTGATGATGCGAGTTTCAGGTCTTTATCTATAACCGCTTCCGAGAAAATAAAAAAATACTGAAAATTAGGAAAAAATAATTTTCTCAGAGTGTAATTATTCCATTGATCTAAATACCAGAAATTATTTTGGGGCTCGATGGCAGTTATACGAAGAAAAAATATGAGATATATAGGCTCACAAGAACCACAAAAATAAGAGTTTATATTTTTAATTTTCATTTTTAACCGTCTTACGGTTACGACACAGTTCTGAAAATATTTTTTTTTAATTCTCCATTCAATTTCCTATAAACCTATGACCTTTTAGAATTTTTAAAAACGGTACTACATATTGAAAAAAAAAATAAAACCATTTTTTGCTCAAAAATCGGCATTTTCTAATAATTTTACGCTTGAAGTGATAAAATATGAAACTTATTCGTTTACTGAGCTAAAAAAACTACAGAAGGAATTCAATAACCTGACATTATGAAAATAATTTCATTCAATGTAAGTACATTGATTAAGTATATAATTAATTAAGTAATTATTTTCAAAAACTTTATCAATAACTGTAATAAGTAAATCAGTATTCATCACTTTTTTATATGAATCAACTTTGTTTTAGAGAATTTTAACGTTCCCGTCCAATATTCAATAAATTAAACAACCACAAGATGGCATTGTAAGTCGAAAGTGGTAACAATGTTTTTTAAACTGTGAAAAGTGTTGTATTTCATCATTAAAGTCAACATCTAAATGAAAAGATGAATAATCAGTGCTTGACTGAGATATAGTCATCTCCGATAAACTCGATTCCGTTTTTTCCAAAAGTTCACTTCTATCTGAAGGTTGTTCATCTTCCAACAATGTTTCCTGATCCTCATCTTCAAGTTTCATTTATTTTTAATTTTTTTTCCGACAATTAGAACAAAGAATATCACCAACTACAATTGGACACTCAAAAACGGTTGAAAACTCTTCAGCATATTCACCGTACCGTTTTTAAAAATTCTAAAAGGTCATAGGTTTATAGGAAATTGAATGGAGAATTTAAAAAAATATTTTGAGAACTGTGTCGTAACCGTAAGTCGGTTAAAAATGAAAATTAAAAATATAAACTCTTATTTTTGTGGTTCTTGTGAGCCTATATATCTCATATTTTTTCTTCGGATAACTATTATCGAGCCCCACAATAATTTCTGGTATTTAGATCAATTGAATAATTACACTCTGAGAAAATTAATTTTTCCTAATTTTCAGTTTTATTTGATTTTCTCAGAAGCGGTTATAGATAAAGACCTGAAACTCGCATCATCGAAGTACATATCTTATGAGTACAAACATTCCCTGAAATTTTGAGCCCGATCCCTGTCTGGGGCCCATTCGGTATACTTATTGTCTCACGGCCTTTATTATTCAAGTAGAAGTATCTAAATACTTGAAAGATATATAAAGCATCATTCACACAACATATACAGGGTGACTGGTGAATTACTATCAATATTTAAGGAGAATACTCGGTACATGATTCTCATTCGAATTATGTAAAAAAAATAGGTACTTAATTTTTGACAAAATTTCCGTATAAATAAATAAAGTGTGGACACGTTCCAAGTGTTCCAAGTGTGGACGCGTGCGGCGGCGTACTGATACAACACCACGCCGCCGCACTCGTGTGTGTGTGTGTGTGTGTATACCTAATCTGTAGGGTATTCACACGATGCGTAATTAATTACATAACTTTTGGTTAACTTTACTTAGAAGTTTATTAATATTTATGTTATATTAATTTTTATTTTGTCATATATGATCGTCAAATATCACGTCCTCAAGTATCGATAGTAATTCACCAGTCACCCTGTATATATTACAGTCTGTATAAACAATTTTAAACTAATACATGTAAGTTCAACCTTATTGTTCGTAGTGTCCGTGGGCGCGAAGGGGTCACCGTTGTGAGTGAAGGAGTCCTCGAACTTGGCGAAGGAGCCGTTCATGGTGGCCGCGCTCCCTCCTCCCTCCCTCTCCGCCTCCTGGAAAGACACCACACTAGCTGTTAGTGACCGCTCTTACTTCTTATATACACATTAAACTGATGAAATCGTTGTATTATTTTACATTGGGACTAAGACTGGGACGTGTGGGGAGTGTATACATATGTACATATGCATATACTAGAAGACCCGGCGAACTTCGTATCGCCCTATAATCAAGAGATATCTGTTACGTTTTTTTTTTATTATATTTTTGGAGTTTACCTATTAAAGCCATTAATCACCGTGTTTTGAACTGCGACAGAATGATTGACATATTAGTTAGTCGTCAAATCTAATGTCAAAAAAAAAGTTTGTATCAACAACTACTAATAAATTAAATTAATTATTTAAATTAATTAAAAAAACATTGTCCAGCGGACAAAATTGTGAATTTAAACCATTCCCAGATCCCCTTGAACACACACAAAAAAGTTCAGTGACATACACATTCACAGAAGAATTATATATATAAAGATGTATACATGTATACAGAACTCATTGTACAGTCATCAGCACAAGACAAACTCTAACGTTTATATTTGAGTCATCGTCTCTCCTAACATATCTAGCACGTACCAGGGCGTCGCTGGGCGTGCTGCCCCGCAGCAGCCGCTCCAGGTGCTCGGGCCGGTGCAGCGGCTGCAGCGCGAGGTCCCCGGCGCCCGCGTCCAGCGCCTGCAGCGCCGCCTCCAGCGCCGCGTGCTGCTGCTCCAGGTGCTCCAGCTTGATCCGCGCCTGGCTGACCGCGAGCACGCTGGCCGACAGCTGCCCCGTCAGCTGCTCCACGCGCCTCTCCTCGTGTTGCAGCTCGTCCCTCAGCTGCTGCTCGTGCTGCTGCCGGCCGAGTAGCGCCGCCCGCCGCGCGGACACCTCCGCCTCTGTTTCCACTGCTGCCGCCTCCTGCGCTGACACTTGAGACCGCAGCTTATCCACCTGCACGAGTTAGTATATATTTATATAAATATACTATCAACAAAACCCTAAGAATATGTTTAACAAAACCATCTCTTTACATTTGCATGTAATATTAATTATGCTAGGCGACTCACTTGTGACTTCAAGTCGTTCAATCTCTTCTGTGCTTCTCCTTTTTGGTTCTCTAACTGTTTCAGGGTCGCCGTGAGTGTGTCCAGCTCGCTCTGTGAACACAATACGTTCATTAAACTGGTCCATGCCCCTCCCTCCTCCTTCTTCCTCCCCCTCCTCCTACCTGTAAGCTGTCCGCCTCCCCCGTCTTGACGGCCACCTCCCTCTGTTTGTTAGACAGCTCAGCCTCCAGCGCCAGCCTCTCCCTGGCGAGCGCGTCCACCTCGCGAGCTATAGCATCCATCTCGGGCGTGGGTTGAGGCCCCAGACTGACCGGCTCCGGTTTCTGGAATAATTAACATATTATTTTATAAAATCATCTCGATTTGGACATCATCGACTTTTATAAACTAATTCTCCTATAACCGCTGATAATTTGTACTGTACTATGAACCGATCAGAGCATATTTTCTGATGGTCCTCTGATGAAAATACTCATACAGAGGAGTATATCGCTCTAGTGATTAAGTACTAACATAGACAATAAGTTTTAAATTGTTACTAATAAAAAATACTAACATAGTTAAGTACTTTGTAACTAACATGTGGACCTTGTTGTCTAAAAGGAAATAAATAAATAAAAATAAATAAAATATTTTGGATTTGGTCTGTATAGTCCTACGTCCAAAACCGTGAAGCGAATATTCATCAACCGTGAAGTGAATATTCATCAAGATAAATAACGCAATAATTTCCTTCATAGGTCATCAGTTACAGAACACTACAAACTCATGTCTCTCATAAAAACATTTCCAAATCAGTGTCTGTGTACTACAACAGTATAAACAGTCCACAAGAACCGAATTTATTATCGAATCATAAATACCGTATCAACACTAACTTTTGGTACACTTTACTAACATAACATAAACATTTGTTTACTGAACCAAATACATGATGTTATTATAAGAACATAATACAACTGTGACGACAGTTCTATTCATAAACAAGGAATAAGCTGGGAATATTCCTGCATGAGGCACCGTGTGTGACTTCATATAGTTCAGAAAACATAATAAGTAAAAGATGGATGATTTCCTAATTTGGAGCAACAACGGGGACTTGGACACTTGGAGTTACGACCTGATACAGTATTGAAGACAATGATAGTTCGGTCTGGTTGAAAATCGTGATCTTTGTGAGACTGACCCATCACAGAACATATTAATACAGGAACCAGAAACAATAGGTTTACACTAACAGTACATATATTCTACTCATCACTACCTTCAACATCATCATCTTTAAAGCAACTTTCCCTTACTGATGTTCATCAACCTACAGTCACAGATCTACTGTAGCAGCCTGTAGTGTCGTGTAATCAATTACCCGCTGCTATCGTTCACCTTCTCATATAAAATGCAGTGTGACCTACACCCTACGATAACCTTTAATAATAAAAATATAGCAATAAATATATAAACAATTAAATATATTTCGGACTATCATACAAACATCAAGATTTGTTTGTTTGTTTGTAAATATAATATCAAAAATTCGTTCCAGTAACAGCAGGTCCTATCAGTAAAGTTTTCTCGATATTAACTATACAAGAACACCTCACAAACTACAAACGACAAAGATTTATTTATGAAAACATAGGAACGTACAAGTGATCAGAGGAGATCAAATGGAAAAATTATCTTAAGCCGTAAGGTTTCATATTGAATGAATAGAAGATCCCTTTCTAAAATATACGACAAACTATAAAACGTCGTATATTCCATGCAAGCCATTCTTAAAAAAAATAGCGCGTGGAGTCTTAAAAGGAAACTTCATAATGTGGAAATAAAATACGAAGGACTACAGATCACTTGTAGTGAACTAATATTGTTCCTTTAAGACAAACTTTATAAGTATTGCTTATAATTCACAATCGACGCACACATTTACTATCGCCCCGTCCCTTTCTATCCCCCTCCAAAGACCGTTGAAGGTTTAACGCAACCTTGTTGGAAGTTTCACTTCAGTGAAGCGCTTTTAACCCATTAACCTGAACAAGTATCACCTGAATATCAAGTCCAACAAATCGATAACTGTTTGGTAAGTCTGTCAACTGGTTTTCAACAACTGTTATACAGGGTGACTGGTGAATTACTATCAATATTTAAGGAGCATACTCGGTCCATGATTCTCATTCGAATTATGTAAAAAAAATAGGTACTTAATTTTTGACCAAATTTCCGTATAAATAAATAAAGTGTGTACACGTTCCAAGTGTTCCAAGTGTGGACGCGTCCGGCGGCGTGCTGATACAACAACACGCCGCCGCGCGCGAGTGTGTGTGTGTGTGTATACCTAATCTGTAGGGTGTTCATACGATGCGTAATTAATTACATAACTTTTGGTTAACTTTACTTAGAAGTTTATTAATATTTATGTTATATTAATTTTTATTTTGTTATATATGATCGTCAAATATCACGTCCTCAAATATCGATAGTAATTCACCAGTCACCCTGTATATGTATACTAGAAGACCCGGCGAACTTCATATCGCCCTATAATCAAGAAATATCTGTTACGTTTTTTTATTTATATTTTTGGAGTTTACTATTAAAGCCATAAATCTCCGTGTTTTGAAGTGCCACAGAATGATTGACATATTAGTTAGTCGTCAAATCTATTGTCAAAAAAAAAAACGTTTGTATCAACAACTACTAATAAATTAAAAATTAATTAAAAAAAATATTGTACAGCGGACAAAATTGTGAATCTAAACCATTCCCAGATCCCCTTGAACACACACAAAAAATTTCATAAAAATCGGTCCAGTCGTTTGAGAGAAGTTCAGCGACATACACACTCACAGAAGAATTATACAACGTGTATTTTTTTTTTTTTTTATGTGAAAGGTGGCAAACGAGCAGACAGCCCACTTGATGGAAGGTGGTTACCGTCGCCCATGGACATCCGCAACATCTTTGTTACGGATGCGTTGCCAACCTTGTTTTTTAGGGATAGGGAGGGGCGGGAATAAGGAAATGGTAGGAAAGGGTGGGAATAGGGAAAGGGCAACCGGCTCTCTCACTCATCGAACGAAACGCAGCCATTAAAGGCTACTTCACGCCGATCTTCTGTGAGAGGGTGGTACTACCCCGGTCGAGCCGGCCCATGTTCGAGCTGTAGTAACTGACTACAGCTAGGCTCTACCACCTATAACATAATTAACGCACACCCTGAAAGTAGTTTGTTCAGAATCGGAATCTGGATCGATTTTTATAATTTTTTATGTAGGTCATTTTTTTTCTCAAATTTATATGGAACTAAGTAAATTACAGTCATCCTACACACAGTTACATATCTAAATACTTCATTGAAACGAAAATGGATCGTATATTAAGATTTTTAAAGAAAATATTAAATTAATAATCATCATTTATTAAATTATCAATTAAAGAAAACTGATACTTGTTTCAAGGCTAAAATAGTATTTTACAAAAATCTACGCACGCACACCGACAGCCGGCACACATCAAATACCTACGCACGTGTCCATTGACCTCCTAGATCAGCTGATTTGACGCCACTCGACTTTTTTTTGGGGGGGCGAATTAAATTGCTAGTTTTTAACACAGAGATAAAAAGTGTCGAGGAACTAAAAAATAAGATAATAACCGCCTTTGTAAAAGTGAAATGTGACACTGCAGTATTATATAAAATAAAACTACAATAGCGAAAACGGTCATTAAAGTGCATTGTTGAACAAGGCGGTGGACATTTTGAAAATGTTTTAAAACTACAACAAAATGTAAGTTTGTTTATGATCTTTAAATTATCTATACTGATATTATAAAGCTGAAGAGTTTGTTTGTTTGTTTGAAAGCGCTAATCTCCGAAACTACTGGTTCGAATTGAATAATTCTTTTTGTGTTGGATAGTCCAGTTATCGAGGAAGGCTGTGGGGTATATAACAACACGCTACGACCAATAGGAGCAAAGATATAGTGGTAAATGTGTAAAAAACGGGAGAAATTATTTCATCTATGAAGCCTTCCGTTGCGTGCGCCGTGACAACGGTTCAAGATACACAAAAAATATATATTAAAGAATAATAGCTCTTCTAACGATCTTAAAAACAGTCCGCGACAGTATATGTCAATCTTTTAAGATTAACTCCCAAAAACCGTTTTTATGGTACCTAATTTGGTCGAAATAATTTGTTTAAGTTGTATCAACATATGTAATAATATTAATCTTTATTCAAATAAATATGTTGTTGGTTAAGAGTACTTTATTGTGATTAAAAAAAAACATAGGTTATATCCTGAAAATTCTACGGGAACTAGCCCATTCCGAAAACCCAGCAAGAACGGGAACTATGTGGGAAGAACCAAAAATCTGCCGGAAGTCACTATTCCACGCGGGCGAAGTCGCGGCAAAAGCTAGTTGTTAATATTTTGATTCACACCATTTAAACATTCCGAGTTTGTCGTAGGTATTGTGGTGTCTAATCAAATCACGCGTTATCAGCTGTTTAATCATTCTTATTTACAAATTTAATTTAACAAATCAGTAATTATAAAATATTGGCTTCACATTTAAAAAAAATTCAATGTCAACAATCTAAAGATTGAAAAGTGTGATGGAAAGAAAAATCATAAATCATATGTTATTTCGTGTACTTATTATTACCTACTTCTTATTATTGTCGGACAGCACTCGGAGAGAGGGACGCGGGCGCGACGAGTATATTGTGTCTATTTGAGTGTGCGTGTGCAGCGGAGTGTAGGTGCATAGCTGACCATATTATTTGCACGAAATTGGGATATCTAATTTCACAAATAAAAAATGCAAACGCACATATAAATAATATTTGGTGTATGCATTGCGTTTATATTATTATGTTCTAATTGGGGTGCTTGAGGGTGTGCGTTAATTACGGTACACGTTGTATATATAAAGATAACATACGAGCTCCAATTATTCTCCAGTTTCTTACATATCCTCTATTAATGAACCTCCTAGTCTATCGTACCTGTGGGGGTGGTAGCGGATGTTCCTCCAGCAGGTGTGCGGGCAGCGCGGCGGGCGGCGGATGTCCGCGCAGGGCTCGCTGCACCAGGCACATGGCCGCGCGGAACTGCACCACCGACAGCTTGCCCGACCCGGACTGGTCGCACAGGGACCTGCGGGGAGGGGGGTGTTATTATATTAGCAATATAATTATATGGTTGGTACAACTGTCTGTACTTTGTGAATGTTGCCGCTCTGTCGGTAGAAAAATATGTTTACCCACTTTTAGTTTTTATTATAACTTATATCTGCGCACATTCAGTACGTCGTGTCTGAGATTAAAATAAAGCTTTGTACGTTCACCGATATTAGAAGAATTTAATTTAATTTCAACAGGGGGAGACACTTACTACATTACACATGGTTATGTTGACGCTACCTGACTTTATACCAGTATTGTTGGCATCTAAATACTTTTGGATGCTTTTTGGTGTTACGTTACATCCAACTACTCGTCCAAAAGAATGTTGACGTAATTACGTTTTTGCAATTTTTTCAGGAGAGCGTTTTAAAAGTTTGACATCGAAAATAATGTGTATTTCTAAAAATACTATTGATATATTTTAATAGTTATGTTTTGTTACTTTAGCATCAATAACATTTTGTAAAAAGATTTCCAAAAAAATTAAGATAACTATTAGAAAATACCAAATAAAATAAACCAGGTGCACATTTATGACATTTTAGAATCGAAATAAAACAATTATGACATGATACTAGGTTTGGATATGGGAATAAATCATGAATTTAAACAACATTATACTCAATTTGTTTTGTTTCAATTAATCAGTTTAAATTTTATACTTTTTTTTATTGTAATAAAAATCTTGTTGAGTTTAAAAACACAAAGAAACTATTTTTAAAAGAATCTAAGTAACTAAATCTAATATTGAAAATAATAAATGTATATAAGTAGATACCTACCTGGGTAGTGTTTAAAGTTATAATGAGATCGAGAGAAATTATGTACAGTTAAAGGCATCTAACCCGGTACCATTAGGTACTTGTACCTACTTATCTAAGAGTAGCATAATCTTTAAGAAGCATAATTATTATAAACTGGTAGGAATATAAAATAATAACAAAATGATTCATTAATCTAACAATTTTGCTATAAAAATTTGTCTTAATCGTTCACCAGTCTTAATAGTATTTATCAAAATCCGCACGAGTGACAAAGAAGTCGATGTTTCCCCGGAACCGTACGTAAAATAGGCCAAAACCATAACGACATTGATTCTCTCTGTCTGAAACGAATGGAATAATAATTCTATCGTTTCTACCATCGATAAAACGTGCAAAATATAAAGTTATGGCATCAAAAACTCATTTTCGACTTTTTGGTAATTGTGTCATTATTTCTTTTGAATGAGCGAATTATGTGACTTAAGCTTGATAAACTTTTTTGTAAACCTACTAGTTTTTTTATATAAGGCGTTATACGTTAAAAAGTGTGTCACTTATGCTTTTTACTGCGATAATATTGAAGTTTTTTCACCAACAAATACACATTTTTTTAATGGATGTTATTTTTTTAGTGGATGTTATAGAATACAGTATTATAAAATATTTAAAGCAAAAAAAATGAAAATGGCTAAACTGCTACATTGGCCCTTATACATAGGACCCATCGATATTACAGAAAAACTTAACCTATGACACTCAAGTCTGTCTAAAAGACAAGTGTAAGTAACATGATGATCGCTGTTGCGTAGAGATTTTACAATTTGTAAGGTAGTTAGTTATTTATTGTGATGATGTTTTATTTAATTTTAATTTAAACTATTAATAAACACATTAATTTAATTTTTTTTATTTGTTTTCTACAAAGGTTAACTAATGCACAAAGGAATATTGGTAGCAAGATGTTCGCGGAGACGTTACGTATGTATGTATGTATGTTCTGTTAGTGTTAGTCTGTGTTTCTAACTACAGCCAACCATATCTGCGCGAGCGTCATCTGCGGCAGTCCGCTGTCCAGGAACACCGAGCGTATCTCCGCTCCGGACACGAAGCCGTCCCGGTCGAGGTCGGCCGCCGAGAACTGAGCGTCGTACTGAGCGCGCTCAGCGGCCGACATCCACGGACCCGAACCCTGCACCGCGACCGGCGGGGGCGCGCTCACCGGCTGGAAACATACACAAGATTAGATAGAGACTATCTGTCCTTGGACTCAAATTAATATGTACTAGCGACATCTATCTGCGGTCACGTGACTACAAACCTCAGACACCTCACGCTACTAGTATTATAACTTATAGTGTGTACATGTCAACCTGATAACTAGGGCCCGGCTAAATATGTATTAAAAAATCTAAAATATGTACATAAAATATGGACGAAAAAATCTAATATGGAGTATAAAATTAAATACCTACTTTCATAATTAAACATTGTTTTACTATAAGAAAAGGGTCACTTGTGACGTACATCGTTAAGAAACATTTAAAAAACGATGAAAAACAATAGCGAATTATTTATTTCAACAAAAAATAACAGTTTTATTCAACTTCCATTACACTAGCCTTATCAAATTGGTTGCAATACACAATGACGTACTTCTTTAAATTATCAAAATGAAAACTGACCATTTGGTCGAAATATAGCCTTATACCTGCTGAATGATCTCTCCACGTCACATGACGTGATGAATGCATACTTAAACATGCTTAATTCAATAATTGTGTAAGCCATGTCTACAGCCCTCGAAACTTTCGCACAGGATTTTGTTAATTTTTTTAGCGTATTAAATCTTTTATTTTTATTCAAAACATTAGTGGCAGGAACGTAAATTTTATGTATTTTTGTGAATATATGGATGATTGTGACATTTTCTTGTAAAATATGGACTTAATTTGAAATATGGTAAAGTATGGAAAATAAAAGTTGGTTTTTCACGGTCTAAATATGACAATCCATGTAAAAAAACACATTCTAGACCGAAAATCGCGTAAATTAAAAATATGTATTTACATATTAATCCTGGCCCTACTGATAACTAATCTGCATGATTGTACAGTTTCATAAAAACCTATTCAGAATATCTTTCGAGGAAGAGCTGTTCATAACTGTACGCATCGTCGAAGGTTCGTATTTATGTATAATAAATAGAGTAGTATAGTCTCTGTTAAATATAGCCATATTTTCTGGATTTACTTGCCATACTTTATGATTATATAGGGTGACTGGTGAATTACTATCGATACTTGAGGACGTGATATTTGACGATCATATATGACGAAATAAAAATTAATATAACATAAATATTAATAAACTTCTAAGTAAAGTTAACCAAAAGTTATGTAATTAATTACGCATCGTGTGAACACCCTACAGATTAGGTATACACACTCACACACACACACGCGTGCGGCGGCGTAGTGTTGTATCAGCACGCCGCCGCACGCGTCCACACTTGGAACACTTGGAACGTGTCCACACTTTATTTATTTATACGGAAATTTGGTCAAAAATTAAGTACCTATTTTTTTACATAATTCGAATGAGAATCATGTACCGAGTATTCTCCTTAAATATTGATAGTAATTCACCAGTATTGTAGTGAGAACGGTGTGCATTATCTATCGGTCAGTATCGTTGTTAGTGTCAGTCCGTCTGTCACATCGTTTCTCGTGAACCTTGTTTAACTCACACTGGACAGATCCAAGAGTCCCTCCAGTAAGGTAGCGTTCGACTGTTGTGGAGGGGGCTGCGGCCGGGGCGGCGGGGGCCGGGTCTGTGGGGAGGGGGGCCTCGATGGGGGCCTGGAGGGGGGCCTCGACGGGGGCCTCGATGGGGGCCTGGCGGGCCGGGCGCGTAGCTCGGGCGGCAAAGTCGTGGGCACCGCATGCTTCTCCAATGCTTTGTACACTAGGTGCATGGCCTGTACACAGAAATAACATTGTGTTATAGTTGTTTATAACTTTGGAAATTTAACGTCTGCACATAGCACTGTGGAACAATCACGTATGTTTCGTCTCAAAACTCCGTATCTCAGTTATTTCAAAACTGAATGATGTGTAATTTTGCACACATATACGTGTAAGTATAAGGTTTAATATAAAAATAATAATTTTGAAAATTATGTTAATTAACTTATTTAAAAAATAAAATAAATATATTTAAATATGTTTTGGCACCGTATCAGAAAATTCACAAATATGCGCAACTTTTTTTCTTCTTGTGTAAACTAATGTAAAAAGATCGTAATACAATAAATATCTCGACAGCGGTAGACAGCGGTAAAAGGTTAAGACCCAGTTTCACCAACCATTCTTAAATAAGTAACATCGTGTTAAGGCGTTGGCTGCTCTGTCTGAGCGTCCCACCACGCACAAATGTCCGTTTAAATGTCTTAACCAGCCACTAATATTAATTCCTGCTCTGGAGCTCCGTCTAAGGGCTAACAGAATGTTAATGCATTGTCAAAACTCAATTGTCCAATCACAGCCCTGATTTCTTGTAACCATAGTAACGTCATCTGTTTTGTCAGTTTCGACTATTTCCTTGTTATTATTAATAAAGTGAATTAAAATTTCATTTAGTGTGATGATTTTACCTCCAGTTTTTCTATGACATTGCAAATTAAGTTTTGTTTTTATTTCTTATAATTTGAACACAATTTATGTCTATATTTATAACACAATAATATATAGTAACACAATTTATTGACAACACGATTTTGACGAGTTACGCCTAGTAAATTGAAAAGAAAGCTTTTTGTGTGCTAAATGTATGCAACCAACGATATATAAAATTTGGTCGCATTAGCTTACAAGTGACGTATCGAAGGATATATACGATCAAAGTATAAAGTGGTGCATCGTGGCAAACGTGCCGTGTTAAACGCTATAGTTTCCATTTGGTCGTCTTACAACAAGAACGAATAATTAGGTAGTCGGTCATTTGACATGACGTTTAATAATGCGTTGCTAATTTGTCATCGTCGGACGTAAATATTTTAATAGACATTTATAATTTTGAAGGTTGGTTAGTAAATGCTATGATTATACTAAACAAACATTGATTGGTGAAACTGGGTCTAAGTCTCGTTAAAAAAAAAAGTTAGCCGAAAATTATACCATCTTAAACTATGCTGGTTAATTATAATTTATTTATTTATTATATAAAATATTATTTAAGAAACGTTAGAATTATATTATAAGCATTAAAAAAATATATACTACTTATACATTTACACAAAAAACTTTCGAGTAATGTGGCGTTGAATTGTAGTATGTACTGGGCAGAAATCACACCATTGAACATGAGTTAACTTTGATGCCTTTTAATATTTATTATGGTTTGCAAAAAATAATTTAAAAAATATAGAAAAGAAAGCTTATTTATACATTAATTAATTAGTTTTACTGCATAACAACGATTATCATGTTTTGAGATTTTGAGACGGCCTTGTATGGGGCTTTCCCACTGTGCGTAGGGAGAATGGCTGATGTAATCATATATCATATTAAATATCCTCCCATTGAATAATCAATATAATTTGCTTGTCTGCATCACTCACCACAATAAACTCATGTCTATCGAGCATGCCGTCTTTGTCCTGGTCGGCGAGGTCCCAGATCTTCCCGAGGGTCTCCAAGGGAAGCTTCGATTCCATGAGAACTCCTTTCACCTGTCAACGTCATACAAGTCTATGAAAACCACTCTCTTTATTTTTTTTCCTCATCTACAGACCAAGGTTTACCTTATTCCCTGGTATAACACCATTATTGGGTTGGAGCGAATCAAACAGAGCACTATACTTGTCCCTCTCAGCCGGCTTGACGCTCCAGTCACCCAGTGGAGCGAGGGCAGGAGGCGCCGCGGGCGGCAACGATGGAGGCGGCACTTTGGGTAATTCGCCCTGGAATATACAGCATTTTGGATTTAGAAATGTATAGTATTAGCATCAGAGAACAAAACTGGTGAAGTGACGCTATCCGAAACAATTAATAAATCTTTAACAGTAAAATTATTAAACATTATAATTTTTTTTATATGACGTTCTATATAAATTGGAGGAATAGGTACCATCAGCTCAATCGCACTAAGTGTATGAATGTGAAAAAGTGTGTAGTGTGTAGACTTCAAAAGGAAGTATATATTTAAGCAATAAATTCACCACCAAGATGTACTTAAATCGTCACTCGCTAAATTATAAAGTTAATGTAACTTTTGACCCAAAAATATAATTCGAATATGGACGTGTTTGCCAAATATACGTAAATTAAACATGTGCTCCAAAAACATAGTCTGGAACGATTCCAATACTGAATCGATTAAAACGAGTTCTGACTCGACCGAGAGACACCAGCGGGGAGACGCGGGCCGTGGAAGAAAAAACTGATGATGATGATTAGATTATGAAGAATGGAGAAAAGATATCACAAGATACAATATAATGAAGAAAAAAAGATATTAAGTATGTAACGATATTTAGTTTATACATATTATGAATTTTACTTCATTTACGAGATTCGTTGTAATATCGAAACACATATAACATCTTAAATAAAACAGTTGAGCATCAGAATTATGTGAGAAGAGTGATGTTACGTACGCGCAACATATTAAAAATATATGAACATCGTTGTATGGATAAAATATATAACGAGTGACGCCGCTGACTCCGCGGAACGAACACCAAGCCGTGTGAACCAGAAGATTCCTGATACTACACAAGCTATGGAATGGTATTGCTATCCTAACATCGGGGCAGTCATGTAGTCTTAGGTGTAGGTTAGAAGTTTTAATATATAATAATTCTTATTATAATATACATATAAGTAAGTTTCGTAGTTTTCCTATAACCTTTGGTTGCCACGCTAACATAATTGGGACCATGATATAATAATACGTGTTATATCATAGAAATCTACTCACCACTTTAGGAGGAGGTGCTTCAGAGTGTATGTTGCTCATGTTGATCTCCTTACCGGCCTGAGCCAGGGACACTAGCTTCAAGGCCACGAACAGTCCCGCCTGGAGGTACACTCACATCAGATGGGTTCAACACAACACTTATTATTATACGTTAGTTATTATATAAATACAAGAATTATTTATTAAATCCCGTCCAGTGTACACACACCATATGCCCAGATAATATACGCCCGCTATCTTACATCCTCCTCTCACACATCATAATAATTAAAGAGTTTTTTATATTTTTCATTCATTAATGATTGGAATGAAAATGTTACAGCTGAGTCTAAACATTATGAGATAACGATAACAATAAATTGGCGTAACGATTATGTATATAATGAAGGTTTTTATTTATTTAGTATTTATATAAATTAAAATTAATATTTAAATCAAAATGTCCTAATTGTTCAAGGTCATGTTACAGTACTATAAGAAAGTTCAAATGAAACTAATATTTATCGCATGTACTACGCGATACCGTGATCACGGCTGCTGAAAAGTAGCCGAAACGTCGGGAGTGTGTAGTTTTTTACTAAAATAAAGCATGCGTAGTAGGTATATCCGAAAAATATTAGTTTTAGATCTGATTTCTATAACAATTTTGACTGTCCTATAGATACTTTTGGAATTGTTTTTATATTTTTATATTCTGGTGTATATTGTGTATATACAGGGTGACTGGTGAATTACTATCAATATTTAAGGAGCATACTCGGTACATGATTCTCATTCGAATTATGTAAAAAAAATAGGTACTTAATTTTTGACCAAATTTCCGTATAAATAAATAAAGTGTGTACACGTTACAAGTGTTCCAAGTGTGAACGCGTGCGGCGGCGTGCTGATACAACAACACGCCGCCGCGCGAGAGTGTGTGTGTGTGTATACCTAATCTGTAGGGTGTTCATACGATGCGTAATTAATTACATAACTTTTGGTTAACTTTACTTAGAAATTTATTAATATTTATGTTATATTAATTTTTATTTTGTCATATATGATCGTCAAATATCACGTCCTCAAATATCGATAGTAATTCACCAGTCACCCTGTATAATTACTCCTATCATTATTGTCTATATTGGTGTGCAATAAAGAGTATATAAATAAATAAATATATTAAAATTGGTTAGTTTTGTTGTTTGATATCTGACAGTCGGTCAGTTTATCGTCCTGGTTACTGTGTATTGGGCGTGTGTCCAACAGTGCAACGTTGGCCCATTAATGAGATGTTCGACATTTATATAATTACAGTTCAAACTAAAATGATTTCATTCAATCGAAGTTAAACATATACTGACAAGTTAAAAAAAAAAGAAAAAACACCGATTTTGGCAACAGCGGATAGAAAGCAATTTTTTGGGACACGAAAAAGTGATTGATAGTAATAATCTGATAAAATAATATATTTGAAAATGAAACAGAAATCACTAAGCATTAGTTTCTTTCATACATTACATTATATTGTACAAGGTTCTCATCAAGGACGAATAAACATTTCCAACGCCTGATGTCACTGTGACGTATGTTATAAACACGAACGGGGACTTTTTAAATATTTACAAACAGTTTATAAACCGACTCACTCAGATACATTTTTAATGGCGCTATAGTTATATTTTATTCTATACTAGTTTTTGCTCGCAACTTCGTCGGCGTTACTTTGACCGGACGGACTCTGTTCCCCCTCCTTAAAGTCAGTAAATAAGATTTAGGATTTTATCAATTAATTTTTTATCACATCAAAAGTATTCTATATTCTTTTCCTGGTTCTAAGCTATGTCTCCACCAATTTTGAGCATAATCCGTAACGATATTCTTGAGTTATAAATAGTGTAACAAACATGACTTTCTTTTATATGTAACTAGTTTTAGATAACATAGCTGACCGGGCGAATTCTATTTCGCCTTAGAGGTGATTCTATTCCGCCTTAGACGTAATAAATAACCAGACATTGGAATTTATATTATTTTTTTCGATCGAACAGCATTAAATATCCTATGTCCGTCTCCTGATACTAAGCCATCTCTCCACCAATTTTCAACCATATCCCTACAAACGTTCTTGAATTACATATAAACAGTGTAGAGAGATATATCGTCGATGGAGTACCAATACCTCCTAAGTGTTAAGAATCTAATTTTACACCAGAAGAAAAAAACTGATTCAACAAAGGTTTTATTTATTTTGATCAACTATTGATAGTAAGATAGTTTCTAAAACATTACCTTTTCATAAGGTACGAATGGATATGTTCATGTTTACATTTTATAGGTATTTAGTTACTTAGGAGACAAATTTAGTTACTTAGGACAAAATTGTCAGTTAGGAGGTATTGGTACTTCATCGACGATATAATAGTTCCGTATTATTATTGTTAACTTCAGTTTAAGTGGAGCTTCCATACTGCCTTATATATTACGTTGTAGGTAGTTAGGTGTTCCCGTGACCTGGGATCATTACAAGTCGGCCGATCATTAATTGGAGTCTCATTGAATCTTCAATACATGTTATACAAGCATTGATCATTCAAACATATGCAATCTGTATCATTACTACAAGTATGTATATTACTACACACGAATCGTTTTTCGTTTCTCACTCAATAACCTACGTAAATGAGGAAACCTTTCATTATTCAATGTATTCACGGTGCAGGTGTCGGGTCCGTCGTTGTAGTGAGAGGAGATTCAACAGTGCCTCGGACTTGCGACCCAGGTGTAGGTTTAAGGGACCCCTATCTAACGCGCGTTAAAAGCTCACCTCCACTGTCCAAGCTCCTCTCTCTACCTAACCAAATTTGAAATAAAGTCTGTGAATGAAAAACTGTTAACGATCCGTATGTAGTGACGATGCAAACTTAGACTAAGCTTTGGCAAATGGACGTATATAAAAATGGATCGTAATACATATAAATATAAGAGCGAATTTATAAAAAATAGTCTATTTCATATCAAGCTATTTCCATTTCCAATGTCTGCGAGTTAATATTATTACGTTCTGTAATGGTGGTTTTAGTTAACACTTGAGTTTATGAGATATTGGACGCACAGACAGGCATTAATAATGAAATTAAGGCTGACATCACTTGGCTTCAGAAATTCATGACCTATATCTATATATTATTAATGAAGATATTCACATAACACTATACACGAACTTGGTTGAAGATTCATCATATACAGGGTGACTGGTGAATTACTATCAATATTTAAGGAGCATACTTGGTACATGATTCTCATTCGAATTATGTAAAAAAAATAGGTACTTAATTTTTGACCAAATTTCCGTATAAATAAATAAAGTGTGTACACGTTCCAAGTGTTCCAAGTGTGAATGCGCGCGGCGGCGTGCTGATACAACAACACGCCGCCGCGCGCGTATGTGTGAGTGTGTGTGTATACCTAATCTGTAGGGTGTTCATACGATGCGTAATTAATTACATAACTTTTGGTTAACTTTACTTAGAAGTTTATTAATATTTATGTTATATTAATTTTTATTTTGTCATATATGATCGTCAAATATCACGTCCTCAAATATCGATAGTAATTCACCAGTCACCCTGTATAGCATATAGCGTAGCATAGATATAGCATATCAAGACTGTCGGTGTTATAGGACTCATGCTGATATGCATGCATGGATAACGTCTATAGCATGCATGAGTAACAGCACCAGGCATGGATTAACCAATTGAGAGCCACCTGCTGAGGGTAATGTGAAGTAAGGAACGACGCCTTTCAAACCTGGTTCATTATATTTAGTTGCTGAAAAAAGCGTGAAAGCTTCCACCTATTCCTTCTAAGAGACTCCACTATGTAAAAGCGTTAAACAATTAATTCCTTGACGCAAATAGAAGTCATAGTTTTATACGCATTACAATTTATAAAGCCCTTCTCTTATAGTTGTATAGTACTGTTACTTTTTTGCTATATTTTTGTATTTTCTTACTGTTAATTTGTTGAATAGTTGTTATGATTCAGTCACGCTCTATCGTTCTGTTTCTCCGTCGTACTTTAAATATTATTAGTGAGCCTGCGTTCACTAGTCAATGAATCTTATTATATTAATACAAAGTCGATCTATAAATAAATTTCCTTTTGTGATGGTCGATGAACCATCTCCTCACGCCTCCCTGAGCCCGCATCAAAGCAACAAGTGAAAATTGCATAGACCAAGGACCCTTGACACTTATAGACCCCCGAGTGTACTAGGCTCGTGCACTTTACAGCATTCAAGAAATTAATACTATAGAAACAAAGATCTTTTCATGTACGTCTGTTTTATATACTCCATATTAAAAGAAATCACTCATATTACTCAATAATATTTTCCTATTTATAATACCAAACTAGCTTTCCGCCCGCAGTTTCGCCCGCGTGGAGTTCAGTTATATCGCGTTTCCAAGAGAACCTTTCAAAAGTCTAGGATAAAAACTATCCTATGTTCTTTCTCAAGGTCAACTCTATGTCTGTACTAAACTTCATTAAAATCAGTTCAGTGGTTTAGGCGTGAAAGAGTAACGTGACAGATAGACAGACAGAGTTACTTTCGCGTTTATAATATTAGTAGGGATGTAATGTATTAATAAAAAATCTACGATTTAGTTGGACTATGAACATTTCTACAAGACATACTGAAGATTGGTAAAAGGGAATGATTCCAAAAGGATATTATTTTAGTTTATATACAAGTTTATACTGTAACCTTGCTCGTACGTAATAGTGTGACATTACACCGACCTTATGGGTTCATAGAAGGTGACCTAAACTATAGGCACAGTAATGGCGCAGACGTCTACAATAATGGCTTATGACTTACATTTCGTAATATTAGCATTAACGAGATCAATGTTTAAATTATACAAATTAATATATATGATAAATAAAATTAGTCAATTATTATAGTGTAAAAAGCTATGATTCTTATCATGATACATCTCAAACGTTATCACCACCTTTATCAAACTGAACAGTTCCAGTTTTATCATTCACTCATCTTAGAACGCGATAGTATCAACGTAAGTGATTGGAGACTGGAAACTATCCGTTTATTGTAAAGATCCGAACACGTCTTAAGGTTACTGGAATTAATATATATTTCGTCTTCATATTTGATCCAAATTCCAATATAAGTGAGTGGCTGAATGTTTGAATACCCGTCATATACATATATGTATTATAGATGTAAAAGACTATGTTATTTTAAATAATATTATTTATAGTATTATCTTCTATATATATAAAAATGGATTGCTGTTCCTTAGTCTCGCTAAAACTCGAGAACAGCTGAACGGATTTATCTTATCTTAATCTTGAAATGTTCGTGGAGGTTCAGGGAAGGTATAAAAGCTGAAAAAAATTGATTCATTACTGGGAAAACCATAAAAACAGCCTTTTTCTATTTCCAAAACAAACGTTTTTTTTGACATTAGATTTGACAAATAACTAATATGTCAATCATTCTGTCTCACTTCAGAACAACAGATTTATGGCTTACAGATAAACTCCAAAAATATAAATAAAAAAACGTAATAGATATTTCTTGATTATAGGGCGATACGAAGTTCGCCAGGTCTTCTAGTTATTAATAAAAATACTTTTAACTGACTGTGACTATAGCAGATCTATCAACAATAAAACATAGATATATCAAAAATATATAAACTAGGCTCGCGCCACGACTTTGTTATTCCATATATCTATTGTTTTTCGCAATTGATTCTCTGTCTGTAATATACATATGTTGTTGAAAATTCGTATTTAAGTCACAAATACTCCACCACACAATACTTGTGATAAGAATATTTATCATTTGCATAATACTAAAGGGATCTCGGTCACTGAGATACATATATCTTGTATATTGTTACTTACATTCAAAATACTATTGAAATATAATAGAAAATAGCATAACAGAGATCATTTTGTTATAAATTATGTTTTATAAGCAGTTCTTAATGAAAAATAATGTTGAAATTAGCGGGAGCATTTTATGTAGAAGCAGAGAATTGGTTGGTTACATTTCAAATTATGATTTGACCAATTTTTTTTTTTTAATTTGTAGCTACATAACATATTAGAAAGTGATATGAAATTAGTAATATTATATTTTACAAGTAAAATGTATATTGTGTGAACCTCATGATACATTTGGAATGTAGTTTTTTAATATTTTTAAAATTATAAATTTTCTCTATAAAACATAACAAAACTCTGGTTAGTTATTAAAAAGTAAAAAAAATATATTATAATTATATTTCTAAGCTACACACCACATACTGTTTAAACACTCACTTTATCGAGGTAGCCCTTGCCGGTGGGGTCCGACAGGTCCCATATCTTACTGAGCACCACATCGCTGAGACGGGACTTCTTAAGGAAACGAGCTGCATCCAGAGCTTGGATCGCTCCCGAGCCATTTGGATCAACCTGCAAACATAATAATATATATAACTATCTTTCATCATCATCAGTCTATTGGAGCCCACTGCTGAGAAAAGACTTCTTCATATGGAGAAGATTTGAGAATTAATCACCATGTTTTCTCAAGACGGATTGGTGATTTCAAACTTACAATTGTAATTTTAAGTCCAGGTTTCCTCACAAAGTTTTCCTTCACCGTCTGTCAGCGGTGTCTAAATACTCTTATCTTTAAAAATATCTTTTATCACTTAATATAAGAAAATTATGACTTTGAGAATCCTTGAAGATGAAGCCTTAAGCTTACACCAGCCATGAAACGGGTTATGTAACATTTAACTGACAATTAGATGTTATTACATCATCATTTACAAAAAAATATACTGGTCTGGTCTACTTATTAATTCATTATTTATATTACAAATTTATTGTCATTACAATATATAAGGTACTGTTTAGACAGGCATGTATGTTAAGAGAAAAGATACTAAGTCCATATTTAGTTACTACATAGATTGACATTGATCAAGGAATACAGTTCTTATTCATATTTAGACTGATCTAAAATATTTCTGAATAAGATATATTTGAAAGTTCCTTAAACTAAAATGGTTGTCTGTTTTCAAGAAAGTTCTATTTAAGATGAGACAAAAAAGAATTATGTAATAACATCAAGATATTATACAAATATAGGATAGCAAGTTGAGTGGGATTGTGGGGGTACTGGACCATTCAGATCAACGAACACACAAAGTCCAACGGAACATATATTAACCTCGGATAACGCATGATTTGTTAATTAAAAGTTAATTGGTGATAAAAAGAAACCTAATTAGGGCAACTGTGCAACATCAGGCAACATGACATATACTCCACCTTTAGGCAGCTAAAGTAGGGTTCACTTCATCTCCATATAATTGAGATCATTGGTGAGAACCAATGACAAGATATGCTGAATATTTCTGTACATGTATAACACAGTTTAAACTATCACAATAATCTGGGAAGCTCAAGTTATTATCAATGAGAAGCTAAAATAATGTCAAGCAAATTCTTCTGTATATAATATTGTTCCTTGAAGACATGGCAAGCCAAATTATATGATTCTGCAGCTCAAAAAATACTGTTAATATTACCATACACTGACTCTTCAGATGATAAAGGGCTATAAAGTATAAAAAATAGGCCAGGAAAAGGACACTAGCAGCTTTATCAAGTGGACATCTGAATGAAAAATATTGGCTGTTCCCCAGAGAAGACAATACTCCAACAGACTGCCTGATATCTGAACAGAATGTGTATAAAAGCAAACTAAATGTCAAACTATCTCATGCTCAACTATTCATGAGTAACTTATCTTAGAGCTAAATATATGGAATCAATAAGGCGTCTTCTCGATCGAGAAGGCGACGCGAAAACTAGCATTTTCCTTCAAGATATAGTTATGTTGGCTCTAGCAATGTTGAGTGGCACCTCTGAACACGATATGTGTTAGACATACGTTTATATACAATAAAAAGTGTTATTTAGGCAATAATCAGTTCAAAAATATTTAAAAAAATATTGCTTTATAAAACCAAATAAATGGATCTAAATGAGTTACATTCATGGTAATTAACATTATTATACATAGAATGCCCCATAGATTTCATTAAAATACATCTCGCGTAATAATTGAAGCCGAAAGTCTAAAATTTGTCGGTATTGATTAACTTCAAAGATAACATTTAAACTATTGATTTTATAATCATGCGAAGGTTACAGGAAACAGAACTGAATAAAGTCTTGAAGATTCTTATATTTAAGAATGTAAATAATATGTATCATAGGATTAGGAAACTGTAAGAATAAGATAAAAATGACGATAGGAAAATCTTATTATACTCACTTGATGATAATATGCTTCGTATATTGAACTGTGGGCCCCTGCCACCTGCAATGGTTCAATCCACATTTTGATACGATTTTCTCGAAACAAACGTACAAAACACGATTATTTTCAGTCAGTTTTATGGGTGTGACATTCTATTCTGCTCATGACATCTAATGTTCGCGCAAAAACTAAAGCAAATTCAAAAAGTATTAAATAACTACTTGTTATTATCGGAAATTAACATCACCAAAAAACACTACACTATTTAAATCAACGTTTTAATATCCTAATTCGAAGGAAAAACGAATTAAATTAAAAGTTTATAGTAGTAGCGTAATCAGTCTACGAGTTCGCAACACTTCGAAGTCGGTTATTATAATGTTCCGAATTCTTCTTAAACGACGGACTCTCACAAAACAGTAGCTTGTACGTTCAAGATTAACTAGACCGGCGAAATTGTACAACCAACACTACACAAATAATTTAATTTACGTTAATTCTACCTGGGTAGGAGAAGGCAAGGCAGCCATTTTTTACATCTCTTTGTCGACCAATCAATAGCGTTCATAGAGATTAGTTATGTCAAGTCCAACTAGTGATACAATTTTGAACTTCATTCAAAACTATCGATAAAATAAGAAGTAAATCGATTGTATGTTAATTTAATGGCACGATTTTCAGGTTTATTTTAAAAATTCTCTAAATATATTATAACATGTCCTAAAAGGTTCTATTAATTTGTTTGTGATAACTAAAAATTCAGTTAGAGATATTGAAAAGAAAAAAATAATTATTTGGTTAAATAAATTTATTTCTCAGTTTTAAAAAATATACAAAACTGTTGCAATTAATTAAACCCGTAGAGTTTTTTACAAGCTTCAATATTACTACTTAAAGAAGACAAACCGCGTTTATTTATTTCATAACAAGCAACATTTTCAAACTGACTAATCCATTTATTAACTTTAAAATGTCTTTTTGTTAGTGGAAAAAGTGGAAGAACAGATGTCACCACAGTCACGGCACAGATATCACATAATAGCATCTGAAACGAGGTACCAAGATATACTTTTATACAAGAATTTCCAAGGTAAAATTAATATTATATAAATGAGAAAACAAATAGAATTTTCTCAGAAAAAAATTATAATTACTTTTTGACCAGCCAGCCATGACGTTTTTTTTAAACGATGTTCAAGATAATCTAAAGCTTTATTCCATTCTTCTATTTTCGAATCAGTGGGAGGCCAATTTCCAGCAAAATACATACTCTATAACAAATGAAAAAAATCATTAAATTGTATTTAGTCCGTCAAAAACATCGGGTGTCATTTTTATTTACATTTCGTAACAAATATTATTCTTAATTCATTCTTTTTCAAGCTGTGTTACGTCATATATTATTTTAAAATAATAAATGAACTGCCTCTTAAAAGTTTTGTAGAGCATTTTTTTTATATGATTTTTTTGTGTTACGTACCTAATGAGCCTGAAAAAAGATAGATAAATATAAACTGACCAATATTTCACTATCAAGTCTGAATAAAGTACTGGAATTAAAGAACAGCATCTCGTTAATAATAGTTCGTGTAAAAAAATCTGCAGGGTAGAGTTGCAACCCGTGTAGACCCGCCACTTCGCACAGATAAAGTGAGATAGCATGACTATCACAAATAGTAGAACTCTCTGTAACCATCGCTGGTACTTTTTGAAGTGGATTTATCTAAAAAAATAAATTAAACACAATATTGGAAATAACTATTCACATAAGTAGAAAAAATAAACTTACCTTTCTATAAGATTCGCTTTTGTTTTCATTTTTAAATAGGTCCACTTTTCGAAAATTTAAATCGAGACCTAAAACTGAAGCTGTCATTAAAACGGATCTCACGGGAGGAGACCTCTCGTCACCATAAAGAATTAAATTACTCTCTTTCCTTCCCCTTAAAAAAAATTAATTTGAACATAAATTTAATAATTCAAAAAGTGCATCAGACAAAAAATAATTAGATATTTTGATGTACTTTTTACAAGATAATATTAAATTACGCTTGCCACTGTTTACAGAAATTTGACACTTACATGCTAGTTTGAATGTAACGTCTGAGCAAGTTATTGTAAACATTATTTTTGATAATATTTCTTAATAAATGCATTGTAACTGAACACGGGAAGCGTCTAACTATCAGACAATGTGACTATAGAGTAGATTTAAAACTCAGACGTATCAATTTAAATATATGTATAAACAATGATGTTTGCGCAACGGGAATCGTAAAGAAATGAATTAAACATACTTACATTTTTTTTAAAGTTGCTTATTCAGTAGAGACAATATGGGACTATGTATGTTTTTTCGAACAGATGTTCTAAATAATTTGTTATGTTTTTGTTCAAAACGCCAATTACGTAGTACGTTATAAAAACTCTTTGATGAGGATTAGCTTAAAGAAGATTTGTTATAGAAAAAAAATAATAAATAAAATATTTTGACATGATCCTTGGTTATTTTGTATTTGTCAGTTTCTTAATTCTGTAAATAATTAATAGATATAAAAAATCTCATGTAAAATTTACCAGTTTTTAATAATGGTGTAAATAAATTAAATATTACTAGCGATGGGGAAGGCTAACAGTAAAAATGTATCGACGACATTACAGTAAGTTCCCGAACGACCCAATATACTACTGACATCATGAATTTAGTGTATTGGTCACTAATATTTAGTTTACAGTTGATAGATCTTTATTTTTCAATTATTTATATGTTCATTTCTTATGTATGTATCTTAAAGTTCATAATATTGAAACATTGCTAGTAAAAGTACAATATTTAAATGTATAAATTTGAAAGCTAAAAAGCTATTTCAATTGACTGAAGACGAAATCGATTAGTACATGGAAATCTATCCAATACGATCGATTTATCGTCTTTAGTTTTAATATGCTTTTATGGCGACCCATGCTGTGGCCGGTGCAGTGCTGGCCGTGTTACCATGGTTCTATCCTGAATATACAGGGTGACTGGTGAATTACTATCAATATTTAAGGAGAATACTCGGTACACGATTCTCATTCGAATTATGTAAAAAAAATAGGTACTTAATTTTTGACCAAATTTCCGTATAAATAAATAAAGTGTGGATACGTTCAAAGTGTTCCAAATGTGGACGCGTGCGGCGGCGTGCTGATACAACACGACGCCGCCGCACGCGTATGTTTGAGTGTGTGTGTGTATACCTAATCTGTAGGGTGTTCATACAATGCGTAATTAATAACATAACTTTTGGTTAACTTTACTTAGAAGTTTATTAATATTTATGTTATATTAATTTTTATTTTGTCATATATGATCGTCAAATATCACGTCCTCAAGTATCGATAGTAATTCACCAGTCACCCTGTATATGTATACGGAGAATACTTCCTCCCTACTTACATCTATAATAAACATTGAAGAAAGTTTAGAGAGGAAACCTTTTGCCTTATGCCAACCTACCTTGCAAAAGAAAGGAGGTTGTGCTGCAAAACCTCTTTTATATTTGAACCCAAACCAGTTTTTCCTATGTAAAATTAATACAGTTCTATTTTAAATTGTTGTTATATTTCAGTCATTGCACTCTATGGAAGACCAACCGCAGTCCGTCGTGCAGGAACGTGATGATGGCTTTAGACGCCATGAACATCAGTCTCACAGAAGTTGACGTCAACATGGACAAAGCTGAGCATCGCGAATCAGAGCTTACTACAGTACGTTTCAAACACAGGCGTCATGCAAATTTTCATTAAAACTGGCCTCCTTGTGGTATAATTAGTTCTTGTTCCGGTTTTTCTTTGAATATATAATTTGTGGTGTTTGTTATTAAAACTTATAGAAAATCGAATAAAACTATTTATTAAGCCAATAAATTATGAAAACTTTTCGGCTGTTTATCTTAAACTGTTCAAAAACTTAAAATTATCAACTATTACTTGGTCTCAACTCTCGTCAGTTATGAACATTAGCTAGTAAAGTTGGAAACAATATTTTTCTTATATAACTTTTGTATTTTATCTACAGATGAATCCCAAGCAGAGCTTACCCATATTAAAAGACAGGAACTTGATTTTATGTGACAGGTACGATGATTATTAAAAGTTTAACCCAATTTATTTATTGTTTTGCTTAGCTGTATTATAATTCTTTTCAGTCACGCAATAAACACCTATATAGCGTCTAGATATTGTCGCTCGGACTACACTCTGCCCGAAGACCCGGCGGGGCGAGCGATTGTGGATCAATTGTTGCATTTCAACAGTGGCGTCCTTCAACCAAACTATCGCGCAGCTTGTGTCAGTTTTCCCGAATTTACTATAAATTCCACAAATTTTTTTTTAGTTTCGATTCTTCTGCATTTAAATAATTGGTCAATTTCAGCACCCAATTTTTTACGAGAACTGTCAATTCGTAGCGCCTCAATTCGTCAAGGAGATAGAGCACTCGTACCAGGACTTGGAGAACATGTTGGTGGGTAGAGCGTGGTTCAGTGGATCACGATACACTCTCGGAGACATAGCCATCGCGTCTAGTGTCAGCACACTCAATGTTGTTGTTCCCATAGACGTGAAAAGGTACCAGCTCTTTAAGAAAATATTAAAGCAGAAAGTCATTAAAAACTGATAGATTACTCCAACGCGGAACTTGTTTTTTTTTTGTCCTTTAACAGCCCACGATCCTCAGCCTCTCAGATAAATATAACCGAGTGAATTTAAGTAGTATTTATAGTTGCATGTTTTTGTACAAATTTAAATTAGTTTGTTGTTAAGTAGTCATTAACGTTAAACTAACAAAAGCAATTAAAATATAAGTGACTCCATATTGCAAGTGGTCCATAGCAAATTCCAGTTTTTGTATTGGTACAGTTAGTTTTTCAGGTTTTACAAAATACCAACTTTGTATCTCTAAACGCATTGCTAATGTACATTCTAATTTTTTTTTTCATTACAGATTCCCATTGCTATCGGGCTGGTTATTTAAAATGTCCGAACAGCCATTTTACATCACAGCAAATAAAAAAGGACTGCAAGAATTTTGGAAAAGAATCGGTAGGTTCCAATTCAATGTAAAGTCAAAAGAGAAAACTATCATAATGTAGGGTCTATGTAAAATGACGTTAATTTAGAATTCATATACTATTGTTCCAGATTCAGGTAACGATGCTGACAGTAGTGAAATAAAAAAAATGCAGCGGACTTCGTTGACTAGGAGATCTCATGGAGGCAGATTATCTGATAAATGATGTTGTCAATTATTTATTTTAACTGTCGAATACAGTAACAAATTTTAGTGTATTTAATTTTTCTTTTTTAAAACTTTTGGCTTTTATCACATCTTTTTAAAATTTTTAATGGAAACCTATACACATATAGTATTTCTAAAATATGATACATATACATATGTATATTCTTAATAAACTGAGTGCAGTCAGCGTACGAATCACTAATGATTCATTGATAAAACAACTGTGGCGTGATATCCTGGAGGTAGCAGATTTTTTGATCCGATGTTTTCATTATGTATAAATGATTTTCTGTAAGAATTTAACTCAAACTTGTTAAAACATTAAAAGCAAGTATAAAAAACGATAAATGATATCGAAATATAAGTATAACATATGATAACCAATCGATGCTCAAACGTAGAAACTGTGTGACTCATGACACATCTCTGTGAGGAATTCACCTGTTTGCGTCTGTCAACATCAATGTCAGTTAGGTTTATTTGGATCGTAATGAAATTCCTGAATTTGTTGTGAACCGTGTAGTGGTATGTGTGAGTACTGAGTGCCATAGCGAGATGCAACTTTAGTAATTTATTATGTAGATTATCAAACCTATTGTTCTTGAGGGCACCGTGTAACTTAAAACGTTGGTTTTTCTCACGTTATGCGAAGAAAGTTCAATTGTGAAAGGTATTTAATAAGCCTAATTCGTCGTGTTTTCGGTCGTGGTAGCTTTAAATTAAAAGTTTTTCATTGTATGACAAATATTGTGTTATTTTATTCTGAAACTGAAAATGTCGCGATTCAAGCCGACGGATACAATGCCGAAAATGGGCCATGTGACTGATCTTCGAGAACAGTGGCTCGTGAGAACGGACGGAGCGTTGGCCCATCATCTTCAAGACCGCGAGATCTCGTCGCATCTCTGTGAAAACAGGTTCCGTAACCAACAAATAAGGGAGGATTTTCCATTGGCATTAAACGAACAGAGGGATATTGAATATGAGTTACGTTTACGAGAAATGGCTCGACGACGCCAGGACGATATAGACGCGGAGATAGCCCGGAAAATTGCTGATATTAATATTCATAAACAACATCGTCATCTTCCTAACCCTAATCCAGTTCAAGCTCCACAGCCCAGTTCATCAAGAGCCACTTTTTCCTCCTCACAAATCGAACTAGAACCGCCTCCTAGTTTGCCTGTTGCTATCGATCCTAAAGAGTTAGGTCTTCCACCCAGTGAGATTAAAGAAATTTTAAGTCGATTAGAACAGGAGGAAAGAGATGCTAGGCTAGCTAGAGAATTAAGTCATGAGTCTCAAGGTCAGGATGCTTTACTTGCTGATATGAAGTGTGCAGTTGAAGCCCAGGACAGTGAGTTAGCAAGACTGCTACAGGAAAGGGAGTATAAAAAGTTACAACGGGCTAAAGAGAAAGCTAGACAAAAAGCTCTATTAAAAAAGCAGCAGCGTCTAGCTCAACAGGACCCACTGCCGGAACCTCCACAACCAACATTGTGTGATGCATACAGCAACCCTCGAGATATAATAAGACAGAATGGTTTGCGGCTTTGTAAATCTGTTGATTCAGATTTAAATTATGTTGAACCATTTGAGAAAGAAAGCATACAATCAAAGGAAAGTGCCCTTTTAGCCAAAGAAATGTCAAAGCAAATGTATTCCATTGGAGCTGGAACTTCAAACACAAACCTTCATGTGTCTCACAAGCACACTAAGTCATTTGAAACTGAAAAGCCGAGCTCATCAAGCTCATTGAACTACCGGCAGCCCCCGCCCCCACCCACTGGTGGGAAGAAGCCTAGATTCCCAGACCCCATGAGTATTAGACCGGCATCACATTACACTCCTGACAATGTGTCATCTGGCTCGGATGGCCAAAACACATTCATGTCGCATAGTGTCAGTGAAAACAACAATTTATACAGTTCCACATACCCACCTGATAATATAAATACATCACAAGTCGGAGAGAGAGTGGATCCGTCTAAGAGATTGTCGGTAATATCAGATATTACAGCGGAAGGTCTGGCTAAAAAGAAGAGCAAGCAGGCTGAGAACAAAAAGAAAAAAGGCTGCAAAATTCAGTAGTTTCATAATATTGTCACTTTTGTTTATAACACATCATAAATGTGATTATATTCTTATAGAGAAAAATTCTTTTCTGCATTAATAAGACTCATTTTTTGATTTATGTTTCAATTAAGAAAAAAGCAACTCAAAGTATTAGTGATTATTATTATTTTTATATTGATTGACAGTTTTATTATGGAAACATACAAGATTTTATACATTGTACACTTAGACTAAGCTGTATTTTATTTTAATTATTTGTAAGGATATATTTATTTATTTTTTACTCTGCAGCGTACCTGTGGAAACAAACCAATGATTCTTTATCTCTTGCTTATTGTCTTAAACATTAATTTTAACCTCGTTAACATTCCAGCGTAGTGATTTTGTTTTTGATCTCTTCAAAATTCATTTTTTTACTTCAAACTTTAAGTTGCGTAATTATAACATATTATTGCTGTTTAAAAGTATTCTTTTGTTTTGATTTTTAATTATAATGTTTGTTTAAAGTAAACATTTATTTTGTACTTATAGAATTTGTTCGATTAATCATTATTACTAATATATAAAAACTATTTAGATGCTCATATTCTGAATCTCATCTCCATTTCAGAAGTAGTAGTTATTACAAAATTTACTTGTTTACAGTTCAAATACTTTAAGACTGATTTACATTTAACTTGTGTGAAGGATTTATATAATTTTATTATAAAACAAATTATTCGGTGCTCTAATTATTGTTTAATGTTCGCTCTCTCGAATTTATATTTTGTAGTCGTACTTTTCATATAAGTTTTATTTTGATTATACTTTTTGTATTCCTTTTTATACGTTTCTCGACCGTAGCTCAAATCATTAGATGTATAACTAACATAATTATTAAATAATTTTTCGACAAATATTGTTATTACTTTAAGTAAATTTAGCTTTAATTGCAATGTACGGCCTTCATCGTGCCTTAACGGAACCGAACCAAACAGAATTATTTAAATAAAAGCGATTATTGCAAAAAACGTTTGTTTCATTGAGTTCTGTTTACATTGGATTGATTGGTTTTCAAAATATCAGGTATTTTAGATCAGCAGATGAATGTTGTCACATCTACGTGACTCTCATAAATTACGTGATTTTTATTCCATAGTACACTTTTTCGATAATATATTTCCTGAATTTAAGTATCTAGTTTTTTATTTAAATTACTAAGCTTTATATTTACTTTTCAAAAGATATATCGTTTGATATTCAAGAAAGTTAATTGTTTATTAATGGAGTATTAGAGATGTGTAATTTTTAATAGCAACAGTTTTATCTCAATGACTAGAAACCATGCGTGGGACGAGAAATAAAACACCATGAAAAATGTCCAATTGACTATGTTCATTGATGACAAAAATAAATACAAAAATATGACGCGAAGATCAATTTTCAAATTCTCTCCCTAAACCTTACAGTAAGTGATATATATACAAATTGGGCTAAAAAGAAACAAATGTTTTATTTTGGTATGTGTATTATGAAAAAATGTTGTGCTCGTTAATCCCTAGACTGTAAGGTTCCCAAATAAATAATCAAATAGTTGTTAGGGTGACCGATTTATTATATATTAAACCTTAGATAATATTGGCGACGGAATCTCTAAGTTACAGGCACGAGGACGCCGCTAGCACAGGCTCCGGCTCCAAATACGACTAATTTATGATCCTACTCTCATCAATAATGACTGTTGTACATATTAATGTTGTTACATGGTGCAAGACGTAAAGGGTTGTACAAAGAAACGTTAACTTCAATATCAGGCTGAATGTCATAAATTAAAATGGCCAATTGATGTACAATTTAATATTGAACTAGTTGTCATTAGATGCTATTTGGAGATGTTGGCCGCTTGTTTCTTGGCTTTGACTAACTCTACCAGCTCTTTGTACCTCTTCATGCAATCTTTTTTGGAGCGGTTCGGTATACATTCAGCGATCTTGTCCCATCTCTCCGAAGTGCTGACAGGGAATGTTTTGATGGCTTGCTCCAGAAGTTCCTGCTCTGTCTTGGTCCAAGGCTTTTCTTCCTTGGATTCCTTGACATCTCCATTCATTTTAGGTTTGGAGGTTCCGTTCACTAGTTTGGGAGTGTCATTCTTGGATATACTATTGTCATCCACCGAGTTGACAACCTTCTTTTTGTCTTTTTCAAACTGATCGAAAGCTTCTTCATTGGCAGCTTTCTTTAGGATGCTCTTTGAGAAATCTGAACTCTGCAGGTCTTTAGCTTTGTTTAAAACTTCTTTAGCATTGAAACGTCTTTCATCAGTGAAGGTTCCGTGTTGATTCAGGAAGTTAGCGACGACGTCCCATCTTGCATTTGTACCGGCAGGGAACAGGTTGACAGCTTTGATGAGCAATTGCATCATTTCTGGAGACCATTCTATAGGAACCTTAAGAGCTGCATTTTTCTTTAGTTTTTGTTCTTCAACTCTCTTATTTTCGAACAGGGCCCTGCGTTCAGCTTCAAGCTTCTCTTCAGACTCAGTGATAGCCTTTATGAATGCGTCCCGGCCACTCGACTCTATATCTTTGATCAGGGCTTGGATCTCTGTGGCCTTCAACAGTTCACAAATCTTTTCGACTGCTGCCATATGATTGACGGTTTCATCTTCGTTTTTAGCAAAATAGTTATTATTTTTACATAAATCTCTAAGTGATTTCCTCTCCTTGCGCAGATTTTTCTTTTGTAGTTCCCTCTCAGCCCTGGCCGCTTCCATCCTCGCCCTCTCGGCTGCTTCGGCTTTTTGTTTAGCAATTTGGGCCTCTTTTATTAATCTCTCTTCTTCAGCTTTTTTAGCTTGGACTGCATCCTGAAATACATATAAGTAATTTAATTAGAAAAATACAATGAGCCCAAACTTTTTCATTACACTTTAAGTATTTATAACTTAAAATTTTCATAGTTTAGGTATTTTTATAAAATATTCACTACAATATAACAATGCTGTGATGGTTACAACATGTGTTTACCTGGCGGGCTCGTTTAGCAGCTATCTTTTTATCTTTGTCCTCTTGTTTGAACCTCTGTATCCTGGGGTCGTTAGCGTACGCCAGGTCCACCAAGTTGCGTATTCTCGTCATTTCCTCCTTCTTTAGTTTAGCTCTGGCCACTTTGTTTTGTTTCTCTATCCACCTCCGCTCCTCTCTGTCAGACCCCTTCTCTTTCTCTTCCTCGTCCAAATAAGAAAACTCACGCCACGAGTCAAATTCGTACCAAAATGAGTAAAATTTTTCTACAAACTCCCGAGAACTGTTCTCGTCTCCCAACAAAGGCACATGTTTTTTCTCCGACCATCGCGCATTCATTTCAAAATACTTTGAGAAAATATTGAAGAAACCCTCTTTCTTAATCTCACTGGTTGTGGGAATGGAGTCATCGAACTCTGGGTCGACTGAGTCGTAAGACCGCCTTGTTTTTGGTGAACCGAGTATCTCATAAGCCTTAGTAATGCACGTGAAGTAGTCATCGTCACTCCTAACTTCTTCTCCGAGGGCCTTACGTTTGTCTGGATGGTGTTTGAGTACTTTTTGCCGATATGCTCGCTTAATATCGTCGTCGGTGGCTTCGATACGCAATTTTTTCATCCCTAGGACTGCATAATGGTCTTGTTTCTTCCATTCTTTCGGGTCTAGACTCCTCAGGTAGCCCACATCGTCTTCGAAAACAATTTCCTCGCTTTTATCTTTTGATTTTGAAGTAAGTAGTAATGTATCCTCACCGTGACATTTCACGTTATAATAACGAAGGAACGCGCTTCCAGCACATTCTACTCTTCGCTTCAAAAAAGGGCATGGTAAAGATACAACCCGACAATCTGCAGATTCAGCCTCGCTCATTGTTTATAGAAATGTTTTAAGAAATACGGGATTTTAACTAACATAACCTAAAAGCAAGGTAAACAGTACTAGGTTAAGTGTACAGAGATAGTCAAATTATATTTAATAAAACGCAAAGAAAAGAAAACTACACTAAATAAACTTAATCGAATATTATAACCACATTATTAATAAGTTATTTTTTTCTAACGCGTTATCGAAATATTCCCATACGACTTTGACTGTAGGGACTAGGGATGAGCCTACTAATACAGATCATAAATAACAATTAAGGCAGTCCAGAGTTGAATATTATATGTAAAAATCGATTTCTTCGGTAACTTTGATTCAATAATTAACTTTTATGTTTGATAAGAGTATAATTATAAGTTATTATTTGTAATGATAAAATAAAAAATAAAGATTTTAAGTACCTATTAAACAAAAAGTAAATAATTAACATTATTTTAAATTTATTTGGAAGTGCAGCCAACATTGCAAATTAGATCAGCTGACTGCTGTCAACATTTAAATATATGAATTTGAAACATCTCTATAGATATTTACAGTGAACTGTACAAATTTACTAACAAGTATATTATTGCTATTGTTTTTTCGTGTGATTATACTGAAAAATGTCCGACATGGATTTAATGTTCAAACCTATAGTGCTCGTTACTGGGTTTGGACCATTTTTAAATCATCCATTGAACGCTAGTTGGGAAGCTGTGAAGTTAATGAATAAAGAATCTATTGAGAAGAAACATAACGTGGAACTGGTACAGTTAGAAATTCCGGTAACCTACGAAAATGTTGACGAGTTTGTGCCTGCTCTTTGGGATACCCACGAACCTAAAGTAAACAATTATTCTACTTACTTTCCTTATCTTTTTAAAACCTTATTTTAAGTCGAAATATTTAATGTATATATTAAATTCAGCGATATTTTAGTTAATGATCCACGTAGGTGTGTCAGGCATAGCCGAGTCCATCACTCTGGAATGCCAGGCTCATAGGAAGGGATATCAAAGACTCGACTACTTCGACAAATGTCCACCGAATCATGCGTGCCCAGCTACGGGAGCACTTCGCATCAAGACTAGATTGGATGTGGAAAAAATTTGTCAAGAATTCAATGATGGCTGTCCGCCGGAAACAAATGCTATAGTCTCCCTCGATGCTGGGAGGTATTTAATTAAGACCATAAAGAATTTCATTATTATAATTTAATAAGTTTTCTTGTAAATTATCAAATGTGACATATATATTTTATTCTATAATATTGACTACTAGTAACCAAAATTACTAGAACCATACAGGAATGAGAAATTATTGTCCTATTTTTAAATGTATGTATATAAATTCAAACAAACTGTACACTAGTATACTTACATACCATAATAAGCTTAACTAAATAACAGATATGAGATCTTGATATGATAGTTACATCAAATGTATATTGAAAATAATTAATAAATATTTGCATACATATGACGCTCAAATATGTATAATGTGTTTCAGATACCTGTGTGAGTATATCTACTACACATCACTAAGTGTCGACAATACCAGAACACTGTTTGTGCATGTTCCTGATGTGAATAAGTATTCATCGGAACAGACGGCCCGAGCGTTGGAAGTTATTCTAGACCTTTGTATGAAACAGATAACAGCCATGGATGCTGCCGATACAGTAACCGAGAACTTACAAAGTAAATGTCAAGTGTGAGCAAATAAAGTTAAATAGTTATGATAAATGTATGTACTGTATAATAATGGAAGTTTTATAATTGTTACTGTAAAAAGAAATCAACAACCAGTTCTAGAACAAAATATGATCAACATAAACTGTAAAGGAGATAATTTTATTGAAATTAATTTGTAAAATCTTTCGTTGAATGAGCCATTAGAACTTTTACTCAATTTTAATAATAGTATTCTATATGTTTGTTAAATCTGTATGTTTCAGTAGTCTGTGTAGTCTAGATTCTAGAAACTTCTCAGAGAACAATTGACATTCTATATTTTATCTAGTAAACATATTGTTTAACTTAATTTCCACATCAGTGTATAACAAAGTATTATTTAAAACAATTATAAAGAGTCATCTAGATTCTAATTTCTAGCACAATATCATTGAATTATATACCTAGTATGTGAATTATATGTAAATGATGCACTATTTTTATAAATGCATTCCCGTTGTTTTAAAAGGTCGTTGGGTTTTTTAATTATTTTTTCGCCTATAAGTGTTTTGTTTGTATATATTGCATTATATTATTGTTTGTTTAATAAATTAAATTATTAAATTTTGTTTTTAAATACAGTCACTACATATTGATTCGTGTGTAATAAGTAAATACTGTAATGTCTATCAATTGCGTTATTGATCTGTCGGCTTATCTCGTATATGACGTCACTATCGGTTCTTTTAGTCTTCTGTAGCAAAAGGAGAAATCTCACTTTAATTGAAACTTGTTTTTTATGTCCTTTCGTCATAATATTCGAGTCTTCTCAGTTTCCTAGAACATGTTAGGCTGACAAACTTATTATACAAGTGGCGCCATCCATGCCGTACTGATTTTAATAAAGTGAAACCTCGTTAAGTGGGACCTGAAGGGACTAAGGATTTTATACCATTTATAGATATAGAGGTTTTTCATCTATCCAGTTTTCCAATTAGATATTTAAATTATAGTTCTCTTATTTCAACACTCTATCATATGTTTTTTAAAACCCTTTAACCATTCTTTAGCACCAGAAAAATTATTGATTAAAGGAGCTTACGTCATACGTGCAACTTTTTGCGCTTTCTCTTTAATCATTGGTCCACTTATTAGAATGTTATTATTCCGTACTTGCTTTATCCATGTACAGAGACATTTTTCAAGTTCGGAATACTCTAGTGATTGTATTCACTGAGGTATACTGATTAGATTCAATATACCGAGACCGAATTTTCTCGTTATCCCTACTAATATTATAAATGCGAAAGTAACTCTGTCTGTCTGTTACGCTTTCACGCCTAAACCACTGAACTGATTTTAATGAAATTTGGTACAGAGATAGAGTTGACCTTTAGAAAGAACATAGTTTTCATCCCAGACTTTTGAAAGGTTTTCTTGGAAACGCGATATAACCGAACTCCACGCGGGCGAAGCTGCGGGCGGAAAGCTAATTTTTAATAATTCTACACAGAGTTGACTTTGGTACCTTATACTTCGTACAGAGTTCATTACACAACTATACACAATCATATTCTGATAAAAGCTTTAATTTTTGAATTACTGATAATGTACTATATTTATGTTTACATTTTAAATAATTTAACTATCTTGTTTGTAAGTCAAAAGCTGTGGTATTCTCACAAATAAACGTGCCCATGAAAGTAAAATGTCCATCTTAAACAGGTGATTGATCAACGTGTCCGAATTATTGAGGTAAAATTAGAAAAAATCCTAGAAATCATATCTCATTCATCCAGGGCTCGACAAGTCCTATTAATATAGGTAATTCGATAAAAAAGTGCTGGGACATAATAATAGAGGTTCCACTGTATTATACTAAAAACCCAGAATCATTTTCATGACTGATAAAAATCTGCAATCCTTAGAACTAAAGGCGGCGTTTAGAAGCTTAAAACGAGAGGCTTACAATGTTGTTTTTAAAATAATAGAATACGCGTAGTACCTATAATCCGAATAATATTAGTTTCATTTAACTAAACACTCCCTAGTCTTAGATCTCAATTTCATATAATATTTATGTGTTATACATATCGCTCATCCAAAAGAATAATGACACAATTACCCAAAAGTCGAAAATAAGTTTTTGATGCCATAACTTTATATTTTGCACGTTTTATCGAAGGTAAAAACGATAGAATTGCTATTCCATTCGTTTCAGACAGAGTCAATGTCGTTATGTTTTTGGCCTATTTTACTTACATTTCCGTGGAAACATCGATGTATTTACCTATTTGTCATTCGTGCAAATTTTGATAGATAGGTACTATGAAGACTGGTGAACGATTAAGACAAATTTTTATTGCAAAATTGTTAGATTAATGAATCATTGTTATTATTTTATATTCCTACCAGTTTATAATAATTATGCTACTCTTAGATAAGTAGGTACAAGTACCTTATGGTATAGGGTTAAAGATGTCTTTAACTGTAATTTGTCTTGATCTCATAATAACTTTAAGGCCTCGGCCTCGAATTTTGCGGGCAGCGGAGCGGCAGCGGCGGCGGCACGGAAACTCATACTATTCTCCAAACTAGCGGGCAGCGGGCACCGCTGTATTCGAGGGTCGGTCCATTTGATTATACGCGTAAGATCTTGCCGCTCCGCTGCCCGCAAAATTCGAGGCCGAGGCCTAAACACTACCCAGGTGTGGCCAGGTATCTACTTATACATTTATTATTTTCAATATTAGATTCTTTTAAAATTAGTTTGTGTTTTTAAACTCATCAAGATTTTTATAAAACTTATTTTTATTACAATAAATAAAGTTAAAAATTTAGACCGATTAATTGAAACAAATCAAATTGAGTATAATGTTGTTTAAATTCATGATTTATTCCCATATCCAAACCTAGCATTATGTCATAATTGTTTTATTTCGTTTCTAAAATGTCATAATGTACACCTGGTTTGTTTTATTTGCTATTTTCTAATAGTTATCTTAATTTTTCTCGCAATCTTTTTACAAAATGTTAATGATGCTAAAGTATGTAACACAACATAACTATTAAAATATATCAATAGTATTATTGGAAATACACATTATTATCGATGTCAAACTTTTAAAACACTCTCCTGAAAAATCGCAAAAACGTAATTTCATATAATATTTATTTGTTATACATATGCTAATAAACAAATATATAAGTTAGTGAATAAAACTCCATATATTATAGTACAATTGTTTATTGTCTAATCCTCCTCCTCATCGTTGGTGGCTCCTCCGCCCTGTCCCTTGCGCAGGTTCTTCCTCTTAACACGGCCAGGCCTGCCGCCACCGAACGGTGACTTCAGAGAGAAGTCAATGTGCTTGCCCGAGTCCAGGCGGACTATGAACGATGGGATGTTCACTATCTGTTTACGGACACTGGGGATAGAGAGAGGTTTATTAAGATGAGAGAACAAATATAATAAAGATTTTCATATGAAAATTACTTAATAGTACTCGAATTTCAGTTAAAATTTAGCCTTTATTTGGTCTTTATGCCTTCATGAGGTATTCAAATCCTTGAACATACTTTACCTGCAGCAGCTCATAAGAGCATTTAATTTCAGGGCATTGATATCAACAAGTTGAATATCAAGTGGCCCGTGAGAAATAATTCAGAACCAAAGGTCTTTCAGGACCGGCTTTAGACCTCAGCCCAGCTTTACCTGTATGTGATTTGAATTAGCAACATCATATGTGACTTTGATTACAAAGTAACTTGATTTAATGACTTCTAACAGACAATCAATAAGTTAAATAATGTTTGAAACTGTTAGGGTAAGGTTAAAGTACTACATGAAATGCAGAAATGAGATAGAATGGAATTATAAGTCTGAAAATCAATTACCGAATGTGTCTTTGACGGATCAGAATCCTGGCGTGATGGATGGACTTGGCCAGACCTGCCTTGAACACCTGGGTCTGGAGGCGACGCTCCAAGAAGTCCTCGATCTTGAGGCCCAGCACGTAATCCAGCTTCATCTGCTTCTCATCCAATACACCGATCCTCACCAGACGACGGAGGAGTGCGTTACCTAAACAAATGATCATTATTAACCAAATTGGTTTTCATAATGATATTGGTATCGTAAGGAATGTATCAGAAAAGTTATTCTCAACAATAGTAGTCTGCCAAGAGGTTGCCATTAAGATATTCATCATATACGTATACCTCATTAATATAAGTTGTAATAGCGTGGTTTATAAACGAACCTTCAAACAGACGCTTGGGGTCCTTCTCCTCCAGCGTGAGCAGCTCGCGGGCAGCCTTACGGATGCGGGCGAGCGTGTACTTGACCCTCCACACCTCACGCTTGTTGCGGAGACCATATTCACCGATGATCTTCAACTCCTGGTCCAGACGAGCTTTCTCGAACGGACGACGCGGAGTCACGTACGTCTTCGAGAACACTGACGGCACACGGTTGTTCACCATGATGGCGAGCTAAATAACACATGCTTCTGTTAGTCGATGTATCTTTGAGAGAATGTTCACGATGTTTTAGTAGGGGGGTGTGTCGCCGCCTGCCGTTGCAAACGCAAATACCATGTAATGAATGCGGCATTACTGGATTGAGTACGCTTGGGAATCAATGCACGAGGCGTTAATGTAGCCTTTTGGTCCACTCACAACACCTATACCAGGCTGTCATGATCTACAAAAAGGCCGATTGGAGGTTACGTTTCAAATCTATCGCAATCACAGTATTGAGAAACCAATTCTTCAAATAAACTATATTAACGTCATAAAGGATGATAATTTTATTTAATTCAACACGTATTTTATTAAAAAATAACAAGAATCACACAAGTATAAACATAAACACACCTTCGACCAACGCGGCTCGCTGCGAAAGAGACTGAAAGACTTGTCGCTTCTGACAGTATGAAGTTTTAAGTTTGACAATCGAAATCAAGGTTGCCAACATTTATATTACCCAAATAAAAAAAACTTGTTACTTATTAGAAATTAAGACTTTAGAACTAAAATAAAATCTCGAATAAATTATACTTCTTAAAAATTTCTTTTAGTCCAGGATCCATGGCTGTTCTTTGCACTTGATTACTAACAAGCTAATTTTCCGTGAGTAGCTTCGTTGCATCGAGACGCCCAACTTTTTCCTTTGCGATATTTCTTGATTGTGGTAACAGAGGTAGCAGGGATTAAATATGTTGATTTGATAATCCTTCAAAATTTATTACTAACAGAATTTTTTATGTTAAATCTTATGATAATTATCTAAATTAATCGAAAAAAAAAAATTGTCCTACAAAATGTATGGTTTGATCAAAGAGTCCCCCTCCTTTCAACATGTAAAGATAACGAGGTCATCGTGAATAATTACTTACTAGCTAGATAAATTAATAAATAATTAAATAACCAAATTTTAAATATTTAAAAGAGGAAATTCAAATCATTATTAATTTGAGCACGAGTAAGAAAATGTACTTAAACATCAATGAAATTTACGCCAAGCTTGGAGATCAATTATTTTGTTCACTCGCCATATGCCATATTTTTACAGGGAATGATTGTAAACCTGCATTCTTTCGTAAGCGGAAAAAGAGACCTTTTAGTATTCTAAAAAAGATATTAATTTTTAAGAGGCCTTTATTCAACTCTTACCAATGGAAAATACGGCACTAACAACATCGAATAAGTTAGTTCAATTTATTGAAGAGTATATACCTATGTAGAATGTATGCTTTAAAAACAAAAAAATGTTATCAACAAAGGGTGGTATGAGTTATTTGAAAAAGGGTATAAATCAAAAAAATGAAGAAATTTTAAAACAAAAATTTTAGTTAAAAAGTTGGGCGTCTCAATGAAACGAAGCTACTCACGGAAAATTTGCTGTTAGAAATCAAGTGCAAAAAACAGCCATGGATCCTGGACTATTTGTATACGTTTTTTTATATAATAAAAATACTCTTTTGAATACAGTACTAAGAAACACTTTCTGGCCTCGAAACAACGGCACTCAAGAAACATATAATATGGTTAATTATATTTTGTACAAAATATATAGTTTTCATTTCTTATCAAAATTTTATTACTTTAAATTGTAAAATTTAAATTTATAAAATAAATTATGAGTAATTTTTGTTTATAATTTATTATTTTAAACTTAACAATAAAATGTAATTGTAGATAGGTAAATTTCATATTTATTATGCCGTTTCAATTATTTTATAGTATGATTAGTTTCAGAAATATAGCTATACAACCCATTCCGAAGTTTTTTTCATGATAGTGGCCAGGAGTAATAATTATTTAAAGTTTATTCGTTAGTTCAAGTTAGTCCAATTATTGCCTGTTCGTTTATATAAAAAAACCCGCTCTACAATCCACAAACAATAAAAGTAAATGCTCTTGAAAAAAAAATCATATTATTTATATGACTCTACAACCCTAACTTTCCAATGAACCTCTTTATTTTTAACTCTGCAGTCATAAATACAAAATTTTAACAATAACCTTTCTTTGTTAGTAATAACGTCATGAATTTCAAACTAAAACTAAGTAGGTATAATGTTATAGTATAATATAATGTAATAATGTAAAGTAAAACCAATTTTTTTAAAACATATATTTTAATAATATTGTTCTTATATACACATATATTTTCATATGACATTAAAACTTCTTGTATTTCAAGAAACTTCTATACTTCTTAGGGTTCAGACCGTACGCTTTAAGCCGTTCATCTGAGAGTTTACTCAAGGGGTCAGAACTAGTGTTGTTTTTTCCCTTGTGTGATATTTTTCTATCAGCTGTATTCTTCTTCTTTTTCTTCTGTGTTTCATTTTGTTCTGTATCTAATTTTCTCTTATTATTTTTACTTTTCGTTTCATCATCTATCTGTGTTTCTGTAAAGTCTTCTGTGGACGTCACATTTTGTTTCTTCTTCTTTCTTCGTTTCTTCTTAGTCTGTGTTATATTTACTTCTGTAGTAACCTTGTTTGTATTTTTTTCTTTGTCTTCCAAATCAATATTTTCTTCTCCATGGACCTCTGTCTCATTAACACTGTCACTGCATTTTTCTTTTCTTTGCTTTTTATTTTTCTTCAAGTCTAGATCTTTATGATCTTGGTTGCTTGTCGTTGCTTCATCTGCTACTTCAAGGTCACCATTCTCTATGTTCTGCATTTCTTCTTTATTCCTTTTCCTTTTCTTTTTCCTTTCCTTTTTATCTTTTTCGTGTACATCACTATCTTCCACACTATCATTATTTCCATCATTATCATTATCCCCATCATTATTAATATCATTATTTCCTACATCTTGTTGCTTCTTCTTTTTCTTTTTCTTCTTTTTGATAGTCTTCTCTAATGGGACGACTATTTCTGGTTCACTGTAAATTATGTAAGACTGTATTAGAATAAATCATTTTCATACAAACTATACCTAAATATGATAAATATTTTGCCATTACTGTGTTTTATTGGTAATAAATTTGAAATAATCTAAGAAGCTTAAGTTTATTTTGTGAAAAATCGAATGGAACTATATTTAAATGACACTAATATTTTCGGAATTTACTTCGCGTTTTTATTTTTGATTATAAACTGCATACTCCCGACGTTTAAGCTACTTTTCGGCAGCCGTGATAACGAGCAGACGAGATGCACATCCGAAAATATTAGTTTCTTTTAAATGAGTACTCACGAAAAATCTTAGATCTCATTATGGAACTATATTCATTGGCCGAATAATATACACTAGCCAGAATTTTAAATGTGTATTGTATATGTATGTAGTACATACTCCGGCACTCCTTTAAACAGACTGGGCAGTATTTTCTTCTTGAGCCTCACGTCGGCCGCTTTCTGTGTGTATGAATGTACTTCACTCTTCTCAACATTCTCTGGCCGATACTTAACGATCTTCTTAAGAGGAACCCATTGGGTCAACTCCTTGTCGTCCGCTAGAAGGATCTAGAAAGATATAGTGGCATTTAACATTCACTTCATTTTTGCTTAGATTCAATAAAATTGTCACAATTAATTAGATTTTCATGTTAATTTATTAAATGAATATTAATATGTATACAGTTCCATAGAAAACACAAATAAATTATAATACAGTCGACTCTCGTTAATTCGAAACTGGAGGGACTCTTAAAATATGTCGATTTACCGAATATTTGAAATATCAAATAGTTGGAAATTTGTGAGAGAGAAAAAATAAAAGTTAGGTTTACTGAGTATTGATTAATAATTACTAACTGCTATTTTATAACAATGAAAAAAGTTTAGAGTGTACATACATAGTACATTCAACGAGACATGTTTCTCTCCGCAACTTTGTATAGTCGAGTGTTGGACGCCCATGAGTTCGAATTAACCCGTCGCTTTATTATAAAGCAATGATTTTTGCGTTCGAATTACAAAGTGCATATGTATTGATTTAGTTCGAAATATAAAGAGACTTTGACCTTTGTAGGGAACTCGTGATAACTTTGAATTATAGAGAAGTTCGAATTATCGCAGGTTGGAATAAACGAGTGCCGACTGTAGGTAAAATAATAAAACTTAGATTTTTTTTCATCAATATAAAACAATTTATAATTATCTTGTAGAATGTTTTATGGTAAAGTAAGAGTTTAATGGTGTTAGTTTATATAAAAATAATACAACTAGCGCCATCTAGTGGTAAGTATGTAAGACACATGTAGTTTAGTTTTGTCTATGACTAAAGACAGTTCGTTTTGGCGTAACAAGCAAGAACGTTGTTTTATTAAACAGTATTACAATATTATTCTTGTAGTTCTCACCTCCTCAACAGTCAGTCCGTAGTCGTTGGGCACCACTTGTCTGTACTTGAACCTGGTGGGCAGGTCTCCTCCGATAATGTCCTCACAGTCCATCTTATAATACTCATCCATGTACTGAGAGTATGTCTTGTCTACTTCTGGTACAAACTTAGGTTTCTGTTCCGACAGTAACTCGGCCAGTTTGGATTTCTTCTTTCTGTTCCGTTTCTTCTTGGTCATGGTGCTTGTTAATTCTTCTAGTAAACTCTCTCTTGCCTTCTTCGGGTCGTAGTCTGCGTCCATCTGTTGAAACGTAAATGATCGTGTATATAAAACAATTATTTCGTTTACAGATTCAAAGAGTTGTCAATGCACACTTATTGTTATAATGTACCAGCATTCTAAGTCCTTCTAAGGTGTATGACTTATCTTTAAATTACCTTTATATTAAGGTAAGATGATAAAACTTAGTTATATGTTTATAACTCACATTAAAGTCCTCGTCTTCACAGTGCGGTCCATCATCTTCATTCTCCTCATGAGCATTTTCTTCATGTTCATATTTATCCCAGTTCTCTAAGACACATATTGTTATAATTAGCATTTTTTTTCACTATTTGTTTGAAGTACAATGATAGGTAAGTCACAAGCAAACTATATACATGTCTCATATTCATACATAGGATGCCACTGCCAAAGCTAATATGTCTTACAGCAATAAGTTGAAGGAAAAACCAAGTGAAAAACCAAATCCTAATTAGTACCTTAACTCTCAGCCATTCAATGCAATCTCATTGGATTATTAAGAGGCCATGAGCATACATAAGTCTGACACATTAAATAAAACAAATATGTAATACTATTATTATTTAATATAATAATGTTAATGAGTCCTCACCTATCTCCAGTTCTTGGTCCAGGTCAGGGAACACAGGTTTCTGTTCATCCACCTCTCCGTAGTACTCCTCATCAAACAGAGCCTTCATTCTTCTGTCATGTTCCTCAGGGTTGAAGTCGCCCTCTATGTCCTCTTCCTGTAATAATTAATAGTATTTTATGTTATATTATTGATTATACAAAATACTTTTTATAGGAACTGGTCAATCAAAATAAATGCTATAATTTCTCAAGTTTTCAGAATTTTTACGTAACCTATCTCCTTCTACCTGGCAATTTCCCAGCTTTTAGCCAGGGTCTGCCTTACATGTTGAGAATAGATTTGCCTAATTATTTTTACGACCGGCCGCCTGCCTGACATTAAACCTCTTTGGAAATTTTAGGTAATCTCTCTATATAGATAAAAGGCAGTTGTGTTAGTTACACTATTTCTAACTCAAGAACGGCTGTATGGTTATGGTTGAAAAGTAGTGGCTCGATAGCTTAGTACCAGGGAAAGGACATAGAATATTTAATTCTGTTCGATCGAAACAAAACAAAAAATCTTAAACTCCATCAACTGGTTATATACGCCCTCTAGAGCAGAATAGAGTTCGCCCGGTCAAATATATTATTAATTCTGAAACTAACACGGACGAAATGTAGTTTGTTGTACATATATATATATATATACAGGGTGACTGGTGAATTACTATCGATATTTGAGGACGTGATATTTGACGATCATATATGACAAAATAAAAATTAATATAACGTAAATATTAATAAACTTCTAAGTAAAGTTAACCAAAAGTTATGTAATTAATTACGCATCGTATGAACACCCTACAGATTAGGTATACACACACACTCACACATACGCGCGCGGCGGCGTAGTGTTGTATCAGCACGCTGCCGCGCGCGTCCACACTTGGAACGTGTACTCACTTTATTTATTTTTACGGAAATTTGGTCAAAAATTAAGTACCTATTTTTTTTACATAATTCGAATGAGAATCATGTACCGAGTATTCTCCTTAAATATTGATAGTAATTCACCAGTCACCCTGTATATATATGTCATGAAGAGAGTCAATAAGCAAAAGGAATTGAAGAATATATACTAGATGTAAGTGTTTACATGTTTGGGCGACTTTTCTTAAGACGCATACTATTATCATTTCCAAGTTAATTTCATTTATTCTCCATGTCCTTGATAATTATAACAAGTTAACATATATTTCCAAGTTGAGTATTCTTTTATCCGACAAATATTATAATTGCGAAAGTTTGTGACTGTTTGTGTTTGTTACTTCTTCACGCTCAAACGGGTGAACCGATTTTGATTAAATTTTGGATACAGGAAGCTGACGTCCAGGAATAAGATATAGGCTACTTTACATCCTGAAAATCCCGGAAATCCGCGGGTAACAGCTAGTTGTCCATAAAAGCCAAGTATGTGTTCTCACCCTGAATGCCAGTTCCTCGTTGCCAGTCACTTCCTTAATCTTAGCTATCTTTTCCTTGATCTCCTTCAGTTTGAGCGCCTTCATCCTCGTAATTTCCTCCATTTTCCTCTGTTTCTCCTTCTCCTTCCTCTCTTTAACTTCTGCCCGTTTCCTGGCTCTGCTCGTATCTTTGGGTCGGATGTGGTTCATTGTACGGGGAAAGCGTTTCAACTGGAACGAGAAAATTTTCACGTTAATATCAGGTTATAATTTTTGTGCAGAATCCTTTAATGTTTTTTATGATCACTCACTGTAGAATAGTTTGAGAGTAATAATTAATGAACATGTTTCCGAGTGTATGATCATAAATACTAACTATGTGCTTACACTATCGCTTTATTTAGTAAGCGTGTAATAACAAGACTTTAGTAGCAAGAGTCTCTTTAATTAAGTGTCTATTAAGGTGGCACTTCACTTATAAAATAAATAAATAAAAATAATTTATTTCATTCAAAGTAGTACATTATTACACTTGGCGTTTATTTATTGTGTTCGGCCAAATAAGACCATGTGTGGAGGATTTATTCGTCTTCATTTGACTTATTTGCACAAATAAAACAAATACACACATACACAAATAAGCGAAAACGCGTAAAGACGTGTTGTTGGCGTGTCAAATGTGGAAGTCATATTTGCGCCATTTGGATTACGTAGAAATATATGGACAAATTCGGCCAATACGCTACTCGAATACGCAACGCCAAGTGCTACCTTTACAGTACTGAATAATAAAATCATCGTTTCATAATTGTGTGTGACTCGTGTCTGTAGTATGGTATGTGTATGTGTGTGTCTGTCTGTGTGTGTGTGTGTTGTCCATACAAACTCCTGGTCGGGCTCCTCAAAGCGGAAGTTGTAAGCCCTCTCGAACTGTCCCTGTTCCTCGACCCTCTTCTCATCTTCCTCCAGCTCCTCGTCATCTCTCAGCTGGCTGGCTGATGCTGGACCCTCCTCGAGGTATCTGGATCAATGGAAACACAAACATACATACACTATACTATATAGTCATAAATGAATATGAATATTATTGTTAGTGTCCATTATTGTGGTATGTAATAAAAGTTAAGTGACGAGACGAAAAATTACTGTGATGTGTAAATATTGAGAATAAATATAAGTGGAATGGATTAAAAACTTCTAAAGAAACAAGCGAATATCACGAACAGACTGATCTAGAAGTAGGTAGTTTCATAACAACTGTTACATACTTAGCAGCAGAGATGGCGCTACTAGTATTTAAATGATACATATTTTGATAGATCTAGCAACAAAACTTACGAAATATTTAATCATATTAATGTCATGTACAATAATTATTATTTTGATTGAATTACTTAAAAATAAGTTTTACAAGAGGATGACAAAAATATGTAAAGGCAATGTTTTTCAATCTCTGACATACAATCTACTTTGAAATGAAGCAGAAAACACATGGGATATAAATAAATTGAGCAATGTTAAAAGTAGAATAAATATTACTAGTAACTGATTATTAAAATAATATGGACAGGATACTGTTGATGGAGAAATTAAAATACTTAAAATTAACTACATATATCAGTTACTTTAAAAGTGAGGAATTTCCTCAAGTTCACTCTTTATCATTAAAGATAATATAGTAACATGATTAAATACCTTTTATTCAATATGTAGTCTCTGAGGAATGCTTCTCCCTCGTTCAAGTTAGGGTCACTCCACAGAGCTCTCAACGGAGCTAGTTCAGACTCATCCTCCACATGATCAACACTACCCGTCAGATATGCCTTGAGGTCACTCTACAACACAGTATAGATATATATATTGTTATATTATTAGTTCACAAAATACATCAAAATTATTTGTAATTTTAATAAAGAAGACAGCTGATACTATCTATCTACAAGATACCCTCATCAAAATTGTTACTACAATACTAAACTGTAGTATTCAATTAAACTATATTAAATTTGTCATGTATGTATTGTGCTAAGTAGCAAATCCATGATAGCAACTAATATAATAATCTACCTACATTACACTTGACATCATATTATTATTTTAACAATATCTAGCAAGCATAACTAATACATAACACAGATCTTAAAATACAATCAAAGAATTCTGTATACATTGAGATCAGTATACAAAAAATTAAGAAATTGTTATTGGAGGTTGACAAATAACAAGACTAATAATTGACAGACACTTTTATCTCATCTGCTCATGGTTTCAGTTGGCATAAAGAAACTAAAATATTGGAAAATGTAAAATAAAACAATTAAATCATGGAATAACATGCAAAAAACATTGTTTAGTTTTAAATGTATGAATAACTAGTTAAACAAAAGGTGTGTGACTACCAAGTGGCAATTGCTACTCTAAGGATTGAAATTATATATATATATTATTGAAGTAGAGCTGTTTGTCATGACACAATATTAGAAGAAAAATAAGACAGATTTAATATTATAATTTTCTTTAACTATAACTATTTTATTTGCATGAAGATTTGCTTGTTCTGTCTTTTGTATGAACACAATCCAATGACACTTTATACCAGATTTATTGAACAGTCACTCAAACATTGCCAGAGCTGTTACCATTACTGTCAATATAAGTCAAGAGATACAACATCCCTAATAATATTATAAATGCGAAAGTAACTCTGTCTGTCTGTCTGTTACGCTTTCACACCTAATCTACTGAACTAATTTTAATGAAATTTCGTACAGACATAGAATTGACCTTGAGAAAGAACATAGGATAGTTTTTATCCCAGACTTATAATGGGTTCTCTTGGAAACGCGATATAACTGAACTCCACATGGGCGAAGCTGCAGGTGACAATCTAGTAATATAATTATATTTGTACAGATATTTTTCGGTAAGATCTCACTATTACTTAATAAAAAGTAGACTGCTAGTCGTCATACGTCATCAGCCTATCAGAGCCCACTGCTGAGCAAAGTCCTCTTTCTCACATGGAGAAGGTTTGAGCATTAATTACCACGCTTGCTCAGAACGGGTTGGTGATTTCAAACTTATAATTGTGAAACTATAAGTCCAGGTTTCCTCACGATGTTTTCCTTCACCGTAGGTCAGTGGTGTCTAAATAATCTCAGAAAGTACATATGACTCCGAAAAATCACATTGGTACTTGCCAGGTTTGAACCCGCACCCTCGGCAACGAGAGACAGACCCTTTAACCACTAGGCCACCACTGACTGCTAGTACTAACACATAAAATATTATTATTTTAAAGTTTTTTACATCCCTAAGTGTGTCAGCATACCTTCTGGTCTTTCACTTCCTGACTATCTCCTCCTGATTCCTCAACATCTGCCTTCTTCTCAATGCTAAAGATGTTTCCATCATCATCGTCATCATCACTATCACCAAAAGTTAACTTTTTAGTCTCCGGTTCCTTTTCTATAAACATAAATACATCATTTACACAAAAACATTCCCATTTTTTCTCATAATTTATATATTTAAGTAACACTAATATTTATATAAATGACACAGTCATTTCAAAGAACATTCTATATTCTATTCATTTATTAAAGGCAATAGTCTTTTCATCTATAAATTAACTATTAGAACTTATCTTGAGACAACACCTTACTTTTTTTTGTCTGAAAGACTGTGTATTATATTGAAAATATCACCTTTTTCCTTCTCCACTGTCTCATCAAAGAATTTGTAGTTGGGGTCATATATTCTAGGGTCCTTGGTTTTTAACAGTGATAGTGTCTTCAGGAACTGTTTCTCTACTTCCTCCGATACTTCTGGTGGCTCATCACTTTCGTCTTCACTTTCAGAAGACTCAGACGCATCCGAGTTAAGTGCTTTAGAGCCATATTTTTGTTCCACTGTAAAAATATATATATTTTTGAAATATCATTATTATAATAAATATTTTTCTCTTTGAATACATGTAAACTGAACCATACGTTTATACAATTCTTCCTTTTGTCGCCAGGCGTCGTACTTTTTGGCGTATTCGTTTTCTGTTTTTAATGTAACTTCCTCGTCGGACTCCTCATCAAAAAGCTTCTTTTTCTTCGTCATCATATACTTCATATAATATTATACCATATGTGATACAAAAAGGTGATTATTTAATTTAAGAAGAAATATTTATAACCAAAGAATGTAAATATAAAAGCATGTTCAGCCTTCGGTCAACTGTGTGTGTTCAATTTTCTACCTTATTATGATTTTTCTGTCAAAGTCAGATAATTTGTCAGAAGTATTTTATTTTGTATATGCTATGACGCCACTAAGTAAAGAAGAAGAAGAAGTATATGCTATGACCTTTTAAAGTAAACATATTGATATAAAATAAAGTAAATAAGTATAGCGTGAGCCGTGAATTATAATAAATCTCCTTTTTTAATTTTGAATTATCAATAATTAAAATAATTACCAGTTTTTTAAATCAATAAATAAACAGTAAGTTAGAGCATTGATTCAGGTTTACAAACATTTAAAGTTACAATATACATACAAGTATATTGTAAAGTGTTATATTTATTTTTTTTGCTTGTACATCCAAAAGATAGAAAGTATATAACTATCTACAACTTTGAAAAACATCATATAAAATGGCAACATTACCATAACCTCGTTGCCCACCGGCGTACTGTCTGAGCTACTGTTTGTGTATTGTGTCAAACGATTGTAATTTTTAATTTGTAATTATTAGTATGTTACTTATGTGTTAAGGATAGTTATCAATAAAAACAAAATGACTACAAACCCCAGAAGAGGCACCGATCCCGTGCCAATGGAAGAAAGTGATCAACTGACTATAAGACCATTGTAAATATTGCTTTTAATAAATGTTTATATATGATTCCATGTTTCATTTTCGTACTTAGTTCTACCCAATGACCCTCTTTTTATTAATTTGTTGATATTTTAATAAAAAATATACGATTATTTGATCGAAACTACAATGTTTCTATTATTTTGTATTCTTGATTTCTTTAAGTGTACACAAATCTTTTATGGCTTCAAAATTCATATAGAAAATGAATTAAAACTAATTTTATGCTGCACTTAAGTTGAAAAAAGTTCGTAAGGATAAAACCAGATATAACAATTATTTTTCAGGGGAGCTGGTCAAGAAGTGGGCAGATCCTGCATCATGTTAGAGTTTAAAGGAAAGAAAATAATGGTACTGGAGATTTATTTTAATCTAAATATAACAACTTCCTAAACACCTTTATAAACTTAATATTAAATTCTGTTTGGTTTAAAATATGTATATGCAAGCTGAGCAGACCAGACATATTTCTGGATTCAGGCTTTTAAAGAGCTTTGTGTTGATAGAGCTTATGGTTCTTTAGAAAACCAATATCCCCAAAGACCTGGTCATCAATGTTACAAAGTATCATAAGCTAAATTGTTCTGTCCAGATCCGACATCAATTCATTCTTAGAAAATACTTCAAAGGCAGCCTTGGTAGGTTTGTTTCAAATTTGGTAAGGTAGAGAGAGGAGCTAAGCTATTGGAAGTGATCTTTTTACTCTTATGGACCCTGTTAAACCTACACCTGGGTCTCAAGTCCTAGGTACTGTTGAAGCTCCTCTCCCTGTAACAATGGACCCGACACTTGCACGCTGAATCCGTGGAACGCTGAGAAGTTTTCATGTTGAAAAAATTTATTCCACTAATTTTATAGTAGTTTCAAATACTATTATTTAAATTAAATTCATTTAGATAAATATAATCTATTGCTTTCACTATTTATGGAACTAGGAAAGAAAAAGACGAGCTGAATGCTTTGTTATCTATGTTAGTGAGTGAACCACTGACACATACAGACATACACTATATTATATTTATTGTTTATAATAAGACTTGCCACCCAGTGGACTTAACAATCTTAGACATGATCATACCTGAAGACTTAATGATATAAATACTTTTAATTTAAATATAATGACCACATAATTTTTATTTCTCCATATTACAAACCATTATTAAGTTATATTTAATTACATATTTAAAGAATCATAACATATAGACCTCTTAATCATTAATTTTGATTAAATTATTATGTATCCTGATTGCTTATAAGAAATTCATATGTTAAGGAATAAATTTATTAAATGTATTTAATGTAATATTAAGCTTCAAGACACATTTGAATATTGTTGTTTATATCATTTCAGTTAGATTGTGGTATTCACCCGGGCCTGTCTGGGATGGATGCTTTGCCCTTTGTGGATCTCATAGAAGCTGATGAAGTGGACCTCTTGTTGATATCACAGTAAGGTTTTAGTATTTATATGGATATATATAATATGTGCATCCCTTTGTAATATCTAAATCATGTATTCTACTAATATAGATGTATGATTCAGTTTAATCTTTTTTGTTAGTCTGTTTGTTTGTCCTGAATAATATTGAAATGGCTGGCCAGATTTTGATATGATTTGAACAGTCATCTAACTGATGTAATGAACACTAATTTGATCTACTTTTTTTAAATCTTTTATTAATTGCGTACGAAGTCGCGGGTATTGCTAGTCCTCATTTATTTATATTATACAAGGCTTTCTTTATTTATTTATATAAAAATATCAATGTGCTTCCTATACAACTGTAATGTAAATACTTGATATCTGTAGACTAACCACATACATATAATTTATTTATTTATAAGGACAACTTACAAAACATACACTATTTATAGGTTTTAAAATAAAGGTAATTACATTTTAAGTTAAGTGTTGTTTCAATTAAAAGTTATCACGGCATGGAAAAGGATAGTATTTTCTATTAATGTTTCATATATATGTGTAAAGTTTTCTTACATATATTCTATGTCCAGTTTCCACCTGGACCACAGCGGCGCGCTGCCCTGGTTCCTCACTAAGACGTCGTTCAAGGGCCGCGTGTTCATGACGCACGCCACCAAGGCCATCTACCGCTGGCTCGTCTCCGATTATATTAAAGTCAGGTGAGATATATATTTACAGATTAGAATCATTCAAATGAAACTAATGTTTTTTGGTTTATACTACGTGTGCTTTATTATTGTAAAAACCTAGACACTCCCGACGTTTCGGTTACTTTTCAGCAAGCGTGATCACGCGCAGACGAGATGGGAAATTTAAAAGTTATTTACAATAATAAAGTAAACATAATATAATCCGAAAAATATTAGTTTCATTTAAATGAATACTCGCGAAAGTCAGAGACTTACTCTGCTCTTCCACTTTCATTCCATTTCTCGCATATTTTCGGGCCTTTTTGCAATGTCATCTCATTAAATTAGAATCATATAGCTACTTTAAGGAAACCTTTCTATGTTTGGGCTATCGTTATAACGTGATCTTGTATGTCTCCCCAGCAACATATCTACGGAGCAGATGTTGTACACGGAGTCTGACCTGGAAGGCTCCATGGACCGTATAGAGACGATCAACTTCCACGAAGAGAAGGACGTGCGGGGGGTCCGGTTTTGGGCGTATAACGCGGGCCACGTACTAGGGGCTGCTATGTTCATGATAGAGATCGCAGGGGTCAAGGTCAGATACAATTGAATTATTTATTTATTTATTTATTTTATTTGGATAACCAACAAAAGAAAACATTATCACATTCATTACATTATCAAACTATTAATAATGACTTAAATGTCCTTTTAATGATAGGCTATCACATCATGAATTGAGTTTCAATCTACCTTCACCACCGTTAACATATATAACATAATTTAACATTAGCACCTAGGTGGTACATTAAAATCGAATGGATTCAAATTACTTAGTATACATTTTTGTGAAATTTTTTGAAACCAAACGATTTATAAAGGGTGTTTTTTTAAGCCCGATAGAACTTGAAATTGTAAAAAATAACACAAAAAATTTAATTGGAATCAAAATTTTTTTTTTATTCAAAAGATCAATACGTGACATTAACATTTGAAAATGATTTCGGACATATGGGCACCGCGGCTGTTCTTGACCAAGCACATTCTGGATGTCCAATTTTGGGCCACTTTTTCGAGCACTGCTGGCCGTATGTCACGAATAACACGAACAATGCTGGCCTCCAAGGCGTCAATTGTTGCTGGTTTATCAGCATAAACCAGTGACTTCACGTAGCTCCACAGGAAATAATCGAGAGGTGTCAAATCGCACGACCTTGGAGGCCAATTGACAGGTCCATTTCTTGAAATCAACTTATCGCCAAATTTTGATTTCAATAAGTCGATGGTTGCGTTCGCCGTATGGCACGTAGCGCCATCCTGTTGAAACCACATTGGCTCCCGTTCAATATCATCCATATTTTGAAACAAAAAATCATTGATCATGGTGCGGTAACGATCTCCATTGACCGTAACGCGAGCTCCGGCCTCATTTTTGAAGAAATAAGGGCCGATGATGCCACCAGCGTGAAAACCGCACCAAACGGTGCATTTTTCTGGATGTAATGGAGTCTGTAGGGTCTCTTGTGAATTGGTCTCACTCCATATGCGGCAATTTTGCTTATTAACAAACCCGTTAAGCCAAAAATGCGCCTCATCACTGAACACAATTTTGCGATAAAGCAACGGGTCAGTTGCCAACTGCTCTAGAGCCCAATCGGCGAAAGAATGACGCATATAATGGTCTCGTGGCTTCAATTCCTGTACCAACTGGATCTTATACGGGTGTAGACCGAGATCTTTGCTCAAAATTTTCCACGTAGTGGACGGACAGAGCCCCAATTCCTGCGACCGACGACGAATCGATAAATTTGGATCTTCTTCCACACTTTCGTTTATAGCGGCGATATTCTCTTCAGTATGCACATTCCTTCGACGTGCTGGTGTTATTGCATCCTCTAGAGAGTATGTGGTACGAAATCTATCCACAGTTCGACGAATGGCTTGTTCAGATGGACGATTATGTACGCCATACAAATGACGAAGTCGTCTATAAGTTTCGCGAATCGACGACTGATTTTCAAAGTAAATTTGGAAAATTTCGTAGCATTGTTAAAGCGTGAATCTATTCATGATAATTTGTCAGAGTATACTCAAACAAATAAAAAAAATGTTTCATCAAAATTTAATTTTTTGTGTTACTTTTTACAATTTAAAGTTCTATCTAGCTTAAAAAAACACCCCTTATGACAAGGTATATAGCGAATGTTATACCTTAAATAAGTTTTATCAATTATCGTTCGTGCCATTACATTGCACATTATTGAGAAGATTGCTCAGAATGATTGAGGCTCTGTTAGTTTGCATCAAAGTTATATAAATTGATATAAAGTTAAATCAAGAGTAACTCAACAGTCCCAGCCACTTGTCTGTTATAAGTTTAAGTATCTGGTTACCGAGCTTTGCTTGGTATTTAAGAATTATTAGTATTTATTTTGTGTTTTTTTTTATTTCGTTTAGGCATTTTTAAGTGAACATGTTAAGAAGACACAAAACAATATAGGGGTGAATATACGCTATTTGGTTTTTTCGTGTCCCAGAAGGAAATGTTATCGGTTCCATTCAATATTTATAATTTATTTGACACTATTTTAAAATTAGTAATCCCAGGGGCCAGACGATTATTTTTTTTTAGTTCTATAAGCACCAGAGGGAAATGTGTTGCCAGAAGAGTGACACTGTTGCCAGAGTATAGTAACAAATCAAAGAAAGATATTGTCATGCCATTAATTATTACCTGAGAAAGTTGACTAATATTAAATGAAACGTCTATTTACTTCTATTTATTTATTAAAAAAAATTGTCACTCCTCTGGCTATCATGTATGTAATATGCGAGAAGAGTAACGCTAGAGAAGTGACAAAATTACACATAATGTATTAAAATTAACATCACTTGCTTTTCTTACATCAGTATAAGTTAATATTAGACATCTACGGACAATAAACATTGATTATAGAAATTAACAATTTCGTAACGATAAAATACAAATATATATGCTTACCAAAGGAAATACTCCAACGACTGGCACAAAATTACTTTCCGAAAGTTTATTGAAAACTGATCAAAAATTTTTTTTAATTTTGCTCAAATTATTTAAGATTTATTTTTTAAGATCAAAAGCACAAAGTTGTGATTTTTAATAAATTTTTAAGTCTTTGATTTACTCCAGATGAAGTGACACAATTGTAACATGACTCGAAAATAAGTTATATTAATTTATATTAGTAAATATTTTTACTCTTAATTTTCTTCAAATATGTTTCGATGTTTATTAAAGCGTATGTACACATTAAATAAAAAACACAATTGTGTACTTTATAAAAGCATTCAGCCATACGTTCATTTTAATTCATAAATGGGAAGGCCAGAGGAGTATACGTTTAAAATATTATTAAAAATATAAATTAAATAATTATCGTTAATAGTATTTGTGGGTCAGATAAAATGCCATATTCTTTATTGTTTAAGCATAGAGAGACAATGATATAATAAGTTTTACATAAAATTTGTCTATAGACCAAAGAAATTCAAATAGCGTATATTCACCCATAAATCAATAATTAATTTCTTAGTCTTACCTCAAAACATACACTCATTGACTTCCTGGTACTTAACAACGCCATCTGCTGTTATGTCGTTAAATCAATTAGTAAAAGCAATTAGCAAAAAGTAGTATTACTATTCGCCAATAGATGTCAGGAAGAGTCATATTTTAAACGACTCTTGTATTTTTTTAAAATAAAATAACATTTTCTAAAAATGATTCCTAGCTAGCTAGATTTATCGCCCCCGAAATCCCATTGCTCATTTAAAGATATAAGATATAGTGTATATAAGTGAAGTAGTATCATTTTGTTGTTGTAGGTGTTGTACACGGGAGACTTCTCCCGCCAGGAGGACAGACACCTGATGGCCGCGGAGATCCCCACCGTACACCCCGACGTACTCATAACGGTGAGTTAATATACTTACTGACTTATATACATACATCATTCATACAATGGTCGGACACTACAGAACCTAATGTAGTAAAAGTGTGGCTTAATTGCTCCTAGTGGGACATTTCCAAGATTATATAGATCTCTTTAAGTTGTTTATGTCCAACCGACGAACATTTAAATTCAGTGAAAAAAAGCATAATATTCTAGATTTTAATTTAAAACTATCGGAAAAAAATTAGGAAGTTATGTAGACGATAATAATGAGGAATTTGTCTTGACGGCAAGAAATAACTTACAGACACAATTTTAACAATGATATTATTTTTAATGAAAGTATTATTATTTTTATTGTTATTATAATCCCCGGGTAATGTATTGGAGTGTGAAATGTGAATAAGGAGAAAATATTTTTTTAATTTCTTATATATATTATAATATTAGTAAGACTGATGCCTACACATTTTCTTTATAAAGTATCGGCATGGGTTATCATGGGGTGTTGGAACACATGTCGAGTATCATATATATATCTTATATGTTTAAATGAGCCATTCTTGTATATACATAAGTTCCTCTCCCTGCCAGGAGTCCACGTACGGTACTCACATCCACGAGAAGAGAGAGGAGCGAGAGAGCCGCTTCACGTCGTTGGTGAGTGACGTGGTGGGGCGAGGAGGACGGTGCCTCATACCGGTGTTCGCGCTGGGGAGAGCGCAGGAACTGCTGCTCATACTGGGTACACACACACACACACATACAAGACTAGACACGATCATTATATAAGAAATATAATATTTCTTTCAATTTTTCATACATACCTTTACTGAGTATAAATATCTGTCCTGTTTTAATAATGTAAGTTTGAATGAAAATATTTGGTATCAGTTCTACAGGTTTGATATCCTCAAAAAACATTAGAGCAAAATATATTTCGTCCTTTCAACCCAAACTTACAGTTACTTTAGGCGTAACAAAAGTACCATCAAATGTATGTTAAAAAGTCCTCTTGTATAGAATACTAAAATATAATGGTCTCTTTTAACATTTTATAGCAGCTTGCGTTGTCATTTCTCTTTAGTAGCTACTAGTTATACTAACTCCAACAAATAGTACTCAAAGGAATGTAACTATAGTATGAAGTGTGTCATATTATCCCATAATCAGTATAATCCTTGTTCAGTATCAAACTCCATACAACTCCCTACAACTCCCTACGTTCTTCCCCCAGACGAGTACTGGTCTCTCCACCCGGAGCTACAAGACATCCCTATCTACTACGCGTCGTCTCTGGCCAAGAAGTGTATGGCTGTGTATCAGACGTACGTGAACGCTATGAACGACCGAATACGGAGACAAATAGCAGTCAACAACCCCTTCGTCTTCAGGCACATATCTAACTTAAAGGTAAGTATAGTGCATTTGATTTAGTTGAGCTTTTCATTTGTGTGAGTGCACACGGATAGTGTAGGTGTGATGTCAAATTTTTGAATGAAACATTCTTTTCTCTCCGCCCCGCACCTTAGTCACTTCACCTTTTGTACTGGCAGCAAAATCAAATGTTGAAAACGCAATGTCAAGTGAATAAGAATTTCTATAGCTTTTTCAAAATTATTATTAATCAATCATTTTTTTTCCATAATATTCATAATATTTCCATCTGGTTTTTACAAGTTTTGCTTATTTTATAGCACTTATGTATCTATTTAAAATATTTAAAAAAATTCAATTTTAAAAGTTTCTTGTCTAACTGTACTTTTACTTTCACGCACACAAATGCAAAGCTCAGCTTAAGTCTAACGGACTATACAGGTATAGCGAATCATAAACATGTTATGTACTAATATATTTATTAACCTCGTATAACATTCTGTTCGCCGATAGAGAACACGTCTATTTCAGGCTTGACTTTATCGTAGAGGTGCGGGAAGGCTCCTTCCGCCATATACTTGGTCCGCACCGCCTCGTACAGGCTCAGGTCGAACATCTGTTCAAACTCTTCCCTGTTCATGAATATATCCGCGTACAGGAACGAGTATCCTCCAACATCGCGCGTGAACCGCTCCATCTCCCTCATGGCGGCCACCGCGTCGTAAGGTTTCTTATCCTTCACCTTTCCGGGCACGCCGTACACTCCCAGGTCGTTGTACATGGCGTAGTTGGTCCCGGGAACTAGATATTTAGCGTGCGGCCTCCGTAGCTGCCCGGATATTGGTCCGTGGTCTATTATTTTACAAGGATACACCAGCAGAGGGAACTTCTCGAACAGCTGGCTGGCGAGCTCGATTTGCTTTTCCAGCTCTTGAATGGGAAGAACGATGTCCTGGAACACTTGTCTCGTGAACGTGTAAGCTCTCACACCTGGGGTCGTTGTGAACTTAAGGAAGGCCGGTTTAGGCGGTAGGAGCCACCCGAATAAGAGTCTGAATAGCGGATTGTTGCCGAACGAAATCATATCTTCCACGACCCAAAAGATAGGTCTATTATGACGCAGCAGGTAGTCTCTCAGAGGGATCAATTCCTCTCCTTCTCCTTTTTTAAGGAAGGACTCGACGTGTTTGTAAAACCACGGCTTGTACCATCTCGAGCAGTGATTAACCGTTAGTCTCCGGTCATAGTCGGAATACTCCCCCGTCATGACGACCGCCTCGTCCTTGCTGAATATCGTCCCCTCTATATAGTCCGGGTGGGTCGCGGGTTCAGCTTCATAAGTTCCTGATAACTTTCTTATCAGGTCGCAGTATTGTTTCTGTCCTCGTACCGGCGTGTACTTGATCCTGATGTAGGGCTTCACCCTCACGATCTTCAGCGTCAGGGCCACCAGGAAGCCGAGACTTCCATGCGACCAGGGCAGGGCTCTGTACAGGTCGGAATATTCGTTGGTGGCCGTAGCGGTGACCAGCGAACCGTCCCCTAGCACCACTTCGTAGCTGGTGATTGTCTCGTGATACAGACCGGCCTTATGAGAGTGTGTAGACATGCCCGTCCCCATGGCAAGACCTGACAAATATTAACTCTTATATATGATTTCCTCATTACAGGCAGTCTAAGTTAAACGTAATTATAGGAGGAAATGTACTAAAAAATGGGAAAACTCCGTTTCCATGTTATAAAAATAATATTTTTTCTTTAGGATTATTATTAATCAGATGTTGTGTGTTCAGTTTTGTCAGTCGGTCACCCATTACACATACGTTATAAACATATCATAATCTGTTCTTATATACAGTATATGTACGTATGCTCACCTCCCAAGGTCGCGTCATCCAGTTCAATAGTGACGGCCAGTGAATATCCTCTAGGTATGAGGTATCTGGTGATGTCTCCGATAGTGACCATGGGCTCCACCCTTACGGTGGCCGCCTCCTCATTGAGTTCCAGGATATCATACAGAGGGATGGGCACTTGATGGTGTAAGTGCTTTTGGAAGAAGGTTATCGACAGGGACAGCCAGTTGGGCCTTGACGTGCAAAGAAGGCGTTTTTTCTTTGATGGTAGCTTGTTCCATTCTAACACCTGGAATTAAAGAGAAGCTTGAGATCAATTCGGATTTTTTCATATTAAAGGGGGGAAACGGGGCAGACGGGCTACCCGGTTGAGGTAGTACCGTCGCCTTTAAACATAGATTTGAGACTGTGTTGCCACCCTTGATTGGGGAATACGGAGAAAATGTGGGAAAGGGCGGGATAAGGGAAAGGGCAATCGACTCTTTCTCATCGGACGAAACGCAGCCATTAAAGACTACTTTACGCAAATCTGTGTGAGGGTGGTACTTCCTCGGATGACCTATAATAGCAAATGTTCGAACTATACTTACTTTACAATAGCTAAGCTCTATCTAAGAGAAGATACAAGTTTTCAATAAGAATAAATCAGGTTCTTGGAGGTCATACCTGTGCTTGTATACATCGGACGGCTCCGTCATGTCTGTGAGGGTCGCTGGTGAGTCTGCGGGCGAAGGCTCTGATCCTTAATAATAAGGAGAACAGGAAGCTGGCCGGGAGACAGAACACACACACCACCAACGACCTGTGGTCCTCCAGCCATGTGATGATGTGGCTCTTTATACTGCTCGGGAACATGACGTCTGGAAAAAAAGTTCATCTCGATACTTGACTTGATTCTTTTAAAAATTTTACTGACTTTATATATAGCAGCTTCGTGTAACACTGACTAAATTAATTATGAATACTTTAAAAACAAGAGAACACTTTCTTCTTTCTAAATTTATTTTATAATCATAAATAATAAACTACAATCACGATCGCTACTCTTCAATGCCACATATTTAAAATTCTTTACATACCCGAGTAAAACTAAATTAATTTAAATCACACTCAACCATTCCATCGACTCGACACAGTAATTATTATTATGAATATGATAACAGAAATTAACTTTTGATAAAAAAAAATAGATAACCTAAGAAGTTGTCGCTTAGTTTTCAAATACAATACTCTTCATATAAGATATTTACAACGAATTAAATTATGAAACTATCACCAATAATATCAATGATTTTATTATTTATTTACTATGGTTGTAACGAAACCTTTTATTTCAAACGGCCTGTCAAGTTCCAAGTACACCGGTCGAGTCGAGGGTTGTACTGTGATCCGTCTTCACTGATATATAACGATAAGATTAAAAACTTACACGATATATTAAAATAGTTGAATTAATTAACAATAAATTTATACATATTAATATTTTATAATAATTATCGAGACATGGAAATCATTACTTCACTTTATCAATACATATAGTCTGTCATTTTTTTAAATATTATTTTAACACTCTATAGAGACACTTTAACTTTTCGTGCAATAAATATATTTTTAATTTACAAATAATATATACGTATAAATTATAATAAATATCGATAAATAAGGTGATAAATATCGATATCAACTTTGTTTCTCCAGACGTGTGTGACAACACTATCAGCAGCTGTTGAATATTGGGACGACCTTGACTATGTTTAATAGATTGAAGACTCGTTTATCTTCACAGAGATTATATTGAAACTGATTTGTATGATATAATGTTAACGAGCCATTGAACTTGGCAACAGATATCAATAATAAATCATTAGAAATGACTAAATGTAAATCATTTTTCAAACAAGTTTTAACAGATTCAACTGAAATATATTGTATATAAACATTGACCACTTGTTTGTTTTTTTTTACGTCGAAGTTAGACTTGATTAAAATAATGAATACTGTTTTTTGTTTTTGGGCGAATTTATAACTTTAAATACCAAATCTAATCACATTTCGTCTTATGATGGATCATTGTAATAATATTCTCTAAATGTTTTTTATAAATTATTATTTTAATTTTTGCATACCACTTTTTGATAATGACTAGCTTTGTCAAAATATAGCACTGTTTGAAATAAATCAATACAACGATATTTTATAAAGTACTCCAAAACTTTATTAAGACCCACAAAATTTTCGTAAGTGCCACAATGTATATCAAGTTCGACACCTTTCTATTACGTGCATAGTATTTCGTCAAGTTTCATTATATTTAACAATATTTCCAGGGCATAGATCACTTCGAGGACATAGGTCCGTGTGTGATCATGGCCTCCCCGGGGATGATGCAGTCCGGCCTCTCCCGGGAACTGTTCGAGTCCTGGTGCACGGACCCCAAGAATGGCGTCATCATAGCAGGTTAGCATATAATATGTACTTTCTGAGAGTATTTAGACATACGGTGAAGGAAAACATCGTGAGGAAACCTGGACTTATAGTTTCACAATTATAAGAATGAAATCACCAACCCGTCTTGAGCAAGCGTGGTGATTAATGCTCAAACTTTCTCCATGAGAGAAGAGGCCTTTGCTCAGCAGTGGGCGTCTGATAGGCTAATGATGATGATGATGATGATGATGATGATGTATTGACATGACAAGACCTACAATCTGGTGGAAGTTCCATCTCCACCTAAAATATTATTTTGATTCAATTAATTTAATACTGAAATCTAAGATTTTCGAAAGTTTTATTGATTTAAATGAAACTATTATTTTTCGGATTATATTACTTTATTTTTGTCAAAAAACTTCTCGTCTCCCCGTGATCTCGGTTGCTAAAGAGTAGCCGAAACGTCGGGAGTATGTAGTTTTTTGACAAAAATAAAGTCGCGTAGTATAATCCAAAAAATAATAGAATCATTTAAATAATTTAATACTATTAGTAAAGTATTATAGATCTTTTCAGTTTGTTCAGGTCGTGAGGTTTAATATTAAATGTACTTTTCCAGGTTACTGCGTGGAAGGCACCTTGGCTAAAACTATTCTGTCGGAGCCGGAAGAGATCACGACCATGTCCGGACAGAAACTCCCGCTGAAGATGTCCGTAGACTACATATCGTTCTCAGCTCACACGGACTACCAGCAGACATCAGAGTTCATTAACATTCTGAAGCCTCCTCATGTGGTACCTATTACTAATGTTTCTCTCATCACATGACATCCATTTCTTCTCAAAGAATAATCAATTCTATTAATCCACTCGCTATACAACCTAGATTACTTTGTGAGTACTTGTTATTTAAACTCACTCTATGAATATTGTTAAATTTCAAAGAATTATTTTCTTGGTGTCTCACGATCTGCCAAGAACTGGCAAGGAAGGTCCAAAAGACTACAACTCGGATCAATGATTGAATGAGTTGTAATATTGTAATAATAGCGGTGCTTTTGTTAGGGAAGACGATACTTCAGCAGAATCTGCCCTAACAATTCTTGGCCACGTGTAATATCAGTTATGTTTTCTAGGTATTAGTTCACGGAGAACAGAACGAGATGTCTCGCCTGAAGGCGGCCCTGCAGCGGGAACACCGCGGCCGGCTCGCGATACACACGCCCAGGAACACGCAGCAACTGGCACTCACATTCAGGGGGGATAAGACCGCTAAGGTGAGTGGACACTGACGCAGGAATCAGTATTAGGAAAACGATCAGAACTTGTGACCTTTAAGTGACTGTCGCTAATTGCCAACCCATATGTATAGCTTTTCTGAGAGTATTTAGACACCACTGACATACGGTGAAGGAAAACATCGCGAGGAAACCTGGACTTATAGTTTCACAATTATAAGTTTCAAATCACCAACCCGTCTTGAGCAAGCGTGGTGATTAATGCTCAAACCTTCTACATGTGAGAAGAGTCCTTTGCTCAGTAGTGAGCTCTGATAGTCTGATAACATGTATAGCCAATCAATATATAATTAAACTCAATCTTAAACTCAATCAAGTTCTGATCACGGCAGCCAGTCCAAATAAAAAGGTAGCCTGCTAATTTCAAACCCTTGGTTATTTTACAAACATAAAATCTATAAGTTTCTTGATAATGTTTAACGATTCTCTATAATAATATTATTTGTGATGTAGGTGATGGGGTCGCTGGCTATGGAGCCGCCTGTGCCGGGCGCGCAGCTACAGGGAGTTCTGGTCAAGAGGAACTTCAACTATCACATACTGGCGCCCTCAGACCTGAATAGTGAGTCACTTGGAACAATTAGACTGTACTTTTGGTGAACTCGATATGTATTGCTTTAAAATATTTGAAATAACTTTATTAAGTAACACAGTGTTTTAATACTAAGTATAGTCCGTAAGACTTAAGCGGAGCTTTGCATTTGTGTAAGTGAAAGTAAAAGTAGAGTTAGACAAAAAACTTTTAGAATTCAATTTTATTGTATTTAAATAGATACATAACATAAGTGCGGGAGTTTTTCTAGATTAAAAATTAAATAAGCGAAACATGTAAAAGGCTAAATGGAAATATTACGGAAAAGAATATTAAGTAATAAAAATTAAAAAAGAACATTACTAATTTTTCTTTACTTGACATTGCGTTTTCAATATTTGAAGTTGCTACCAGTATAAAGGGTGAAGTGCAGAAGGTACGGGGCGGAGTAAAATTAGAATAAACCGGTTAAAAACTAGAAAAGAATGTTGTATTTAAAAATTTTATACACCTAAACTATCCGTGTGCACTCACACAAATGCAAAGCTTAGCTTAAATCAAACGCACTATACTACTTTTCAAAGACAGCTACATTTCAATGTACGTACCAACCGATGCAAGGACTGTCAAGTACTATCCAATCATGGGACATTCATATTTGTTTTTCTATCACATAATATTAAATCGCTACGTGAACGCTTGCATCTTTTTCCCTTAAATTGATGACAGATACTGCTTCTGTACATGACCTTCTCTTGAATAATCTTTTTAAATAGTTAAAGTTCTCTATAGACATAGATCACATTTATACTATATACAGCTACAAGTCGTATTGTTCAATATATATGTATGTATGTATGTGTGTGTGTAAGTCGTATTGTTCATTATATATCTATATGTGTGTGTGTATGTTTCACCCCCCCAGAGTACACGGACCTCTCCCAGTCGTCGGTGTCCCAGCGCGTGTCCGTGTGGTGCGGGGCTCCGGCGGGGCTGGTCCGTCACGCCGTCATGCGTCTGGCGGGGCCCGTGGTGTTCCTGAGCGACACCCGCTGGAGGCTGTACGGCTGTATCGAACTCACGCTCGACCTGCCGCTCGTCACGCTAGAGGTACTACACACGGACACACACACACACACAGTGAAGAGATACTCATCCGTTAACACACGTGGATACAATCGTGTGTGGTTTATGAATAAGTGTCGGAAACTACCCGCATGGTGTTTGACAAAGCTGTTTTGTGATAACGGACCTGTTCCAGGAGATATATAAATTGAGGAAAGAGGATGAGTCGCACTTTAAGGAACTCATATATGTAGTAGAATAAATGTTTCTCTTTATAAAGCAAAGAGCTCGAATAATATTTATAATTAAGAAACATTACAAATATGAATTAGAAATCTAACTTTAGAGACTTTGTTGTTACTAAGAATCACCGATAGTATACTCCAGCCAAATTCGATGTGGAATGTTTAATAACAAAGCGTTGCTTAGCAACCAAAGTCAGGCAGATGCTCAAAACATTTTTAGAATTATGTACAACAATTATTTTTATTGTTAATAAAAATTAAAATTGATGATTAATAATAAAATATTTAAGACAAAGGACTAAGCGCATTCTTGGTTATAATTATAATATTTATCATCTGGAATAATGTAGATCTCAAAAATAATACCTCCAATTTTAAAATGATATCAGAAATTACCTCGTAGTTATATCGCTTTATTAACTTTATCTGTGGCCTCCCAATGGACAGGACTCATTTAGATTAAAATCCTTCCTAAATTTGCCAATTGCTTAATAAAAACACCACTAATGTTACAAACCTGCGATTTCTTTACGTCAGTATTAAAAAATAGGGTTCTTAGTTTTGTAGTAATATTATAGTGGTTATTAAAGCTTTTTAATCTTTTATTTTAAGCTAATTTTCATATAAATTATGTATTGACCGGCTAAATAAAAATTTTTGTTTCCCCTTTTGTATAATTGAAGTACAAAAAAAATATGTTGTGTTAGATTAATAGTAAATACTGTCCTTTTCCATGGCGTGATAACTTTTAATTGAAAAAACACTTAGCTAAAAATGTAATTAAATTAAATACAATCAGACAACACCATACACCAATGATACAAGGTCTAAAAGCGATCAGGATCAAAAGAATCACGACTAATAGTTACTAAGACATGCGAATAAGTATTTCGCTAATTAAACACAAGCGTGTGTTTCTTGTTTAACCCCCCCCCCCTCTCCCCTTCCCAGTGGCAGGCGGCGCCGGTGTCGGACATGTTCGCGGACGCGGTGGTGGCGGCTCTGCTGGCGGCCCCGGCCTCCGCCCCCGGGCCCGCGCCTAACGCTCCGCTCGCACACAAACTGGACAAGATGCACTTCAAGGTGGGTTCACTGACCTCACAACCCAGCACCATCACTTGCCGGTCAATATTCAATAACTTGAAATTAAAATTGAATCACGCTGTTCAAGTGGTCACTTAGCAATGAAATATATTTTAAATAAAAATAATTGCTTACAAGTGTGGCCTAGAGTTTGCAAAATACATATTATGGACCAGATATTTTTACAAAAATTCCCCTTCATCCCTCTTTTTATTCACTCTTGACTGGAAAATATTAAAACAGGTGAACATATTTGAGGATAAGATCCCTGTCACGTTCTATTAATTAATTAATTTATTTATTGTTATTTGTAAAATCACTTAACAATTCAATTTATAGTGAACGTTGACGTCCACACTAGGCTAAGCCTGTATCGTGGACATCGATTCATTTCTAGCAGACAAATTTCAGTAAAATTTGAACTACTCTTATAATTATAGAAAATTATAATCACATAATTAATTATATAAGGCAAAAAAGAAAAACTGATCAATCATTGGAAAGTGTGATTTGTAAGTAAAGTGTAGGAGTTCTGAGAGAGTTTTAAATAAAGCAGGCTTATTATATAATTTAGTTTTTTTAATTTCACTATTTTTATAAAGTATTCGGAATCTTCGTAAGACCAACTTATCAATAAATTTGTCTTTTTCGATACTATAATACATCTCATGTCAACACTACATCTTCCCCACACTATCCCCGTGTGTTGTGTGATGTCGTCACGTGTGGCGCGTGTTGTCCCCAGGAGTGTGTGATCGAGATGTTGTCGGAGATGTTCGGCGAGGCGGCCGTGGCCAAGATGTTCCGCGGAGAGCGGCTCACGGTCACACTCAACGAGCGGCAGGCGCATCTAGACCTCGCCACCATGGTGAGACAACAATATATATCTCTCTCTCTCTTATAACTAGGGCCCAGATTAATATGTAAATACATATTTTTAATCTACGCGATTTTCGGTCTAGAATGTGTTTTTTAGATGGTTTGTCATATTTAGACTGTGAAAAAGAAACTTTTATTTTCCATATTTCAAAGTTAAGTTCATATTTTACAATAAAATGTCACAATCATCCATATATTCACAAAAATACATAAAATTTACGTTCCCGCCACTAATGTTTTGGATAAAAATAAAGGATTTAATACGCTAAAAAAATTAACAATATTGTGTGTGAAAGTTTCGAGGGCTGTAGACATGGCTTACACAATTACTGAATTAAGCATGATTAAGTATGCACCCATCACGTCATGTGACGTGGAGAGATCATTCAGCAAATATGAGGTTATATTTCAACCAAATGGTCAGTTTTCATTTTGATAATTTAAAGAAACACGTCTTTGTGTATTGCAACCAATTTGATAAGGCTAGTGTAATGGAAGTTAAATAAAACTGTTATTTTTTGTTTTTCATCGTGTTTTAAATGTTTCTTAACGATGTACGTCACGAGTAACCCTTTCTTATAGTAAAACAATGTTTAATTATGAAAGTATTTAATTTTATACTCCATATTTTTTCCATACTTTTGATTTTTTCGTCCATATTTTATGTACATATTTTAGATTTTTTAACACATATTTATCCAGGCCCTACTTATAACTATCAGCTCCTCATATATTTTATTAACATCCAGGAGGTGAAGTGTCCCGAGGACGAGTCTCTGGAGCGCACGATCCAGTCAGCCATCAGTAAGCTGCACGCGGCCCTCTCACCCGTCCGGCCGCCCGCACCCTCCACACCCACAGCACCCACAGCAGCCGTCGCACCCTGACGCACCCTCGACACACAACACTTTATTGATAAATAAAACAATGTGATAGTACTGTCTATGTTTATTGAGCATCCTCCCTTCCCCTCCTAGGTAGCCTTAGAGTATCTCTTCCAGTATTTCTTGACGTCGTCGTGCGCGGCCCGGGCCACCACCATAGTCCTCGTCCTGTCCGCGGCCCACACCAGCGCGCCGGACGACCGGCCGTAGTCCCTCAGCACGTTGAACTCAGCTTGTGACAGGAACTGGTTGTAGACCACACCCTCGGTGTACGTGAAGCGGTTCCTCTCAGACTCCCACAGACGGATCTGGTCGAGCACGGTCGGTGGCAGAGATGAAGACGATCTGATGCCGCCCTGGTCCGACTTTAACATCTGGAACACGGAGTGACGTCATGATATAACACGAATACTATACATCATTTATATTTGGGCTTTGATAAAAAAAGAATTATTCTTCTTTTATATAAAAAAAATATATGTGTTCTTAGACTGGTCCGTAATACATCAATTCATTGATTGAACACTATATTATAACGATAACGATAGCCTAGGATGACTTTGCAATTATAGATACATATAATGAGACTCCATAAAAATGAGGGATTAAATTCATGAGACACACACACCTGAGAACACCGTTAACATAGCTTAATAAAAAAAATTTATATTCCAAAATTATTATTTATAATTTTACTTTCACCTTTATTTTTTATTTTTTTTGGGAAACAAACAGTATTAAAACAATCAATCGAAACAATACATACAAAAATACACAAACCAACCAAGCTTCCACCGATTACGATTTCATTTGGAGCAAAATAATAATATGATCAATGAGAGTTGAGACAATTATTAAAAAAATAATAAATCCTAAGATAAATATAAATTAATGAAACAATAATAATATTAAATTAATTACAATTTACTACTACATTACTAATTTCTTTCCTTATTTTATTTTTTGTACACATTGTAAAATCTATATTGGAAAAACATTTATTATATTTATCGCAGGCACGGAAAATAAAAGTATTTTGAGCATATTTGGTATTTGTGATAGGTAAATGAAAAAGGGACTGATGACGCGTATTAATTTTAGGACATCTAAAGCATATATTTTGTAACAGATTGGGTGAATCTACAAAATTTTGAAGTATCTTAAATAAAAACAATTGATCTCTCTTCATGCGACGGTATTCTAAAGACGGAGTGTGTGAAATATCCTGATTATGTGGCAAAAACTTATAACTAGAATGTTTAATAAATTTGCGTTGAATTTTTTCTAATTGCATAATATGGCATTTATAAAAGGGATTCCAAGCAGTTGAACAATATTCGAGGATCGATGTAACAAACGAATTATATAAAAGTATTAAAGTACCTACATTATTTACGTTTTTAAAATCCCTACCTACTCTGAAGATAAATCCAAGCATTCGGAAAGCTTTAGCTGTAACGTAATTAATGTGGGCCTTAAAAGTTAGTTTGCTATCAATGTAAATACCCAAGTCTCGCACCTCGGTAACTCGTTATTTTTATTTTATACTTGCTATTTTTATCATTGTCTCATAATATACTAAAACGTGTTTATATATCGAAGATTCTCTGGAATATGAACCAACAAAGACGTGAAATCTCCACTGTAGATTATAGCGGAGTAGTATGATAATCAACAATCATCTAATTAGTTCGTCCGCACCTGTGGGTGTGAGTGCTGCTCCAGGTAGGTGATGATCTGCTGCGCGGAGATGCCGCCGCGGAGAGCCGCGCGCACGGACTCGCGGGTCAACACGCCCACCACCACGTTAGGGAACCTGCGGGTGTAAAGTAGCCTATGGGTTATTCCTGGACGTCAGCTTAATATATACAAAATCGATTCAGCCGTTTGAGCGTGAAGAAGTAACAAGCATACACTCACAAACTTTCGCAATTATAATATTAGTAGGATACTCTTATTAAACCAGATATTAGCCATACTTCATACCTGTACACTAGTTCCGTGAAGAGCCCCAGCAGCGCCACCTGTAGCGCGCTAGTAGTGTACGCGTACACGCGGTAGTTGGTCTCCGCGATGATGTACCCGGTGCTGGCGGCCGTCTGTAGAGGAGCCACGCCGTCCTTCACGCACGTGATGTTCAGCGCCAGGCGCGTCGGGTAGAAACGACCCGCTTTACGCTGACAACCAATAATAATATTAATTATTGTTTTTGTAGCACTAGAATCCGTCTGCTTGGACAACAGATATTTGCTGAGAAAATTATTATATTGGAAGACAGTTCTTGGTGTGCACCCGAGGAAACTGGTAGGGTTTCCGAATAATATATCTGACGTTAAAGATAAATTATAAGAATGTTTTATAAAGGTTCAGTATACAGGGTGACTGGTGAATTACCAATGGTGAATTATCAATATTTAAGGAGAATACTCGGTACATGATTCTCATTCGAATTATGTAAAAAAAATAGGCACTTAATTTTTGACAAAATTTCCGTAATAATAAGTGTTGACACGTTCCAAATGTTCAAGTGTGGACGCGTGCGGCGACGTGCTGATACAACACTACGTCACGACACGCGTATGTGTGAGTGTCAGTGCATACCTAATCTGTAGGGTGTTCACACGATGCGTAATTAATTACACAACTTTTGGTTAACTTTACTTAGAAGTTTATTAATATTTATGTTATATTAATTTTTATTTTGTCATATATGATCGTCAAATATCACGTCCTCAAATATCGATAGTAATTCACCAGTCACCCTGTATATGGATATGGTAAATGCGCAACAGACCCTATTGCAAAATGTCGCATTTATTGTAAAGGTTGGTATAGTATGTTAGTAGACCAGTGCCGATAGCTTTTAAAACATAATTAAATTAAAGTAGAATCAAACCAGTTAGAAAAGGAGGGGAATATTATAAAAATTAAAGGAAAAATAATTTACGGGCGATCTGAGGTCGGGAAGGGTACGGAGATGGGTATTTAAGGGTAAAAAATGGATTTTCTCGATTTCCGGCAAAACTAAAAGTCCTACAGAAAAAAATTATACGGCAAAGTTGTAAGTAATAACAAGATCTAAAACTTTTGTCCTAACATTTTTTTCACATAACCTCAAATTTTATGTGATAAATTCGAAAAACCAAGTTTTTGGTTTTTTATTTTTATCTCTTCCAAAAAACAATTTTTTGTCACGAAATTTTGGTGAAAACTTTCCTTTTCATGTTCCAAATGCACTGTAATTTATATGATAAGAAATATTTATTTTTTCAGCTTATTTTCAATAAATACTGAAAAATCTGCCTCATTTTCAATCAAAAAATTACCCGTCAAAATATCAGCTTTTTTAAAAACTTGGTGTGTTTTCTGTTCGTTGAAAACTCTATTTTTCCATGGTGGTTTTTTACTTGCAGTACAAATTTTGGATAAAATAATCATGTCCCTTTTAATGAAATGACACTCGATATCGGTTGGAAAATGCTCTTTCAATTTATTTTTAATAGTTTTAGCAGCTTAATGTCAATTTTCTCTAAATTACCTAAGAGAGGGACTATCTGGAGAACGTTCAGAGTACACAACTACAAAAATAGAAATATTGTAAAAATTAATAATAACTAACGTATCTCTTAGTATTATTATATTAAAGACTAATATGCCAAGAACATACAAATACAAATGATACAGTTGCAAGTTCCCTTTCATTGGATTTGCACCTTTTTGAATTAATTCGAGTCCACACGACCGACATCTGGGCTCAATCAGACTTTTGTGCTGATGTTTTTTTAGTAGAACCTTAAAGTGCACCAGCTTTACTAGAGCCGTTCAGGTGATAGGTTTAATAATTGCATTTGGAACATCAAAAGGAAAGTTTTCATCAAATTTCGTGACAAAAAATTGTTTTTTGGAAGAGATAAAAATAAAAAACCAAAAACTTGGTTTATTGAATTTTTAACATAAAATTTGAGGTTATGTGAAAAATATGTTACTACAACAGTTTTAGATCTTTTTGTTACCTACAACTTTGCCATATTTTTTTTTCTGTAAGACTTAGTTTTACCAGCAATCGAGAAAACCCATTTTTTACCCTTAAATACCCACCCCCATACCCTTCCCGACCTCAGATCGCCCGTAAATTATTTTTCCTTTAATTTTTATAGTATTCCCCTCCTTTTCTAACGGGTTTCATTCTACTATAATTTATTTTCATTTTTCATTGTTTTTAAAGGCATATGCACTGGCCTATAGACGTAAGCTGAGCTTTGCATTTGTATAAGTGAAAGTAAAAGTGGAGTTAGATAAAAAAAACATTATATTTTAAATTAATACATAACATAAGCGCGAAACTAATCTAGATTAAAAATAAAATAAGCAAAACTTGTAAAAGGCTAAATGGAAATATTATGAAAAAAAAAAATTTTTTCCAATAAAAATTATGAACAAATTTTTCTTCACTTGACATTACGTTTTCAACCTTTGACGTTGCTACCAGTACAAAGCGTGAAGTTAGGAAGGTGCGGGGCTGAGTAAAAGCAGAATAAACCGCTTCAAAACTAGAAAATAACGTTGCATAACGCACTATACATAGCGGAGTTGATCAGTCATATCATATGAGTTCTATTGAACAGTAAGTATGTAATGCTAAGGTTCATAATTCCTACCTTTCTCTGATACACGAGTCCAAACTCTCTCAAGTGCTGAAGGAACACCAGCATGTTGTTACTCATACCCTCCGTACTGTAATCCTGAAATAATAGTATACACATAAATAACTCTATTCCTACTCACTACTCTCCTTCACTATTCTGGGTTGGCTGGCAGAAAATGCTGTAATAGCGTTAAGTCCGCCCTTTATTCATTTTTTTTTGTGCAATAAAGAATAATAATAAAAAAAATCTTTATATACATATTATAAACTAGTTTTTGCTCACGACTTCGTCCGCGTTAATTTCGGAATCTATACTAATATTATAAAGCTGAAGAGTTTGTTTGTTTGTTTGTTGGTTTGTTTGTTTGAAAGCGCTAATCTCCGAAACTACTAGTTCGAATTGAATAATTCTTTTTGTGTTGGATAGTCCAATTATCGAGGAAGGCTGTGGGCATATATAACATCACACTACAACCAATAGGAGCAAAGATATAGTAGTAAATGTGTAAAAAACGGGAGAAATTATTTCATCTTTGAAGCCTTCCGTTGCGTGCGCCGTGAAAACGATTCAAGATACACAAAAAATATGTATTAAAGAATAATAGGTCTTTTAATGATCTAAAAAACAGTCCGCGACAGTATATGTCTATCTTTTAAGATTGACTCACAAAAACCGTTTTTATGGTACCTTATTTGGTCGAAATAATTTGTTTAAGTTGTATCAACTTAATAATATTAATCTTTATTCAAATAAACAAATAAATATGTTGTTGGTTAAGAGGACTTCATTGTTAATAAAAAAAAAACATAAGTTTCATCCTGAAAACTCTACGGGAACTCGACCATTCCGAAAACCCCGCAAGAACGGGAATTATGTGGGAAGAACCAAAAATCTGCCGGAAATCACTATTCCACGCGGACGGAGTCGCGGCAAAAGCTAGTTAATAATATAAGTATAGGTTATCGGGCAAACTCTATTTCGCACTACAGGCCGTAAAGAATCTGGTTATTGGAATTTATAAAAGTTTTTCTATTTTAATCAAACAGAATTAAATATCCTATGTCCATCTCCTTGTTCTAAGCTATCTCCACCAATTTTAAATTATATCCTATAGCCGTTCATGAGTTAAAATGTGACTAACTTTCTTTTGCCTTAGATCTATTTTCAACTTGAAGGTCACGGACAGCTGTAAAACGAATTTTTAGGAAATATAAAATTTTATTATTTCCTTGTTTATATATATTTGAAATTGCAGTCTTTGTGAAAACAAATAAGTACCTTTTTCCTTCATTAAGAGAAACGAGAAATCGCGTTATAAATCTAAGGTCTCAATATCATAATCTTTTATGTACAAGCAATTACAAAACTGCTTTATTGAGAAGGAACATATTGACCATGGCCCCTATTATATACAACAAAATACCGAATGAAATAAAAGATTTAACTTATGTAAAATTTAAAAAACTTTTGTTTTCCTTACTAGTCAACAAATGTTATTACTCTGTAAATGATTATCTAATGGACAAGACATAATATTGTAAGAAATTGATGAATAAAAAATGTATAAAATGCATAACTTAATCATGTATCTATCTATCATTGTTAATTTTCATCTGTAAAACATTTAATATGAATTTATTATTATAATTGCATTGTTAATTTAATTTCTAATTTTAATTTAATAGTTAATTTTAACTTATAATTTAAGCCTAATATTTGCATGCCTTAAGGTAGAATGTACTGGAACTTATACTAAAATCTATTTATACACCTATATTCTGTACCTACATTCAGAGCAAATAAATATTATTATTATTTTATATATATAAAGAGTTTCTATATGACTATAGTATAAAAAGTGCTCATAGTCCGGTCAAATTAGACCAAATAATAAGTAAGGTTACATAAATTCCCACCAAGCTGAAAATCGGTAAGATAGTTTGAAATATCATTAAAAACAAAATTTGAAAGTTCCCCATCTTTCCCCTGTAAGGAAAAAAAATTTATTCAAGATCAAAGGTAAACAAAACGAGTTTTTAGCGATTTTCAGCAAAAACGGTAAGTTTTATCATAAAAATATCTCAGACAAAATTCGTAGATCATAAAATTATCTACAAAGAATTACACAGCACAACAAAATCAAACTTTTTTTTTGGTGCATGGAGTTTTTCTACTGTTGTTTACTAATGTGTTTACTAATTTTAAATCTGACCTCAGATTTTTTGTAGCAGCTCTAGTTAGTCAGATACAGGTCCGTCTTGAATTTACATAAGTTGGCAATAGTTTCTACCAATAGCGGTGTAACTTAACTAGTCCCTTTATAAATTTCATTATGTCTTCCTCAAGAAGGACGTGTTTAAATAATCCTGAGTGTTTTTGTGCTATTTGCGGATAATATATGTTCCAAAAATATCGTTTAAGTGTGTTAGACTTTGTAAAAAAGGCATACTTTGACTACTTTGGGTTTCCGTTGCCATCAAACGCTAAACCTTTGATACCAATTTTGTTATGTAAAAGTTGTATTGAATCTTTGCATTTATTGGCAAACAAAAAAAGACCAAATTTTAAGTACAAATCTCCCATGATATGGCGTGAACCACCCAACCATCATATCGACTGTTATTTTTGTGTAACGAAAATCATAGGAATAAACCATAAAAATTGCTCTAAGTGGATATATTCAAACTAAAAATCTGTCGTAAGAACAGTCTTGAGTATTAGTGACACATCAACACCACATCAGCCTTGTAGATATTCGGAAATCCAGACCAGTGCAGCGGACAAACCGAAACGACGACAGTGGTAGAGACAATAGTCCCCTATTACTAAATAAAGAGGATCTAAGTGACTTGATCAGGGATCTTGGCCTGTCTAAAAGTTGATAGATGATAAAAATTTCATCAACCATATGACAGCTATTGAGAAATGTGCATGAGAAGAGTTTGTTTGAGTAGTGAGAAATTTTTTGAGAATACTAAGTCTGACGGCTACATTCAGCACGTTGAATAGTTGCTGATACACTTCCAGCGGCTTGGGTGCAACATGACTATTAAGCTTCACTATCTTCACAACCATCTAGACTATTTTCCTGAAAATCTAAGTGACCTAAGCGAGGAACAAGGAGAGCGCGTTCAACAGGATATTCGCTCTATGGAGAACAGGTATCAGGGGTACTGGAAGGAATATATGATGGCTGGTTATTGTTGGAGCATTCAAAATAGTACTCATGATACATCTCACCCTAGAAAATCCACAAAAAGGAAATTTTATTCAGACTAAATATATTTAATAATTTTTTTAAACTTAAATTTTTGCATTTTTAATGAAAAACCCTGTCTCTTCATAACTCCAAAACTAGAGCTGCTACATAAAAACGGCATATATTTTTGAAATCAGCACGGAAAAACTATTCAGATTCATGTAAAAAATCTCATGCAACAGACATGCTGTTTTCCAGTGTTATTAACGCAGTTTACATCCACTCAGGATGAAGATCAAGAAGAAGACTTTGCAAGTTAAAACTCGGTCGATTAAATTTCACTACTTTTTTTTTAAACTTAAATTGCTTTTATCTTTTCAATCTCTGCTAATATCTATTATTTGTCAATAGTTTTCATATTATGACGATTACAACTTCACAACTTTTTGAATCGTTATATCTCAAAAAAGGTGGCTCGTAGAAAAAAAAGTATTAATTAATTCTTTGTAGATAATTTTATGATCTACAATTTTTGTCTGAGATCTTTTTATGATAAAACTTACCGTTTTGCTGAAAATCACAAAAAAACTCATTTTGTTTACCTTTGACCTTGAATAATATTTTTTTTCCTTACAGGGGAAAGATGGGGAACTTTCAAATTTTGTTTTTAATGATATTGCAAACAATCTTACCGATTTTCAGTTTGGTAGGAATGTCTAATTTGACCGGACTATGACTGAGTTGCTGTTCATATAGTATGAGTACCTTTCCGAGTGTGCTGAAGCTTAATTGGTACAAAAAGGCGAGGCACTCCGCGGCGCTGAGACTGCGTTTTTCCGCCGTGTGCAGGTAGTGTTGGAGAAACAGCCAGACCTTGAACAAAAATATATCATACTATATATAGAGATTAATAAGTCAGTAGTGGCCTAGTGGTTAGAAGGCCCGCCTCTCATGTATGAGGGCGCGGGTTCGATTCTGACCCGGGCAAGTACCAATGTGATTTTTCCGAGTCATATGTACTTTCTAAGAGTATTTAGACATCACTGATTAATGCTGAATCCCAAAGAGGGTTGATGTCAGGCAGGCGGCCGGTCGTGAAAACAAATAGCTCAAAACTATTCACAACATGTAAGGCAGACCCTGGCTAAATCTGGGAAACTGCCAGGTAGAAGACTATATATAGAGATTGATATATGTATAATAGTTGGGATATACTGGGTGGCGCAAAAGTAAAGACCCTATTTGGTTTAGCTATAACATTTTTTCTAAATGAGAAAACTAGATTTAGGTTTTTTAAATGTATATTTGTGCCATTAAATTTCGTACCATTAAGATTTAAAGATGATGTCTTTTAAATGGTGACCTCCAGAGTTGATACACATTTGAGCTCTATTTATGACATTTTGCATAACTTGCCGTAACACTTCCTGCGATATGTTCGTTATTTCTTGACGAATGTTTTCTTTTAGAGCTGCGAGAGTCTGTGGCTTGTTCACATACACCCGAGATTTCAAAAAACAAATACACCTCTACACCCACTAAAAGTTACTGTATGGTGTGGCATCTGTGTTGACAGAGTGATCGGACCCTATTTTTTCGAAGATATAACTGTCACTGGAGAACGCTACAGAACCATGTTACGTGAGTTTTTGATACCCAGTTTGGACGAATTGGGGCTGGAGCACATCTGGTTTCAACAAGACGGCGCTACGGCACACACAGCGCGCGACACTATGGACTTAGTGAGGGACGCTTTTCCAGGCCGAGTTATCTCTCGTTTTGGCGATTTGCCTTGGCCTGCAAGATCACCCGATTTGACCAGTCCAGACTTCTTTCTTTGGGGTTTTTTGAAATCTCGGGTGTATGTGAACAAGCCACAGACTCTCGCAGCTCTAAAAGAAAACATTCGTCAAGAAATAACGAACATATCGCAGGAAGTGTTACGGCAAGTTATGCAAAATGTCATAAATAGGGCTCAAATGTGTATCAACTCTGGAGGTCACCATTTAAAAGACATCATCTTTAAATCCTAATGGTACGAAATTTAATGGCACAAATATACATTTAAAAAAACCTAAATCTAGTTTTCTCAATTAGAAAAAATGTTATAGCTGAACCAAATAGGGTCTTTACTTTTGCGCCACCCAGTAGTTAATATTGATTGTTGTACCTGTTTAGCTGTACTGAGTAATAGAAATTGGAATCCGGCTCTTGTTATGACCGCTGTGCCGTCCTCTGCATCTCTGTAACATAACACTTTATAATTACTATTATATTATATACAAGTTACTTTAGCATTGTTATAAATGTATAATCAAATCATTGAGAACCATATTTTGTTGTTTAATTACAATCAGTAATTAGCTGGTTAGAATATTTCGCAAGTTTTTTGTTATGAGTACACAATAATTATAGCTCAATTTACACACTTCCATGGATGATTGACTCCAAAATAATATATAGTTAGAACTTTGTATTGTTTAACCTTAATCAGACCAAGTAACAAAATTAACAGAAAAATCCCTCGGTTGCGTTTAAATGGATGAAACAAATGTTATAGAAGTTATTGTGAATAGTTTAGTCCATGCTATGTGTTAGTTATACTTGCTTGATATTGTCAAAATAATATGATGTCAAGTGTAATGTAGGCAGATTATTTTATTGGTTGCCGTCTGTTATTTCATGTCTTTTTTTAAACGGTTTTATTTAGCTCACCCCGTTTGTTAAACGGTTTTTTTTTATTATTTATTCTTTCTTGGGTCAAATTTAGTAATTCAAATTTCACCCTCTTCCTGTCAACGGATTAATCTGAAATTTTGTATACACTCTGGATTTTTGTGACAATACAATTATGTTTATTCATAATCATTATAAATTCAAGATGGCCGCCGCTACAAAATGGCAGATAATTTATGTTTTACCAATCCTATCAATATGGGTATCAATTGAAAGTGCTCAACCAGTAGAATACAATGTACTATAAAAAATTTAAATCCAAGATGGCGGCCGCTATAAAATGGCGGATAACGTAGGTTTTATTAATTCCAACAATATGGGTGTTTGATTGAATTTACTTACTATTTTCTTACTCATGGAAATTACTACTGCCTAATTATAGTGTAACATTACAAAACAAACATTTTAATCAACGATTGTAGACAATTGACGTGTCCCACGCTTTTATTTTAGTCTAGTCTGTGCATATGTTTATAATTCCCACGACTGTATCTATTTTATTATTTTTGGTTTTTAGTACATTTATCTTAAACATTGCAATGTATGTTTTACGTAAAACTGTTTAACTTAAAAAGTTTTTTTACCTATTTTGTATCGACAATATCACTCATTAAGAACTAGTAGCGCCATCTAGCGTAAAGTGTGTAAGTCTGTGTATATGTTCGTTTTTTCAAATTTTCAAATAAAGATTATTTCTCGTCTCACAATCAAGAATTTAATTTATTAAACTGTCATACAGTTTTTCAACATAGCACAATACATACATGATAAATTTGATATAGTTTAATTTAATGCAGTCTACCTGTTCATAAGTCCAGCGTGCAGCAGTATTCTGACAGCATCAGCACTGATCCCCTCCGTCTGTGCTGATCCCACCATGTAATGCAGCACACACTCCCAGCGTTCGAGAGCATACGCATCCAAGAACGACACATCACGAGCCTTGCCGTCCGGCTCCAGAGACGATGACATGCTCCACGGACGACCGCTGAAAATGAACATGATCATTAATATATATTAAATATCCTGTACAAGATATATTTGCTGTAGCTGACTTTGAATTTCATACTATTATTTATTTTAATGGGTGGTAAAAAGTACTGGAAAACTTACATTAAAAAGATTGTTCTATAATGCTATAGTTTTAAAGATGAAGACAGAAAAATATTTTAAAAGGAAGTGTGGGTAGTCTTACTGGCTGTTTTCATTCAGGAGATACCTGTACATCAGCATTTTGAGTATTCCTCTCAGGGAATAAAAAAACTCTTCTTCATTGTATGTAATTAAAATACAAGGCTAAGCAACAAAAGGATAAAAGTAAATTGTTTTAATAGAGTAAATACAACATTTACAATGACCTCCAAGATTATTAAAACAGTCAGTAAGATAATGTCACTAAAGCCAGACAGTGACCTAAAGGATGACACCTTCGAAGAAATGTTCTTATATTCAAAACAATTTTAGTAAAATGACTCTTATTACAATATAGTAAGATGCCTAGCCCCATCTTTGAATTAATCTTAAAACATCCCAACAGTTTCTAAACGAAATTTCAAAAATATTATTTAGTTTCTCTCAAAGGCGTAACGAAATGAGCGCGCGTTCCTTGATATTTTAATTCTTAGGTTAAGGACGCCGAAATTTGAAGGTGTATTTTGAACCGATATTTAATAAACAAATGCTTTTTATTCATTTGTCAAAGTATCAACGAGGTGTTAAGATAATGTTAAAAGTGCTTTTCTTGTATTTGCTAATATTTTTCTAACAAATTATGATATGTCTACTATTAGTTCCAAAAAATAATTAAAATCTAATAGTTGACAGGTTTGTCATCTATTGGTGTTTCCCGATATTAAACTATTATGTTACGTTCGGTACGATTTTGGACTCTATTTCCAATGAAAAGATTACTGTAGAGATATCAACTTTTTTGGATCACTGTAACTAAAGGTTGACATGGTGTCTATTATTGGGGTATACATGATGTCAATTATTGGTTCTAAGATAGATGTTTCGTTACTCTGAGGCTGATACGGAAGCCGCTATTCAAGAATGCAGACGAGGAGTTCCGACACCAACTGCTTCAAAAAATTCGGGGTACTGATGGTAACTCTGCTGATAAAATAAAGGGTAAACACTAATAAAACGAAAAATGGGTAAAATATGCTACATCTCTGATGATACTGAAGCTTTGCTTGTAGAGTGGGCTAAAGCTATGGTGCACCTAGGATTTCCAATAGGCAAAGAAAATTTACAAGATAGTGTGAAAAATATTGTTGATAATTTGAATTTAGAAACTCCTCTTAAAAATGGGAGGCTTGGTAAAAGATGGTACAGCAGTTTTTTAAAGCGGAACCCAGAACTAATCCATAGACAGCCTGAAAATTTAACATCATCTAAATGTCAAGTATTAGTGCATTTGACTGTCTACTATTGGTAATTTTCGTTTTTTGTGATGTCATCTATTAGTGGATAAGACAATATATATTTTTTATTGATAATAATTTAAAATAGTTAATTAATGAAAATTTTATCACTTAAGATAATTTTTTAAGATACACTGTGTTCCTATAAAAAAGCTGGATTTGTTTTGTTCAATAAATATATAATTATTGTCAATTAAAAATAGTGTTTTCCTTAAAATGTTGGGCATTAATGACTTTAACTTACTGTATTATATAGTGGAATAAATAGTTGAGAATGTAAGTTACTAACCCTCCAAGCAGAGCAACTTTCAGATTCTTCTTAAATGACTGTGACAGCATCCATCCCGGCAGACCTCCAGGAATAGGAGCCTCCTGCCACACAGACAGCTCCGATAGAGCCTCACAAGCTTTATGTTGCTCTCTGGAAATAATATTCATATAAGATATTAAAAATATAACTATGACTATCTTTTCTTTGAGCCCGAGAATTTGTCAGTATTTATCATTTTTTTAAACTTGTTGATTTCACAGTTCTTCAATTTATCTGATTAATAATAAAGAGATCATTTATATGAGATCTTTAGTTTTCTAAAAATAATAAAAAATGTAATCAAAACACAGTTTCATAAAATTTTATTTAAAAAATTTTTTTTAGTTTTAAATTCTAATGACATAAAGACAGTCAAGCACTTTCGACTAGGTTATTAGTAGGGTCCCGATTAATGTGTAAATACTTATTTTTAATTTACGCGATTTTCGGTCTAGAATGTGTTTTCTACATGGATTGTAATATTTAGACTGTGAAAAACCAACTTTTATATTCCATATTTAACCATATTTCAAAGTTAAGTCCATATTTTACAAGAAAATGTCACAATCAACTATATATTTACAAAAACACATAAAATTTATGTTCCCGGCACTAATGTTTTGGATAAAAATAAAGGATTTAATACACTAAAAAAAACAAACAAAATTCTGTGCGAAAGTTTCGAGGGCTGTAGACATGGCTTACACAATTACTGAATTAAGCATGTTTAAGTATGCATCCATCACATCATGTGACGTGGACAGATCATTCAGCAAATATAATGCTATATTTCAACCAACTGGTCAGTTTTCATTTTGATAATTTAAAGAAGCATGTCATTGTGTATTGCAACCAATTTGATAAGGCTAGTGTAATGGAAGTTGAATAAAACTGTTATTTTTTGTTGAAATAACTATTTCACTATTTTTTTTTTCATGGTTTTTTAAATGTACCTTCACGATGAACGTCACGAGTGACCCTTTTCTTATAGTAAAACAATGATTAATTATGAAAGTATTTAATTTTATACTCCATTTTTTTCCATATTTTTTGTCCATATTTTATGTACCTAGCTATTTTAGATTTTTAATACATATTTATCTGGGCCCTAGTTATTAGTATAATAATATAAATTGTATTAAGTTTGAGATCGCCTAGTTTACACTAGGGTAACATACATACTTGGCATGTGTCTGTGTGACCCACGAAGCAACCACTGCTTGAGGGACAGGTTGTTCTACAAACAGCAAGCGGATCACAAAATGTCGGGCTAATTCAGGCAACTCTCTGAAATTAGTTGATAATATATATTAGACTTTTCAAGATATATCATATTTTATATTGTACTGGAGAAAATAAGTATTTGACTGTTGACTATAACCTGTACATTTACATTCCCATTTATAACAAGTTCTAAACTTACCGATACACCGCCAAGCATATTGTGGGATAATTGTATAATGTTTCAAGGAACTGTGGCGAGCGACTTTTCAAATATTCGTGAAGATCCTTGCATTGTAGTGTCGGCGAAGGATTTGAACTTGACGACGACTTTGACTTAGACGACTCTGACATTGTTTTGAACACTTATAAGTCAATGCTATAGTCAATATTCTTCTAACTATAATAATAAATCATTTCAAACTTTTGCAAACTCCTGTGGATGGCGTAAAAACTTGTGTTTTGTATATAACCCGATTGACATTGACACTTGTAGTTGAGTGTTGACACTTGACCCTGTCTTGTCTCCGAAGGGTCGGGCGATGTTGCTATTAGAGGAAAGAGATAAACTACTAAACCTTACTTGTAATTATGAAACAATATATATTTAATGTAATGTAAAAAACCATTTATTATTAATAGACCACACAAATTACACTTAATACATGAAAAAATCTTGTAATCTTACCTTTTTTCGCTCTTGAGTATCGTATATTGTTTACTGACAGATTCAAATGAAGTAATATTATGAAATACCTTCTCGAATCTACAATGATAACACATTTTTACAAAAATACTAAAGTTCAGATGTTCTGTCTTTTGCTTTATAATTTTCTTATAAGACAATATTTAATATACCTGAGTCCAACTGTAACCTATCATTTCGGATCCAATAAGAGGAAATTTGTATTTGACAAAATCCGCAATGGTTTTTCTTATTAGACGAGCATAACTTAAACTGTCTGAGTTGTAGAATAAGAAGAGAAAGGTTTATAAGAAATAAATGGCTTGAGAATGAATTATACAAAAAAAAATAATTCACTTCATAAAAATAATAGTTTACATAATTGACATAATAATATAAATTAAATTATATTAAAATTTAATTTATATTATTATGTCCACATATTACAAAAGTAAGTAATTTGATACTTAATTCAATAATTTTTATGAAAGACATACCTACTCAATAATTTAATATGTTATGAAACATTTTAAATGATGGATGTGAAGTAATGTTAGTCCGTTTTTGTTGTATCGTAACAAAATACAAGTTTGGGGCTATGAAGAATTACATAGAGCTCGATATAAACCTATACCAATGGGATTTTTTTTATCTCTTTTGTCCCATACAAAAGAAAAAAGTTTACTCACACATATCAACTGTCAACCCACACACCGTCAGGCCGTGTACGGACACACGCACACAGTACCTCCAGGCGACGAGTTCACCGCATTCATTCTCGTCGGCAGATGGCGGATACAGTAGACGCCTTCCGTCAGTCGCGCATAGACAACTCGCCGAGTACAGTGCTATTCCGTTTCGCTCAGCACCATTTTGTGTATATCCTTCGGAACGGGACATTGTGTATATGTGCTCCGTGAATAATCGTCTTAGAAGTACGAAAACAGTGTACGACTCGGTTCGATCTAGTGTTTCGCTTTCGACATGCCCACGGAGGGATCGATGTGATATCTCGGGCGCTCGTAGAAACCGCGCCTCCGTCATGAGCGAGTGATCGTCGACATAAAAAAAGTTGACACAGGAAACATGTCTGGGCGGACCGCCGACACGGATGCGAGCGAAGGGTTCGAGTTCGAAATTCGAAAGCGGTCATGTCATCGCCTCTCGGATTTCGTATAAGTCACCGTCCAATGTCAAAATCGTGCACGTACCGCGAGCGGCGAGCGTCCGGAGCCAGCGCGTGCAGACAATGCAGTCGTTGGTAGTGTGGCTGGCGGTGGTGTCGGCGGCTTGGGCACTGGCGGGCGCCTGCTCCAGCTCCATCTCGAAGCGGCCGGCGCGGCCCGCGAGGCCGCAGCGCCCGCCGCCGCAGCCGCAGCCCCAGCCGCGCCTCAACGTGACCTTCCCCACCTTCAAGTGCGAGCCCGACTACTCGGAGTACTACTGCCTCAACGGCGGCGCGTGCTTCACGGTCGTCATCTCGGACAGCCCCATCTACAACTGCGAGTGCCGCAGCGGGTTCGTGGGCCCGCGCTGCGAGTTCAAGGACCTGGACGACTCGTACGTGCTGACGAGCCGGCAGCTCATGATGGAGACGGCGTCCATCGCGGGCGGCGCCACGGTGGCCGTGTTCCTCGCGATCCTGGTGTGCTTCGGCGCTTGGGTGAGGCTCCACCGGCGAGGCAAGAGTCCGCCGCCGGCCGAGCGGGGCCATGTGCAGCTGGTGGCCGTGGCGGCGCCCCGAGGAGGCGTGCAGCTGTGCGCGCAGCCCCTGCAGTGCTAGTGGCCCGACCGACTTTAGCTGGTGTACATATAGTTAGATTATGTGTTAAGTTATGTGAGAGAACGGGAGATATAAAAAATTTATGTGATAATTAATTTACGAAGCTCATAATTTATTTGATGGAATTCTTTGTACATATTCGATCTGAGTTCTGAAGTGTAACGTTGGTCAAATTTCAGTCATCACCTCGGTGTCTGTGAATCGTTATGTGTATTCTTGGGTCATACTCAGTGTATTGGACTTGTGAGATTAGCCATGACCGTGTACCTACCGCTAGTAGCTTCAAGTAGAGCCGTTATGTTGTTGGCATAGTGCCGGAGGATGTGGAGCAGCTGCTCCTCTGATGCATCAACCTAACCATATATGAACATTCTTATTGGAATCCAAAGTGATAAACTTATTATTGTACATTGTTATGTGTCAGAGAGGCAGAGCTGCCATGCCTCTGGGTCAGTGCATGTTATTGTTTGTAGAGATTGTTTAGTATGTGGCCCCGGCCGTCGCAGCATCCAATGTTACTTGCCAGCTCTTGTATTGTTGAGTGATGCTAGCCCACACTGTTGGGTGTAGTGAACATAGTGATGTATGTAAGGGTGCGTCGGGTGCAGGCCACCCTCGGCCACCACTCGAGCCTCCCCGGCCGCTGTCTTGTTGTGAATCAATGTTAATTGTATTTATACTTGTGATGAGTTGTATGCTTGTGAGCGAGAGGCAGACAGGCACATTCCACCCGCGGATGGAGTATTTCTCTGGTGTCAGTATTATTTTGTAATACGAGTGTAAGCCGACAGCTTTACTTTACTTTTTAACTTATACTTTGCTATCCTCCGGGATACAGCTGTATTATATTAGTTGAAGGCGAGAAGGCTTGTTGTAAATATAGCCCCTGTAGGTATTTATTAGATATTTATGAACGTTTATTTATTGACTGCATTATTTAGTTACGAACCGGTGACGAGCCGCATCATCTCCTAACTATTAACGGTTGCATCTATTAAATATTAAACCTTGCTAAGCACGGCCTCGCCTACATCCTATTCCCTGTAGTAATCTCATTATGAATCTCGTGTTTTGTAAAAAATTGTAAAACATTGGATGGTGTTTAAAGGTTCCCCGGTCGGTGTGAGCGGATTCCTTCACTCCTTTCTTTATGTCATACAAACATTGTTTATTTTCTGTGGTCAACCGTTTCCTTTATTCATCTCATCAATATGCTTTTGTTGAACCTGTAAATTCCGCTCGCACTGTTCGAGGAAACAAAAAAAAAAGCAAATTGTTATTGAAAGTGTTGAGGAGCCCGGTCCGGCCGACAGCCCTGGAGCCGGCCTCTTTTACCCTCGACCCTCGGCTGTTTGATGTTTGACGACCTCGCCGCCGGCTCCCGGGCCCCCGGCCGGTCCTCGGCCTCTTGTGTTTATCGATTCATGTGAGATCGTCTGTATGAACATTCCAAAGTATATGTAAAATATTACCTACATCGCTAATTTTGAATATCTGTTAAGATGCTACATTGTTAATTATACAGTTTTCTATTGATCATTTGTTAAAAGAAAATTATACGAAACTAAATCCTTAAAAAATGTTTTTCATTCGTCTCGACCGCCTAAAGCGACTCCTACACGTATCGCCTCGCCGGCCGCCGCGCCGTCATCTCGACCCGACCTGATGTAACAACACAACGAACATTAGAAATTACTCGGTGAACATTAATCAATTTAATCTTGACCTCCTTTCGACCGAAACAATCTTAAGTTTGTTTTATTTAGTTAATTTAACTGAACAGTGACTAGCTTCATGTATGTTTGGTCGTCTGTCAAGTGACAGTGACAGCCGCGCGCGTCACTGTGTAGTGTAGTATATTATAGTTGTATTTGAACACATTATACACCTGTTATTTAAATTAGTTCAAAGATAACTTTCAAGGAACTAATTGGTCCGTGCACCCAGACGAACTACACCGACTCATTTATACCGAAAGTAGGAATACATAATGTTAATGATATGTTAAAGGTCGCTCAACATATTTATTATAACTTAAAAGATGAACAAATTTACAACATCAATTCTGCTTTACCGTAACTACTTATTTTTGAATTAGTTGTAAAAAAAAATAACTTTTGTGGATTAAAAAAACCTTTTTAGCCTAAAGAAAGTTAATAAATATATTCTTAAGTGATAGTGTATTGAATCCAAAACCTTTGTTATTATATAGTTCCAAAGTATTTCCTAGTCTGTATTCTTTATATATTTACAAAAGGAAGCGTCGTGAAGGAGAGTCGTCGCTCGTCAGTCGTCAGGCGGGTAGCCATTCAAGTCCTAGGAGCATATTTTTATGAATGCTGCGTGTGAGACCGGTCCGCTAGCGGCCGCCGGCGTCGCATGCATAGAGTTCATTGAATGAATGCCCGTTCGTTTGTTGACATTCCCCGAAAACCTGCCCGCCTGCCCCGCCCGGAATAGCTGCGTATCACAAGTTCCCGATGGACAATGACCGAAATAGACGCCGACCGAAGTAGATTAACCACGTTTTTGGACTTTCATACTCACGGAACTCACCCGATTAGTCGGAATACGCCGGGATGGGGACGCGACCAGTTGAGGGATTTAAATAATTATATTTTAAACTTCGTCAACTCACTTAATAGGTTGCTGTTATTACACCAACCCTTCGTAATAGTTCACGAGTAACCTTAAGTACCTACCCTTGTTGTGTTTACTTTGAATTCATTTTAAACGTTTTTGCACCGTTAAATTACGTTTCACGTTTATAATGCTACATTCCAGATAACTTTGCAATAATCAACATTGGTCTAGTAGACAAAGAAAATATATGAATCATAACATACATTTTATATGACATTGGCTTTGTCTGATTAATTTTAACAAGGTATGAGTATTTAATAGTAAAAAAAATAGGTACTTAATGAAGAATAAAATGTTTGAATACATATAAACAGGGTGGACGACTAATAAATCATATTTATTTTAATCTCTTTATTAAAGTTAACATATCTAAGATTTATGTACACATTTAAATTTTTCGAAAACTAAGTAAGGACACGAAGTTCATTTAAGTTAACATTTGCAATATATGAATGAACAAAATATAAGTAAATTAGATTCAATGAATGATAAAGTATGTAACAATGTAGGAATGTGAATCATGAAAACATATAAAAATTAAAAGTCGTGTTATTAGATTAGGATCTCTAACAAAACTGTGAATGAACACATCAAGTCGAGTCAAACGTCATACGGCGAGGATCGGTTTCCATCACCAGTTTAGTGTGAGCTCTCCGCCGTCTACCGATCCTTGGGCCGCGGAGGAAGGCGGCGGCTGCTGGGGATCTCGGTGCTGGTCGGTGTTTTAGACGGAGCGTCGCTCGGCCCACACCGCTTCCATTATAGGTATCGTCCGTGGTCATTGCGTCCAATTAACATGCCTACGTGCCCGTCCCACTTCGTCATTATGCCCGCGAAATCTTCCAACTCGATTCTAAGTATTTAGTGTTGTATTGTGCACCGTGTTACGATCCTCCAACGGTTACTGTCGTCTGTTGGCTGAGACCTGGCCTCTGGTTGTGAATGTTTCCTTGTATTGTTTGCTAATAACTTGGTACCTAGATTTAAGGCATTCTGCCGTCCTGTCAGGAAATATAATGAACATACATCGTCTAACTCCACTTAAAACAACCAGAACTATCTTCACAGATCCAATTGGTGTAATTGATGATGAATATTGTGCCTTTAATTGAAATCAAAAACATTTTATTTCAAGAAACAATTCAATTAATTTACTTTATAAATCTAAATAAAACATATTAACTGTATACAAGTACGTAGTATGGTATGTAGTTGGAATGTGTATACGGGGAAAACATCGTAACTAGACATCGCGGAGCAAATACAAAGCATCATCAATAATGCCCTCCATCAAACCTGTACGTGGTAGCGATCAAACCAGTCGAGTCAGTTTTTCGCACCTGTGCTCTGTGCATGTGCTCTGTGCCTGTGCTCTGTGCCTCGCGCCTGTGCCACGTTCCTCGCCCTCATGAAGCCCATCGTCCGCTCGAGTGCCTCTTCCTGTGACAGATGGCAGCACGTGCTCGCCGCTCACTCTTACATAGATCGTTAACTATTTGATATTGTTCAACATTAAATTATCAAAAAACCTGTCTCACCAAAATATATACTCATACTCATTGTGAGGTGATCTTCATTCAATTAGTTTTACTTCAACGGACACATTTACTAAATAATTTATTATTATTTATTTCAAAACGAATAAGTGCATATGTTATATAGAATTTTAAGTTCTGTTTCTGCACAATAAATACAATTGGTACATCAATTATTATTTAATATTATCTCATGCCACAAGCTCTGTACCAGTTTTTGTGTCTCCCAACAGTTGCTGTTCAGGGTGGGCTGATAAAAACTCACGCACGTGTCACCTGCCTTTTATCACGACATTGTTTAATGAAGTGCCATCCTCGTATTAACGAAAATCTTGATTGGCGCACTAACAGCTCGTCGATAGCTAAAAAAAATCTATCATCAACTTGACACGTATAGCGTTTGATTAACGCCATGTACCTTATACAAGTGTGGTCGTAAAAGTTTTATATTGCAAAAGAGTTCACTACGTATGTATGTATGTACATATGTGATTTTTTTAATAAGTTGATGGCTTCTATACGAATTATTTAGGGTATAATTTTTCTTTCAAAGATTATTCCATTAGGATGCTTGAACTGTTCTTAGCTAGGAAGTTGTCTTAATAATATTTCGTTTTTAAAAATTTGTTTGAGTCCGTAACCTGAATGTTTGCAGACTAATGATTTCATATGTCGTACGTCAGCCGGTCGGTCTCAATTCATTGATGTCCTTTCCGGGACATGCTGTCAATTTTATTCATAATTAAAACGTATTTATCCGCTTTAGATTCAGTGGAGTGACGCAATCGTCTCATCAAAGAGATTTTACGACCGAGTAAATGTTCTGCCCACATAAAGTATGAATGGATGTGTAGTGATGGCCGCTAGCCGCTAATAAAACTATTATCGAGGCTATGACTGCGGATAGATTTCGTCCGCGGCGTTCGGAAAGTAGGTTCAAGATCTACCAAACTTATTCGAATGTGTTGTACATTTAGTAAACTTATGTTTACAAACTGCCGCTTCATGCGGGCTTAAAACACGGCGAGGTTGATGCTTGTTATACACACTGAACGGTTCTCTTAAATAAATTACAAAGGGAGCGATTGTTCGTTGGAATCAGTTGAATCAGAATGCGAGGAGACTGTCACATGTATATTAAATTCCTAGCGCAATCATTTCAAAAGGAACATAATATGTTGAGAAATCAAGCTTATCAGATAGCTGCGGGTCGTGGGAAGAAGCTGCGCGAGGCGGCTTGCGTCTTCACGTACTCCACTTAGGTCTTAAAACCTGACGACTACTAAGGAGATACATTACTTGTAGCTACAGTTAGTTATGTAGTCTAAGACAGCTTCCCTCAGAAGGAATGGTCGATTCAAACAGGATTATATACATTTTTAAGTTACAAGTCTACACATTAATAATATTTAAATTCTCTTTAGTGATATCGGTATGGCAACAATTAAAACGAGTTATTTTTTAATACCCTTGCAATTTTCTCATTTCGTTTTTCTAATACTTTCCAATGTATAGTTATTAGTTTCCTACAATGTTTGTGATCGGTCCATATCACTGTGTATCAAATAGATCTATAATACTGGCCAATCAAACACTGCCTATTGTCAATGCTCACATTACTGACTGATTAAACATAGGTGTTGTGACTCACGAAGGAAATAGTGGTTTAACCATTTGAGTTAACTATCAGGTACCTACCGACGGTATGTAGTTCAACGGGCAAAATATTTGTTGTAAGAATTCACAGCGGATAAACGATACCTTACATTTGTTACGGGCAATTCGATGTAGGTGTATCAAATTTACGTTGACCTCTCGAAGAGACGTCACCGCGTAACGGATAGAGGTCAAATTTAGATATTAGATTTAGAGATTTAAACCGTTATATTATTGTTTAATGTTTGTTCTTTTGCATAATGAGGGTTGGTTTGAGTGACCCATCTTTATGTATAAAGATAGTTTGACTTCGCTCATTTTTCTTAATTTTTCTTTACATATTAAAATGTCGTAATAAGATGTCTCTGATTTATCTGAATACGGGTTCTACATATATTATTTCAGTTTTATTTCAAGTTCAACGATCTTATATTATAAACGGTATACAAGTATGTAATATGTATCTTCGTATAAGCATCGAGGGCTGTTTGTGGATGAGTTATATGAAAACCAAAAAAGGCCGGTACATTAGGTGTGTGTGTGTGTTTTCTAAAAATGTTTTTGTTATGTTTAGTATTGTCCGCGGTTTATTTTAATGTTTTCTTTTGTTTGTTTCGAGGTGGCGATAGTGAAATGTAAACACGCTTGTAATTATAATAGAGACGAGTATTGTTCATGAAGAGGACTGTGGACGGGTCACACTCAAACGAGACTTCGGATTTTTATAGACGTCTTCAATATTATATATGTATTATAAACAGTAAACAATAACATTCAGAATTTTAGATCATTATTGAAATAATATGAGATTGTTATCAGAAAGGTCATTTAAGGTAATGTAAAGATTATATAGGGATGTCACTGTCTTGTAAAAATTGATTTCATTTGATGTTCTCAAACCTGGGATTTGAGATTTAAACTTATTAAACATATATTTGAATGTTATTAGAAAAAAAGTAGATAATTTAAAGTTAAACTGTTGAAGTCTCAATCAAACAATCGCAATAAGTTTCGATAATCGATCGATCTCGTCTTGTGCGGCCGATTAGCGGCGGTCTACGAAGTCATTGTGGATCTTTGGTTCTTTGAAAGTTCCCTTGATTTTTGGGTTTTCCTCTTAAACAGGCAAACGCTACCATAATCACAGCACGCCATTATGACCTTTATTAAACATTATTCCAAGCCTCGTAATCGGTTGGACTGTTTCTTCCGCGGACATCATCGCTACGCACGGCCGTCGTTTACCGGTTACTGGAAAGCATACAGGCATCGGGGAATACGGATCCGTTTAGAAAACTAAGTAAACAGTCGATGAGATAAATCTCTCACGCTGCCGTTAGTGGGGACGAGCTTCGACGCGAACTTCTATTACGGAGGTACGTGGGAGGCGACGACACACATACACGGCCAGGTCGCCGCTGACGTCACGAGACATGTACCTCAACCCTTGTTGAACCAACCACACACGGAACAGACGGACTGGAGGGAAAACGGACAAGGATGAGACGAGTCCTGTATGATTGAGAACAATCAACAGTTTACGTTCAATTCTCTTGTGCCAAAAACTCGAGGACTCGTGAATCATAGACGCGGAGATGTAAATCGTCTTCATCCTGCTTACCGCAATTGCTGTAATGGCGCCGCTTCCAGCTAAGATGACACGAGCGACGCCTCGCGGCGGCCGCGGGAGGTGAGGCGTCCCCGGACATGTTGGGGCATTAATATATAAATAAATAATCCTGACGCACGGTACGGTCTCCGAAGTTAATATAAAATTAATAATATTATGTAAATGGTATCATTGATGACTTCACTTCCTCCTTAGACAAGGAAGTGTGTAGGAGTACCGGCTTCTCCTAGAGCTGTAGGGTTTCTAGACGTTCGCGCGCATATTGGATAATTGCTTCAGGTATTTTTAGATATTACAACATGTTGTCACCCTATTATGTGTGTTGGATGTACTTTATCGTTCATAACATTAATATATGAATGAAAATGCCATTCAATTTCCTTTAATTATAACACGAACTCAATGAAGAAACTCTAATTTTAATATACAATTATTTCCTTATGACCTCTTATTTTTTTAATCCTATCATATGGTTTATATTGTTGAGGTATTCTAGACACAGCCTACATGAACCACAGCCTACCTGGGCCAGTCTATCGTCTGTACCTACGCAATCTAGGTCAACTAGGACACGGGCCAGTCAGTACCGATTTAGTTATAATATTACAATAACATAAAATATTATTAGTGCATTCAGATCTTTTAAAGTATTGAATATAAACACGGCACCGCACGGTCAACATCCGATAATTGTCTCATCTAATACGTGACGACACAATAATAAAAAAAACTATTTAAAAATCTTGTTCACACGCCAAAAATATGTCGAACAATAGTGTTAGTCAAGTTGGCCGCTGTCCAGCCGCAGGTGTCGTCCATTGTATCAAATAATAATGTAAATATTCGTACATGTAACAGGGCTAGGGACTCATTGATCACACGAAACAATTCTCACTAGATAATAGTATTTCTTTGGAAGAATTCCGTGAAGTATTACTACTTCCGTCCATCAATGGAGGCGGCGTACTGAGCCGGTGACGGATTTCAGTCTATATACTTACAACTTGCTAAAACCTTGAACGTCTTATAAAATTATTTTGTATATAAAAAGTTTCTACGCATTTGTTTACTATCCTTTATTTAATGACATTACTTTGTTTGACGTTGTGTCAGAATACTGCAAAATACGATATTTCGTAAGCGTCACAGATAAAGATAAGAGGCGATAGACTAGTTTAGTTGAATGTTAATGAATGGGCGAGTTACAATAGTTATTAGTTTCTCACGGTACCTGTAGCCACGTGGACAAACAGAACAAAGATTACTTGCAATAAAGGTCTATCGGCTTTTACGACTTACTACACCTTTTAATGTTTTTCCTAAGGTTGTAAACGTCTGTTTCTCATTCATCGACGGAACAATATAAGATGTTTTAGAATTTTTCAATGGAAAAAATATATATATCTGGTAATATTAAGTCATATTTGTTATGACCGAGCGCCACCATAGACAATAAGATATAGATTAACAAATGTAAAGTTTGAACATCTGGTTGTGTCTAAGCGCCTTACTTTGTTCTTGTGATACCTGTTATCAAAACATGTGTTCGTATTTACTAAAACAGTCTCTTTTGAATTCTGACAAAGAGGTTTTATTACTTTTGTTAGTGATTAGTAATATTTAATCTAAAGATATCTATTGTCAGTAACTATTACAAATATCATATTTTAAAATGAGTTATTTCGCAGAAAATATAATTTAAAACCAAACATATGTCTGTGTAAACAAAGGTGAACTATTGATTATTCATTGCCTATAATTGTATTTTCCTCAGTCATTTTTATTGGTGTCTTGAGCTTTTTTAATTCAATAAATCTTTAAGTTGCGTAAAAGGTTTGAATTTATGGTTTTCATCAACAGATTGAAACTCAACAACAAACTAATTATGTAAAAAGAAACAACAATTTCATTTGTAGCCGACTTCAAAGAAGAAATAGGTTCTCAATTCGACGCTATTTTTTAATTTGTGTTTATAACTTTTTTCTTAAAATCCATATCCGCGATAATGTTTATTGACAAAGGTGGAAAACTATGTGTCACGTAAACTTAGTCTTTCTAGAAACATTTCACAACAAAAATGATGTATTCAAAATTAAATTTAGAAATAAATCATTTATATTTTTAAGTATTAAGTATGTTTCAAACAGTACCTGCCGAGTTTTATATTAGTCTTTGTTTCTATGAAGACTGACAGATCATCTATTTCAGTACAGATAAGTATTCGTTCAGAAACTATTGAAGGTGTATCATTTCCTGTGACGTGTGTTACACTTTCAACATATTACTTCATTTAGTGAATCAGATAATACGTGTATATTAGATAACGACAATATTAATAGGTTCTTTTTTTAACTAATAGACTATGAGTTTTTTAAATGGATGTTTAGTAAAGATTGTTGAAATTTTATATAAAAGTATGTAATAAAACAAGTGACATATGACATTTGACATGTGAGTCATTTGAAGAGGCGCCACTCGCCACTTCTGTTACAAGTCGTACCTGAGTGACGCTTGATTGTCGTTGATTGTATGATTGCAGTCGATATATAGAACATCCTGCTCACAGCTCAGCTCCACCACTTTATACATTATTGTTTTGACATACAAGAATTACTATTACATTGTACCTACATGACGCCTTACTTATATTTTAATATTCTTAAGCTTGTTCATAATTTGTTGCTTCTGGATTCTTCTTCAGAAGTTTATATCGGCCGTCGTAAGTGGTATTGAAGTATGGTAGTTCCTGGGGTAGGATAGGATAGAGGTAGGTGCGGTTGTGATAAGGCTGTACTTACGATCAAGGCAAACATTATATCATCTGCTTTGCTTAAAGTGAAGGATGTGGAAAAGAAGAAAAGTTCATTTTTATATGACTCCAAAAATATTTTTGTTCACAGTAATCCTTAACATATAGAGATAATGGAGTACAATTAATTGTTAAACTACTAATTGTGTTGGAATATTTATTTACACATAGATGAATGAAATAAATAATAAAAATAAATAAAATAAAAATAATCTTTATTGAGTTAAATAATGAAATGTAAATAATGAAATGACTTGTTATTAAGTAAACAATCTATCCATTCTATTAATTCTTTACATAAGTCGTGTCAAAAGTCTAACGTGTCCACTACACAGATATTTTCTAATAGAAACAGATTTCAGGAGATTGAATTATTACTATTCACTTATTTTTTATCATGAACCTTCTTTTACACCAGGTTTGCGTCCCCACACTACGTATGGAGTATTACTGTTTTTACTTATAAATCTTCTCGCATTAGGTATTGATGTCAGGTTATGAAAAAGAAATGAAAAACGCCTCACGTGCAGTGTGTCGGTACAAACATGTACTAAAACTAAATGCAGATGTAATAAAAAAACAATTGATTTGTTAAACATAACAAGTATGAATGTACTCGTATGTTAATTTTCGCAGTTTCTTTAAATAAAGCAAGCTGTATATAATGAAACATTTCTAATCATTACAGTTATTTCGTTTGACACACGTCGTGTCAATTGTGTGTGGCGTGTATTTATCAAGTCGTTACAAAGTACTGTGTGCGGTGACAGGGAATACTTAGTGTCGTCTGTAACTATTAAAAAATAAACATTGCCTTGTTTTTTCTTAGTCGTTTATTCTTCCAGCTGAAATTCTTTTAAAACTTTATTATTATTATTATGAGAACTAATATTTTTCGAATTACACTACGTTATTTTATTTTTGTAACAAACCACAAGCACCCAACGTTTCGGCTACTTTACAGAAACCGTGATCACGGACAGACGAGATGTTACACACACAAAGTAGCCTAAACGTCGGGAGTACATATGTAGTTTTTTACAAAAATAAAATCGCGTAGTATAGTCCAAAAAATATTAGTTTCACCTAAATTATTATTGTTTTTGAAAAGTCCTTGGATGATCGAAGAATTTTTGCCTGTTACTAAACGGAGCTATGTACTGCTACTTCACATTGATAGTCTTTCAGAAGACAGTATATAGTAGGTGTCCTGATGAATCGGACTGATCGTACTGTTGAAGCCCGCCCTGATAAGAGACACCACCAAGATCCTTACAGCCTGTTAACATACGTAATAGTATTGCTCAAGCATGACGTAAAGAAAAGTGAACAATAACAGAAGTTCCTGGAAAGAAAAGTCATCGGTCAGATAGTTGAGAGATGAGTCACGGAAACTTCACGTTCGATGATGAATTGAACGAAAACTATGAAGAGAATCATCAGCTTTAGTATAGTTGCTAATCACGTCATTGTTCCAAAATATAAATATTTTTGGAAATTTTCCTTTTCCACAAAAGTACATATTTGTAAATATGTATATTATAAAATACCCATGTCCATGCATTGTTTTATATTTATTTGTAGTATGTATATATGATTGGAAATAAATCTAAAACAATAATTACCAAAGAAAGTAGCTTCGTTGTAGATGAATATTTCAATGTCTATTTCAGTTCCGATTCAATATAAATAATTTATAAGGTCGCTTTAATCGGTGGCAGTGATTTATAGCGACAGTTAGAAGTTAACTCCAAAAGATAAAAGGTCTAATTATACATGAGATTTTAATATACTAAATTTAGGTAATTAAAGCAATTGTCTCGTCTTCTAGAAGCGTTTATACTTGGGTCAAAATAACAACACATTACACACGTCGAATGCAGTACTGTTAGAAAAATTTCCACCTACATTTAGTGTATTCTATAGCTCGTCTTCGTAATCATAGATGCTGATTTCAAACACCTAGTTAATATAATGAGCTCTAAGTTCGCGAGCATTCATTTAAATAAGTATTAATTTAAATAATTGTGGATTACTTCGCGTATTTTATTATTTTTATTACATACTCCAAAATTTTCGGTTAGTTTTCAGCAAGCGTGATCACGGACAGGCGAGACGTAATCCGAATATATTAGTTTCATTTAACCGTGTCGAAGTCAAACATAAGTGTTGATCACGTTCTATCATTAATGATTATTGTATGTGCGGTCGTATCGAGGGTGATCGATACGCCCTTAGTAACACAATACCGTGTGGTTGTCCAGGGAGCCACCTGTCCACTACCTACCATCTACCAGCAGATATCTACCAGCTACCACCAACTTCAAATACCGCCTAGACTACATTTTTTTATGGACTGTATGAATTATGTCAGATTACTGTTGATTTTTAATATTCTTTCAAGTGTTTTTTAATTGCTCTGTATTATTTGAAGCTCCCCTCGTATATATAACTTGTTATATAACATTACGTAAGTCGTATATGTATTTCGAACAATTCAAATGTATCATTGTTTTGTTATATTCCTGTGAATTCAAAGTATGTTCGTTTGTCGTTGAGAAAGCCTGCTATAGCTTTAGACCCTGACTTCACACAAACAGTTTACTAATATTCAAATATTATTTTAAAGAGTTATAAGGTCTACTTCTGTACATATGTGAAATGTGTAACAGATTTCCTCATTTTAATGTTTCATTATTACCCATTGTTAGGACACGCGTCGACGAGTTTCGACATATTATATTAATTAATATAATAAATACATATTTATTATTTAAAAGTTCATTAAGCAGTGAGAAATTGTAATTAATTAAGAAATCGTGCATTTCTTAGTTTCGGCGGACGGTCTTTTATAAATTCTATTATAGAGTCCCATCATATATCTATCAGTTATCACAAACATTTTGATCCGTTTGATAGAATCAAAAGTAAAGTAAAGAATTTGATGGTTACATGTATAAACTATAAATAAATGTAATGTTTCACGTAATATGTATTTGAAATGTGATTTCATTTTATTAATAAGAAAGGCTTCGTTTACTTTGTTAAATTAATTAACACGACAATACAGTTTTAGAGTTTATGTATCGAAATAAATGACCCGAGTTACAGTAAATACAAATTAAATGATCAAATAAATTTCGCTCATTCAGATAAAAATATTAAAAAGCCTTTAAATTTATGATCATTACGATTTATTAAAAACTGTTTATGTCATGATGAGCTGTCATCGTGACAGGTTGCGTGACATTGACACCTCGGTGACAGGAGACACGGCCGGCGTGGATACGGTACGCACCTGCCTGTAGTGTGAACTATACTTTATTATACACTACACTTGAATTATAACAACGAATTTATTAACTATAATCATTCTTTAGATCGTTCAAATTAATTTTGTACTGAATTTCAAGCTATAACTATGGGTTGTGCTTCCTCTAAATGTCCCATTTTGGTAATAGATTTGGTCACATAAAGGTCAAAGTATAGTTCCAGTAATTACATATTGTAACTGTCGCCGTTATTTTATTAATAATATAATATAAAGGCCTCGCATGTGTTTCAGGCCTGCGTTTAGATCCAACATAGATTGTATGAACTAAACTAAATCCGGTTCCAAAAATTATCGTGACCTAAATCGTCGTCTAATTACCTACGAGTACACTTCACACCGGCGAGGCGGCAATATAATTGAATCTATTTCAACTTTACAAGTTTCTATATACTTGGATATTTATTAAAACACTTATTGTACACTTTAGCTGTCAAATTAGTCTGTACTTTTTAGAATTTAATAAATGAATTAGGTGTATTATTACGGAACATTATTTAAAGCGGTGTGTACTGTGTTGGTATGTGGCGTATTGGCGAAGGTCCAACCTTAACCTTCCGCTACAGACAGCCTTGAGTCGCACCCCTGAAAGTATAATAATAATTAACCCTTCAGTTTAGGGGAGGCACTGAATATGTCATTAGGGTAATATTAGTATGATTAATTAGTGTTCACCCCTCACTGGACGGGTTGTAAGTGGACGGAAAATGTTATATTTGTTATAACGAGGGTTGCCAAATATATTTTAATATCGTTTATTTGAACTGGAGATATACTCGTTAGTATCTGATATATGTATGATGTTGTTGCTTATTATTTAACTGTTAGAAGTTTTACGGGCCTCCTAAAGGGTTTTTCACGTCCATTGGTGTTGACTGTTGACATGGTTTATCTAAGTGCTTCTACTTCTCTTCTCTTTTGTAACTTTTCCCTCTAATTTTATGTAAAAATGTTCTTAGTTCTGACACAATATAAACAAATAATCTGACTATAATGACTATGGAATTAAACTGAGTATAATACACTTACATCCTAAATATTGTGTGACAAGTAATATCGGTACACAGAGAAGTGAGAAATCTGTCTCTAGTAGAATTCGGAGATAACAAGATGTCATATAAGATGTGTTTTTCAAAACTTGTAATTGCCAAATAATTGTATTGTGTTTTAAAGTTTGAATTCACTGAATATTATAGTAAAATATTGCATATTTATTGTTTATTTTTAATTACATGTTCAAATGTTTTTATATCGCTGGGTAACAAACAAAGTAAGAGATTTCAATCGTCTACATTAGAAGCCCCTATATGAAATTGTATTCCCTCATGGTATTAATTTATTATAATCCATAATCCATTTAAATGACATTCTAGTTATCGTTTTGACTTGGACAAACATCTCTTTATTTAAATATTATTTCAAAATATATTCAATAACGTATATTTTGAAGTTACTAAGAAAATAGTTTTCAAATGATAAACAAACGAAGCGGTCACTACATCATACCTGGTTGTACGTAACATTAAATGGCGGGCGAAGCTTTGGAAATGAAATAAACGGGAATTATACAGTTTAATGTAGTGAAGAGTCTAGGTATTGTAGTCCCTGGAGGGAGGAGGAGGAGGAGGGAGGGGGGAGAACAAGAGTTGGGTCTTCCGTGTGTCATTGTGGGCGAGGTGTTGTTCACATGACGCTTTCACAGACGATGGGTCTCAGTAACAGCTCGATTGTAACATTACATTTATGAGATTATACACCGCGTTTATATTACTTAATGTTCGCGTCCGGTCCGCTCCGAGTTGGAGGAATTACGAGGAATTACGGGGAATTTGTACAGCGATGGTGATGGGGACGGACGAAGATTGAGAGAGGAGTTTGATGCATTCAGATCGACTGTTGGATTGTTAATAAATAATGCAACTTTTTTAAAATAAAAACTTTTTATTCTCAAAGATACAAATAATTTAGAAATACGACAAACATTACAAAGGACCGCTGTTCCAATTATTGTAAGTTAATTTAACTTCAATTAAAGTTGTTGCATATTTAAGTTGTCTTATTATTTCATAGCAACAAGATTATAAACGATGACATGGTTTGAATTCATTAATTTTTATTTGTCCATTACTAAGAACTAGAAAAATATTAAACAAATACACAAAATAATCTCAAAAACAAATTCATATATAATATAATTCAAGGAGCTCACAGACAAACATACAGTCATATTATTTTCTCGTTTTATATTAATCGCTCATACAAATATACATGTCTTCAATATAACATTTGAGAGGAAGGCAACCTTACAGCTATCTAACGTCGTATGTACATTTGAACACACATTACAATGTATAATATAAGTAAGGCATTTTTGTACTCATGTCTTCTTTACAAACTCTTACACGAATCCTTAACTACGCGGCGATGAGATATGTTTGAAATGAAACGTTTCACAAACGATATGACAATACGCAAATTATAGATATGTTGTTATATTAAGCCTTTATATGAATTAAAGCTTTGTCGATCCGACGACCAAGAACCCTTCGCAGACATTCATACACAAAAAATATATTATACTTTCGGAATCAGCGATAAAGCTGCGCATTATTAAATGGGACACGCGTTAGGGGATTAAATAAACCGTGAGGCGAAATGAATGTGTTTGAAATCTCGTTTAAAGACCTTTTATATTGGAAGCTATCTGTCCGACTGCGTGTCAAAACATTGCCAATGATTTACAATTCATCACACACATGACACATGCACCCTTCATCCAAGGAAGACAGTTTGCTTACACTATTATAATACTATGGCGTGTAGGGGCTATAAAACTATCGAATTCAGTCTTTCACTCGGAGGTTGGCGTCTCTAGGAGGGATGCGGCGCTGTGAACAGCCAGGATCACGAGATGATACAATTCTTATCTGGTTGATTGTTCTTTCTCTGTCGTTCCCTCTTCGCGCAAGCGACGGCGTCGTTTGGCACGTACGATATCCTGACTCCGCCGTACGCTCTTCTGGTAGGCAGAGTGTAAGATTCGGTGGACGAGGAAGATGAGGAGCACGTGCTGCAGTAGCTGCTGGCGTCGTCATCTCTCGCTTTACTTTTGTCTTTCCGTTCAGGTTCATCAGGCTCGAAGGCTTCGTTGTCGTCACCACAAAAACGAACGGTTCGTCCTCCTCGGGGCTTTTTCTGACTCCTACCATCAACGAGCGTCAATTCGGGCATCGACGTTGAGTGACCGGGTGTTATAACCGTTTGGGCTTCCACAGGATGAGGTGGTTTCCAATTAGATTCCGGGGACTCTTGGACTTCATCTGAGGTTGGTGTCGGTGGTATTTGGTGCTCGGTTATCGATTGTTCTAACTTTAAGTCAGCTAACGCTCTGTCTAAGCTCAGGCAAGGATGTGGCGGCGGCGGCGGGTGAGGCGGCGGTGATTCAGTGGCTAGAGAAGCGCTCGGTTCCGAATCTGCGTCTATGTGAGGAGAGGCTTCCCTCGGTGGAGTTCTCTCTGGTGATTTCGGCGAAGGCAATCTTCTCGGTCTCGGCACGCGTGGCGGTCTCGGTCCAGGACCTGACGAATCTGACGGCGTCGGTGGTTCGCCTTTGGAGCAGGCTATAGAACAAAATATAGCTCCCTTGCGAGGTAAGAACGGTCGCCCGAGAAGACTGGCTCTACACGTGTGACACGCGAAGCACCGCTCGGTGGCGTGCCAGTGCTGGCCCTCGTGAGACATCTGACCTTGATCCACGCCGATGGGCTCCCCGCAGGCGTCACAGTATTCTGCGAAGCAATTGTCGAAGCAAGGCAGGCAGTACGGCCTGGCCTCCCTCATGATGTACCGCTGTCCTCCCAGCTGCCGTGAACATTCCTGGCACGCGAAGTGTTTCATGTGCCACGCTCGACCCTCGGCCTCCGTGCACTCGTCAGCCAGGATTATCTGTACAGAGGTGATACATTAGATTGTATAAATTAGCCTAAAAAAAGATCTTCGGCTCTTAATTATTGTTAGTGGCGAGTAATTAATTATCTTGTGAACTTTTTGTGCCATGTTTAGATGCAATTTATTTTTTATATACAATTAAGTATCCATTAATGTTCTCGACGGTTGGCAAAAAATAATAAATCAGTTACATACTACAGCGTTATCCGTTTGTAATCAGAGAATTGAAAAATAAAATTAATTTGAATATTACATGTAGGTATGTTCTGATAGTTATAAATCGTTTCTTAATTAATTAAGTCGTACTAAATATTCATGAATTGTTCATTTAAGAGTATAAAAAAACGCATTAAATATATCTACTTCGCCATTTGTCTAAATACACAAAGGGGACTGTTATGTCAGAACCGATCATAATATCTATACATCAGTCGGAAGAAAATAGACGTTTTAAGCCAAAAAATCTGTTACAATGGATGTAAATAATGAAGGTGTCGGTTGGCGCCAGTGAACAGTCAAGTCCGGCGGTGGGACAAGTCAAGCGGTCGGAGTATTAGTGATGCATTAATTAATTAGTCGCATAAACAAGTTTAATTGGGCTTCGTTCCTTATCAGCGCGCGGTTCAGCGCTCGCCAGGAACACTCTACAACAATGGAGTTCTCACGGGCGCATTTTGTTCATTAGTGTACAACGTTATTAATATCTGAAAACGGTATTCGTGATGGACCCACGGACCCACGGACTCACGGACCGACGCTCACTCACGCTTTGAAATACATATTGCATTTATATTCAAAAATTATATCTACATAGTTTAGGAATTTAACCTACTGAGATTTTAACTTAAAGACTAGTAACTGAGGTTTCCTGGGGAGATTGCGCGTGCGCAGTCGCTCTTGTTGAAGATTTTCTTTAATTAATTATTATTTTTAAATTGAAAGCTTGTCATGTCATTATTGGAATAGTTGTGAATCATGAGATTCAAACTGTAAATGAAGAAATATTTAAACATATATTAGGTGTAACACAATGGGGATGCTTTATAAACATATTTGTTACATAGCAAGTACACGTGTCACAGGAGTTGTGTGTGTAAGTCAAACTAACGTAATTATTAAACATATACGAAGTTCAACATACAAATTGGAATTCTTTAAGCTTTACAAAACATAGGAACTATTCCATCGACTGCTAATATTGCTATTAGATGCTATTAGATCTTATAACCAATTTCTTATATACATATAACTTTTTTGTTTATCTGTCGTCGGTTTAAATCAAAGTTCAAGTTAATTTAACAGTAATATCTCTTTTTAAATTCTTACTAATTTTAAAAATAAATGGCCTGTTATTTTTGTAGTTTGAGCCGTTTTAATAATTTATAGAAAAAAATGTTAAAAAATATTTAGCCCAGCCGTGTTTACCTCTATTGGATATATAACATCTAATTTCTTATAATAAACTTTATCTTTTGTGATTGTTCGTTTTAATGAAGTTAATTCAATCTGGTTCTTAAAATTAATATAGTAATAAAATCGTATTAAAATAAAAAGGTAAGTTTAAAGTATAGTGTCGGATTGAGCAAGTTAGCGGCCATTAGTAATTTCTTTTAAATGGAGTCATCTTGGAATACGAACGATTTTTATCAGAAGCCATAGAATATTGTATTTATAAGTTGATCTAGATCTACTTTTACTATATGGTTTATCTATGTATTAGTTGTCATTAATATGTAATATACGGACATGAGATTAAAAATATATGATACAATTATCTCATCGGATTCATCTTTTATTCCTTTATTTTCCTGTTTTATAATCGTATGTGACAGCAAATGTATATTATATTTACAAATTACGTTCAATATCATCAAATAACCATCATAAAACTGTTTTTCCTCAATAAAAATGAATTAATATTACAGATAGAATAACAACTAGATCTGTTCTTATGTATAAAAATGTCCAACTCAACTTCAAATTATAAGATCTGTACTATCGTTTGTGGTTGTTAAAATATCTAAAGTATTTTGTTATCTCTCGTTTGCATCGTTTTTCGTAATAATGTTATGTGATCATTGAATGCTGCATTGCTGCAGGCAGTCCGCAGTTCCGACGGCCTTCTTACTGCAGTCTTAATCGTGACCTTACCACGACCATATAACCTTTAACAGTTATCATGATATACAAATAATGTAGTACTACTATACAATAATGAACTGCTACATAATTTCACCTTTGCGTCAATGTAAAGTTTTTATAAGAGAATTTTTTTCTGGAATTTGGTCTTTTAGTATCAAAAACAACAGTAACAATATATTTAAAATAAGGAAATCAAATGAATATATCCTGACAAGTTAAACGATCAAACCTTTTTATATAACTATCAAGGTATTTTTCGTAGTTAAATCTTTGTTGAAGATTCAGCTTTAAACAGGTAAATTGTCTGTAATGACTAATGACTGAGTACGGACAGGGGGAGAGCTCGCGTGCGAGCAACGTCTGGTATCGACATGCGATTGAGAGCGGACCAAACAGTTTAGGGTAACTTAACATATTTGGTATTTATTAATAAAAAACATACTGAGATCTGAACTATGATGCAATATAGAATATTTTAGTACTTAAATATGATACGGTATATTGATTATGGTTTGAAACCAGGGCGAAAAAAGATCTTTGTCAGGAAATCGCCATACACAAATATAAAACATGAAACAGTGAACAAATCTTGGTTCGTTTAACGGTTTTAGATTACGAGTAGCATTGAAACTAGTTTTATAATATTTAAGTTTATGTTATTGTAACATATTTTATTATATTTTCTCTTGTCTATACTTCAATCTTCTAATACAATATCCGTCCGTTTATTTTTCCATATTATTCATCCATATTAATTAATTTGATTAATTCCTTCTTTATCAGCTTTTATGCAAAAATATTTAAATGTCGAGGTGATCTTTGGTTTAAGACCACCGTTCATTATCGGATAACATATACATTATAAAATGTAAGTTTAATTCTTTATTATATTTAAGTGGACGCGAAGTTCGAAGGTAATAATAAGAAATTTCAGTTAACAAATCACTGGCCCTTAACTAGGCATTGCTTCACGCACGAAAGCAAATAACATAGTGCTTATTAATTTCTAGATTGAATGAACTAGATATCTTATATTTCAGTTGTAATTATGTTAGGTTTATAATATTTACTTCAATTTGACTTCATGGTTGTAAATGTAATAAGATCTTTCCTTATATCTTATGTAACACAGTCTTATTGTTATTGAATAAGTTTTGCAAACTCAGTGGATGTGTTAGACGTCTGGATGGTGTTTATCGTCTCCGTCTTACGACTTTGTTTTGATGAACTATATATTTCGTGTCCCAGATTTTGTGATAGATTTCGTGAGTCACGGGAGCGTAGTTATAGTTAACATTAAAATAAGGGAACAAATCGTTTGATAGTAATGTTCAAGAGCTAATAATTTGTTTGAAGTGTCATGAGTGAAGTCGAGTTAGTCATACGCCATTGTAAGACGTTTCTCTTTCAACGGTTTCTTGGTTTCCGGGCATAGAAGTCGGGATGTTCTTCACAGAAAGCACTGGCTGGTGTATTTATTATATCGGCATGACTCATTTGTCCTTTAGTTGAATGATTAGCATACTTTATAAACGCAACGAGCATATAGTTTAGTTTAGGTACGTATGATTTCTGCCCACGGCGCAATTTAAAACTGGTTTCTGCGAAGCAATTTTTGTAAAAAGAAAATATGTACCAATTATAGTTCTGGCAAAATTTATGTCCTAAAACTCTTTAAGCTGGGGGTTAATTTTCAACCTAAATTCTTATCGTTTCCGGAGGGGAAAGTCTCCCTGCCACTTACAGGGCCTTTGATAAGCCAGTTTGATTTATAGGCTCGCGACTGGCCGGGCTAACGACCGCTACATGAAACATGCTGAAAAATTATGGAAATATTTTTTTTGGAAAACAGCCAATGTGTTTGATAAAATTAATGGTCGGATACGCTGTATGATGAAAAGGTATTTAATAAATTTATACCTGTTTGGTATTAAAACGGTTACAGAGACCTGCCTGTACAGTCTTATATTTGAACCTACTTTCATAATATTTGTGTAACATTGTTGTCGTAAGTAGTGAATGTGTCAACCCTGAGCCAGCACCCCTCGAGCACGTGGACAATAAGTTATGTGAAGTGTATGATCGTCTGTAGGGTGTAATTGGCGATACATCTACATCCGCCGCGCTGTGAACACAGGAACTGAGATATCATCGACGAGCCCTCTTTAATGCTGTTCACTAATATTTATATACAAAACTAGAAGACCTGGCGAACTTCGTATCGCCCTATAATCAAGAAATATCTATTACGTTTTTTTATTTATTTTTTTGGAGTTTACCTGTATGCCATAAATCTCCGTATTTTGAAGTGCGACAGAATGTTTCACATATTAGTTAGTTGTCAAATCTAATGTCCAAAAAAAAACGTTTGTATGGGAAATAGAGATGGGCTGTTTTTATGGTTTTCCAGGTAATGAATCAATTTTTTTCAGCTTTTATACCTTCCCTGAACCTCCACGAACATTTCAAGACTAAGATAAGATAAATCCGTTCAGTCGTTCTCGAGTTTTAGCGAGACTAAGGAACAGCAATCCATTTTTATATATATAGAAGATGGCCGCAGTATATAACGCAACTATTATTTGAATCTTATATACACGTTAATTAAAGCTGAATTGTGAATATTATATATTCTCAAGTGTCACAAACCTCATCGCAAGCTGAACATCTGGGTTTCAATGTTTCAGCGTGATGCCGTCCACAGTACAGCCGTCCGTCTTTCCAGAAGTACACCAGGTCTACCAGCAGTTCCTGGCAGGTGCTGCATACGAAGCAGGAGGGATGCCACCTCGCAGAAGGACCGGCTCGGGCCGCTGACACACACATGTCACCTGATGACATGGTCTCCTCACACTGTTGACAAATAAACATCCATAAATATATTGCTAAAACCTAAAAAATATATTGCTAGGGTTATTAATAATATAATATGGCATGTATCTTAAATAATACAAAGAAAAAGGGGC